CATGTATAGATGAATAAATAAATCTTTGGGAAAAAAAAAAAGAGGGACTGATGAGGCTTTAGAATAATTGGGGAAAGAAGGTTATATTCCCTGAGGCACAGCTCCACTGCTGCTTCTTTGGCCCTCCCTGGCCTGGTTCTACTGGCATGGTAGTCCTACTTTGATTCTGTTTCTTTTCTCCTTAATAAACTTTTCTTATATCTATTTCTCTAAACAAATTTGCCGCCTTTCGCTTGTTTTCCTGAGAGTCAGTGAAGTTCCTTCCGGGATTTCACGAGACACGAACCTATGGTCTAGTGCCTGGGACTCAGCACTGCCGCAGCTTGGGATCCATTCCTGGCTGGGGAACTAGACCTGAAAAACCTGAAATTATGGTAACAATGTTTTGGGTTGGGCATGGAGAAGCTGCCAATTCCTGGCAGTGGGGATAGCTCTATGATACTGCATAATCTAAGTCCCCTTAGGTTTGCCGTGTGAAGATGCGATCTGTGACCTTCCACCTGTCTTTTCTAGCTTCCAGAATCTGTGATTTTTATGAGCAGGGAAGGAGAGGGAGAGAAAGGGAGGTTTCTGTTGGTAGTTCTTCCTCCTGCTCTAATTCACAGGAAGCTCTCTTCTGAAGAGAGTTGCCAGGACAGGTGTCTGGTGCAGAATCATCCCACTTGACAGCTTTGAAGCAAAGATTAAGAAACATGAAGCAGTTTCCTAAAATTTGAGTGGATAGCATTATCTTCTGACCTGAGGCTGGCATTACCTTCTGACCTGTGATTTAACAGTTCCAGGAAGAGTTTCTTTTCAGAGGTATTGCTGTGATAGTGTTTCCTCATCACTGAAATTCAGGTTCACCTCTGTTCTGGTACCTCTGGGATTTTCATCTCTTTATGTTTTTCACCTATGTTTGCCTCTGATCAAAAGTCCCTAAAGAGCAAATATCAGTGATCTTTTAGGGGTGGATTATAATGATGAGGAAGGTGATGAGATTTTCTTATGTGGCAACACACGTTTAAAAATGTCTCAAAACCGGGCCTCCCCGGTGGCGCAGCGTTTGAGCGCTGGGTTGTGAAGCTGCCCGCAGCCTCTGCAGTGCTGGTTCGATCCCCGGCTGCTCCCCAGCCACTGGAGAAGGGTCCCACATGGGGCGCAGACCTCTCCTGCCACCTGCTGTTCCCCTCAGCAGTGTACTTCGTCAGTCTGCCTGCTCTGCTCCCTGCTCTGACTCTGGTGAATTCTGTCACCCTCCCGTGCTTCTGACTGTACCCAGTGCTTGTATAAATAAATAAATAAATAAATAAATCTTTAAAAAAAAAGTCTCAAAACCACTATGAAAATAGTTTTGTAAATTGCAATGATTAATTTCATAATGATAAACAAGTGAGCTGCTGCAAAGTATTTATTCAAAACTTAAATTTTTGAGAAGTTGTAGCTTTTAAGGTCACAAGATCCAAGATTTCATTCAGGTAAAGGCCTTTCCCTGTCTTCCTAGAAGCAACCATTGTTATCTCTTCTGAGGTAGTCTATACACAAGTAAATTAGTGCTATATTCCCTCTATGTTCTAAACACATGGCAGCATATTGTTCTGCTCCTTGCTTTTTCACATACTGCATCTCGAAGACTGTTCCATATCACCCTCTAACAGTTTTTATTGCTTTTTTACAGTTGCATAGTATCTGTTGTGTGACTGTAATATGGATGGACATTTAAATGTTTTCAAAACTTGTTGTTCCAAATAATGCTGGAAGGACAACCTTATAAGTACAAGGGAGAAGAATGCGGTCCATGTATAATTTTGTTAGATGTTACCACACTTCTCTTTGTGGAGGTTGTGACAACAAACTCTCCCATTAACAGTGCATCATTATTTCTTCACACTCTTGCCAATGGGCCATGCTATAATCTTTTTGAAATATTCCAGTCTGATAAGTAAAAGGTGATACTCAGAATAATTTTAATTAGTGTGTCTTTTAAGAAGAGTGAGATTGAAGAGCAACTTCTATTTCTTTCTCTGTAAACTGTTATTTCCATTGGGTTATTTATTCTTTTCATTCGTGATTTGCAAGAGTTCTTTATATATTAGGTAAATTAGATCCTAGTTTGTGAATATCTATCCCTTGAACCCCCAGTTTCCTGTTCATCTTGCCTTACATGTGATGGTTTTTGTATTTCTTTTTTTAGATTTCTGAGTTTCCTGACTTATTAGAAAAAGCTTACCATTTTTGATCTAGTTGAAAATTTGGTGTAAAGAGTAAGGTGAGGATCAAGTTTACTTTTTCCCAATCAGGAAATAGTAATTATAATAAAAAATAGTAATTATTATAGTACTTTTATTAAAAAAATCCATCTTCCCCTCCTTCTCAATTTAAAATGGTGTTTTTTATCATATCTAAATTTCCATATGTATTTGGGCCAATTTTGTTCTACTGATTTACCTGACTATTCATTGACCTGTACCACACTATTTAAATTACTATAGCTTTACAACATAGTTTAATATCCAGTAAGACTGATCAGTCATCCATTGGTGGTCTTTGAATTATAATATTTAGTGTGTTTTTAGCAAACTATTTGTGTATTTCCATAATTATAGCTGCCTTATATTCTTTCTTATATCTTTTCTCTGCTGCTCTAAAGCACTGGAGAACATGTTCTTTAGGGTTCTTTGCCTCCCAAACAAACTAAAGATAAATTGAATAACATCTCTACAAATGTGCAGGATCTTCCATTTGATTTAGTAACAATGATGGGCACCCAGATGGCTTTAGTACAAAGGTACATGGATTTGAGGGCATTTGATGCACTGTTCCTTGCATGGTATGGCATGGTGGTGTCTATCTCTGTGATTAACCCCAGCCCTGATTACATGCAGCAGGGAGGATTCTAAGCATTATACACCAAGAGATTTTGTTTTCACATATGATATATGGGGTATTGCGGACCCAATGTAACCAGGTATGGGTAGAAAATCATCTTTTCAGCAAGCCATGCTGGCCCAGTGGCCATCAAATTCTAGAAGGCAGATGTTGTGCCAGCAACAACATCTCCTCAAGGGTGTCTGTGACTTTGAGGTCCCTGTGACTGTGGTGAACTGGAGCCAGAGTGGGAGAAGTGGAAAGAGATGACACAGTCAACTGTGAGTCAGAGAGATCTCCCCTGAGAATTATCTGATTATACCTTGTTGTGTTTATCAGGTCCATGGGACTCCCAAGGAATAGGAAGCAAGTGTTCCTATTACTTGACACAATGCCTGGCACTAAGAAGTGATCAGCTAGTGTATGTTGAATGGACAGGTTGATTGATGAATGAGGGAGTGGACTCCTGCTTGTCACAGGAGCTTCTTCTACCTTTACAAGAAGGGACAGAGCTGGGCCATGACTTTCAGGCTCCTGTCCTGGCTCCTTGTCTGTCCACCTGTCTAGGAAAGGGATGCTGATTGAGCAAGAGTATGAACCCCTCTTACCCTCCTCCCCTCCTTGACACACATCCTCCCATGCCCTCACACACCTCAAACATCTTTGACAGCTTCTACTAGCTTTCTCTTGTGTTCTCTTGCATCTTTTTTTTTTTTTAAGATTTATGTATTTATGCATACAAGAGCTGGGGTACAGGCCAGAGGTGGGGGGGCGGTGAGAGGATTCACCAGAGACAGAGTGGGGAACAGAACAGGCAGATGGGCCAAAGTACACTGCTGAGGGGAGCAGCAGGTGAGTCAGGAGAGGTCTGCTGTGCCATGTGGGTTGCTCCCTGGCTGGCTGGGAATCGGACTCATGCTGCAGTGGCTGCAGATTGCTTCATAGGTTGTGTCTCAACCCTTGTGCTACCAGGGAGGCCCTCTCCTGCATCTTTTATGGCAATAACCGAAATGCCTTTCTCATTCATCACCTCTCCCTTTTTTACACCTAACCCTTGCTTAAAGCAAAGGGGATATCAAGGGAGACAAAAGCGACAAAGTGAGTCACAGCAGCAGCTCTGACACAGTGTTTACTGTGTGCTAGTCTCTCAAATTTTCTTTTAATTTAATACTTAAAACAGGTGACTATATCTGTATATATATTTATATATATGTATTTATCATGCCCAATGTATAAGTGAGGAAACTGAGTTAACAGAGACATTTAGTAATTTGCACAGGAACACAGAGCTTGCAAGTAAATGACTTGGCATTCAAAGCAGGAAGCTCCACTCTAGAGCTCACGCACTGAAACGAGCTCACTTCCCTTTCCTTGGCTGGTACAAGTGGGCATTAACATCATTACAGTATAACATGAAACACAGAAACATGCACAAATCAAATGTATGATGCAACAAATTTTCACAAAATCAGCCACCTGTGCAACCAGCACGTATATCAGAGAACAGAAAACTAGTCCCCCAGACTCTCCCAACATTCCCCTTTCAGTCTCTACCCCTTCCCTACCAAGGGAAACCACTTTCCTGACTTCTCTTACTATTCTTCTGGTTTTTTTTCCCCTTGTCTTTCTATTTTATTCACAATTTCTATTTAAATCACACTTATCTTATGGAGTCTGTTGCTAAAGTTAAAATTATTCAGTCTTGTAGGAGTCCCCTAGATAAGAGGAGCGATTAAGGATGGGAGAGCTAGGAGGAAATTGTTTAAATTTCCCCTTCATTCTTTTTTTTTTTTAAAGTGTATTTTTTTGTTTGTTTGTTTTGTTTTTATTTATTTATTTGTTTGTTTTGTTTATACAAGCACTGGGTACAGTCAGAAGCGCGAGAGGGTGAGAGAATTCACCAGAGCCAGAGCGGGGAGCAGAAGGACCGAAGTACACTGCTGAGGGGAGCAGCGGGCGGCAGGAGAGGTCTGCGCACCATGTGGGACCCTCCTCCGGTGGCCGGGGAGCAGCCGGGGATCGAACCGGCGCTGCAGAGGCCGCGGGCAGCTTCGCAACCCAGCGCTCAACCGCTGCGCCACCGGGGAGGCCCTCCCCTTCATTCTTGCTATTAAGTGTGGACATCTACTCTTTCCTCCATCTTCCTCCCTCGGGAACTACATCTCCCAGCAGGCTGTGCTCTGACAGCTCTCAGATTTAAATAGGATTCTGGGCTGTGCTTAGAGCCAGGCTGTTGCTGAGTTCTGAGAAGGAGGGAGAGGAGATACAAGAGGGAGAAGCTGAGAGAAACAGCCAAGAGTTGGAGCCAGACGACAAGCTCGAGCCTGAGTTGGAGTCAACATTGCTTTTGCTTAAGCAGCAGCAAGGAAAGAAGTTGAGAGGATGCTGCTCACCTTGGGACTGCTCACCTCCTTCCTCTCTTTCTTATATGTGATGGCTCCTTCCATCAGGTTCGTCTTAATTCAGTAACTCATACATATTGAATTGGGAGCCATGGAACTTGTAAGTAGGTGAATTCTGAGCTGCTGAAAGAAGAGAAAGGGATGGAGGCTCTGGGAGTGAGAGGGCAGAAAAAGCAGTCAGGAAGGAGGTAGTTACAGATAACTATGTTGAAAATTGGAAGGAAGCATCTGGGACTGGGAGAGGAGGGACTGGTTTGCATTCTGGGACTGAATGGATGACTTAATATTAAGCAGATGGGAGACCTAGCTCTTTCACTCTATTTCCTTTGGTTTTTCTGAAGATCGCCCTTTGCTCACTGTAACTATTCAAGGTATCTCTGCTAGATTATTACGGGTGTTCATTGCCAAGGGGCTCCATGTCAAGTATAACACATTTGGGAAAGGGAAACAAACTCTCTTCCCTTTGACATGCTGCTCAGTTACTGTTTGGGGATGACACTTTTGCCATGGGATTTCTGGAAGTGTCAATGAAATGTGTGTTCTCAGTGGGGAATTTAAATATGGCTAATGATGAAGAAATTTAAACAGACAAGTCAAGGACAGAGTATTGCTCTAGGTCATGGCAGGAAAACCTGGTACAATTCCAGTGTTGCCACCATGAACAAATGATTTGATCTTCTTTTTTTAAATATTTATTTTATTTATTTATGCATATAAGAGCTGGGGTGTAGGCCAGAGGTACGGGGGGCAGAGGGGTGAGAGGATTCACCAGAGACAGAGTGGGGAGCAGAACAGACAAATCTACTGAAATACACTGCTGAGGGGAGCAGTGGGGTAGTCAGGAGAGGTCTCCTGTGCCATGGGGGTCTCCTCCCTGGCCAGTAATCGAACTAGAGCTTCAGTGGCTGCGGATAACTTCATAGTTCTGAGACTTAACCCCTTGAGCCACCAGGGAGGCCCTGATTTGAACTTCTTTAGCTCAGTTTTCACCACTGTAAAATGGGGACAATAACAGAGTGGTAAAAAGGATGAAAATAAATCACCTGTAGAAAATGTCTAGTCTGTTGCCTAGCAGTTGGATGATGTTCAGAAAATATGAGTTCTGACCCCTCTTTTTTGGAACTTGTACGGTCAGCTATACATAAAAAGATGCTCTCTGCACAGAGATCTGAACAAGGGAGGTTTGAATGGATGAAATCTCTAGAACAGTATCAGAGAGCTTCTGAAGATCTGGCTCTCTAAAACTGGAGATGCAGCCCAAAAGCCATATATGCATATGGGACCCCTCACGGGTGTGGTGCATCACTTCCTCATGTTGATGCTTATCGAAGACCTAGGGCTCAGAACCAGTGGTTTCACTAATGCTTATCACTCATATGGTTTGAATGTGGGTTGAAGGAAGATGTTGACCTCTGGGAACCTCTAGAGATAAGAACAAGGTATCTACATCTAACAGGAAGGACTCTATTAGCCCTGGCTCAAGAGCACTTATTGTCTTTGTCCAGATGATCATTTGTAACTTCTGAGCACATGACCTTCCAATGTAAACAGATGAACAGGAGACCCCCTTGCCTAGTGGGAAAACGAAGATTATCCGAAAGATGAGAAACATTAGCATCTTGACTCTCCTAAGGACAACTTAAAGAAATCCCTCACTGAGGCTGGATGGATTTTATGTATCTCAGTCAGGGACTGGGAAGGATGGTGCATGAATGCTTTTGTTGCCCTTGCCTATAGGAAGTTCTTTGCTGGTGGGGTTTGTAGAACAAACGTGCAGCTTCCGGGGAAGGTAGTGGTGATCACAGGCGCCAACACCGGCATCGGCAAGGAGACAGCCAGAGAGCTCGCTCGCAGAGGCAAGTCCTTCCGCTCTCGGTCTCCGCAGGGCAGCACCTCCTGCCCTTCTCACTGGGGGCTCTGTCCACATTTTCTTCTTCCTGCTGGGTTTTGATTCTTCCTGCTGGGTTTGGAGACTCTAGGCAGCAATTCAAGGAACGTGGGATTCAAGTTCAGCTGTGACACTAACTTACTCTCTTACTTTAAACTAACCTACCTTCCTCCCTTCTCCTTCCCTTTTATATAAAGTAAGGAAAACAAGGAGGTCCATGTATCCCACGGATAAAGTCCATTATTATAAAAGGACGTACTAAGCAATGTTAAAAATCAGTGTAAGACCAGGGTTGCCAGCCTGGGGTCAAGCTAATAGCAAGGAGACTGAGCAGCACTCCTTGTAAGGATCCTGATGTGGCATTAGAGCCACTCACTGCTGTTGGGATGACTGGCAGAACACTCTGTCCACAGTCCCAGGCTCACTTCCTACACATCTTTTCAGTTGAGGGTTTGAACACATTGTCCTGTCTTTGCTTTTGCCTCAGGAGCCCGAGTATACATTGCCTGCCGAGATGTGCTAAAGGGGGAGTCTGCCGCTAGTGAAATCCGAGCTGACACAAAGAACTCCCAGGTGCTAGTGCGGAAACTGGACCTCTCTGATACCAAATCCATCCGAGCTTTTGCTGAGGGCTTTCTGGCAGGTGAGGCACCTGTGGGTAGCTAGAAAAGCAGAAAGCTGGGTGCGGGAGTGGTTGCCCCACCCTGGACCATCTCTGACCCTTACATCAGAACCAGCTCTGATCCCACTAGACAGGTTCTGCCACATGAACCAGCAGGGCAGGGGTGTGGCAAGGGGATGGCGGGTGGAGAAGCTGGGCAGGATCCTTATCTTCTTTTTGCATCAACAATGGGAATGCTGGAAGTGTGACCTCCCTGTCTGGGCTTGCACCTGGGCATTAAGGTGTGGCCCCGATGCCACTCTCTATTTCCATCCTGAGAATCAGCCATCTCTGGCCACAGACCTAGATGAGGTTGTGTTACTGCCAGACTTCTTCTGGATCTTGGAAAATTACCAGCTTCTACCAAGAACTATAGAATCCATGAGTGACAGGAACCATGTCTGTCATGTTTTACCACTGAATACTCAGTACTCAGCAGAAAGGGCCTGTTCTAGAACCAGCATACACAGATGCCAAACAAAGAATGGATACATGAATGAATGAATGGTGTCCAGAAAGATATCAGTAACTAAAATTAGAAACCCAAAGACAGTGGTATTGAATATTATTGAGATGGGTCCAAAGGCAAGGAGCAAATATCAGGACTGTGACAGGAAGCTAGCCAGCTCCTTGCTAAACACAGGTCTCCTTGATTGTGCTCCACAGAGGAAAAGCAGCTCCACATTCTGATCAACAATGCAGGAGTGATGATGTGCTCATATGCCAAGACAGCTGATGGTTTTGAAACCCACCTGGGAGTCAACCACCTGGGTAAGTATCTTAGAGAGAATGCAAGTTGAGGAAGAAACCCCCAAACTTGAGAGATACCAAAAGGAATGTCATTCTTAGATAAGGGCAATGGCAATGCAGGGCTTGCTGAGTAGGGCCAGGTATGGGGGTACAAGATCCTAGAGGAGTCACACACATAATTGAGGGCTACAACGGCCAAGGTTTGGTCCATGGAGGCAGTGAACCTTGAGGGCTTGAGGTGTGACTGAGGTTGGGGATCTGGAGTAGAGACCATGGAACATGTTAATTCCCCTGACAATCCCGTCCTTCCTTCTGCATGTGAGTATACCTAGGCCCACCTTTGTGTGATTGTGACCAGAGTAGGCATCTTTCCTGACTGGGGCAAGAGCAGAGGTCCAGTAGGTTTGGATTAAGTCTATGTCACGTCACCTATCGTACAGCTCTGACCCTTGTGTTAGGATTCCACTAACACAGGCTGACTGATTATTAGCACTGAGTTGCTCATAGCATCAAAATTTGTTTACACCCAGAAGAGAATGAGCAAAGGCTGAAGTCCTGTCATTAGCCCCTATCCCCTGAGCCTGGGCTGCTTCTCCACTCTTCAGTGTCCCCTGCTGGCTCTCCTTGCAGGCCACTTTCTTCTCACCCACTTGCTCCTGGAGCGTCTGAAGGAGTCTGCTCCTGCACGTGTGGTGAACCTGTCATCAGTGATGCATCATATTGGCAAGATTCACTTCCATGACCTCCAGAGTGAGAAGAAGTACAGGTCAGGTTTTGCCTATTGCCACAGCAAGCTGGCCAATGTGCTTTTTACTCGTGAACTGGCCAAGAAGCTCCAAGGTAAGTCTGGAGAAAGGCCAGGGTTACGATGGCAAATACAAGGTCCTCAGGAGGTTCACAGATGCTTCTGAAGGTGTGATGTCAAACATGCACATACCAGTGGTAGCTCTGTGTGCCAAAGAGAAGGAAGTTACAAATGGAGTAAAAACAAGAGTTCTTGGCCTCAGGAAACTTAAAATTATGAGGTCAGGAACCTCATAAATTCACCCTACATTTATGTCACATCTTATCGCATTTGGTTTGCACAACCACCTCTTGGATCAGGCAGAGCAGGTATTATTATTGCTATTTTATAGGTGCAGACTGAGGGCCAGTTACTGGCCCAAGTTAATGTAGCAAGTCAGGGCTGGAAAATGGGTACTCTGCTTCAAAGCCAGGGCACTGCCATCTATGTGCCACTTGCTGAGGTTCACACGATGTGATGGGTTACAGAGTTGCCACTGCCTGCAGTCAGGGATCTAGGACTGATGGTGCAGAACCACGGGCCTGAGTTCTTGCTCTGCATATGTGAGTCTGTGTGGATGTGAACATGTCCCTTTTGCCTCCCCAGACTTTGTCTCTTAGTTATAAAGTGAGGTGAGATAGCTCTTAATCCTGATTCTGTGTGCCCCTGGAGTTTTCACTGAGTTGCTGGCTCTAATATCTGTGAATCTGTTGGCTTATTTGCTACAGTGAATAAACCAAAGTCAGGAGTAAGGGCATTTACTATCAGAAAGCAGAAGGTGAAAGAATAGGGCACACATTAAAATAAATAATCATAATAACAATTGAGGGTTTTGTTTGTACCACATACTAATCATGTCATGCATTTAATACAATATTCCTGTGAGGTAGGTACTATTATTCCCACCCACTCTATAAATGAAGAGATAGGCATAGATGGATATTAAGAAACTTGCTCAAACAAGGTTTCTAGCTGAGCAGGATTCAAATTGAGATCATCTAGCTCCAGGTCCTTGCTCTTTACATTAGTCTGCTAGGAATGACCATGGACAACTTCCTTAAACTCTCTCTGATGAGAGTTCAATTTCCTCAGCTGTAAAAGGGTAACTTAGTATTATCTTTCTCATGAGTCTCTTTCAGAATCAAATAACAGAATACATTGACAGAATATATTCTATGCAAAGGCTGTGCATATTATAATTACTGAAAAGAGTGGAGGTACTGGAGGTGTCTTCGGGGCATGCTTGTCTCCATTGCCTCCTTCATCATGCCTCAACATAAGCTTCATAAAATATGCTTGCTAGGCAAATGCAACTCAAAACAAGTTCCTAGTCCTCTACCTTCCAACCACGTTGCTCCCCTTATGCCCCACCAATAGAAATTTCAAAGATACCACTGTCAATAATTGATACTTTTATTGGTGCTACTGCATGTTGCTAGTTCTATGACAGAAGTCACAGAATAAAGGTGACATTGAAATTAGAAGGACCTTCAACCAGGTGACAGATCTGGGAAGGTGACATCTTTTTGGAAGACCAATTAATTATTAGTTGGATTCTCTCTGGCACTTTTTGAATTTTGGAGTTATGTTTCCTGAGTCTCTTCTTTGCAAGTGTGCATTTCGCTGCAGGACATGAGCTATTTCCCTACACTTGAGTGTGTTCCTGGTCTAACTGTGCCCTTTTTGCAGGCACAGGGGTCACCACCTATGCAGTGCACCCAGGCGTCGTCAGCTCTGAGCTGGTCCGGCATTCCTTCCTGCTGTGTCTGCTCTGGCGGCTCTTCTCCCCTTTTGTCAAGTCAGCACGAGAAGGGGCACAGACCAGTTTGCACTGTGCCCTGGCTGAGGGCCTGGAGCCCCTGAGCGGCAAGTATTTCAGGTGTGTGGAGGCAGCAGGGTTCTCTCCACCATCTGTGTGAACAGGGAGATACAGGGTTTTGCATGCCCAGTGTAAACCAAATGTGGTTACTTTTCTAAGGGAACATATATCAGAAACTCAGCAAAAGTTGCTTTTATGGCTCTATTTTGTGCCTGTGTGCCAGTTTCCAGGTAAGCTTTGCAACTTTCTGAGAGATGTTTGAGAAGACTATCCCTGGACAAGGTAATCTGTCCCTAATGTGAACTCTGTCTCCCCAAACTGCCAAGATTGGCATTCTCTATTGGAATATAAAAATAGATATTTCAGTGTCCTTATCACAAACTCACTGGGCAATCAGAGTCTGGCAATAAAGGGTAGCCCAGAATTAAATCTTTCATCCGAACTCAGTCTGCTCTTGTGTCCCAAGCTGTACATTGGTGCACCGTTAATTAAGTGAAACACTGGAAACAACTTCATTGTCCTACAACAGGGGGATAGATAAATGATAATAATTAGTGTTCCTTGAGCTAATGTGTTTGGCATTCTTCTGAGTATTTGACATATATTAATTCATATAGTTAACAGAACTCTGAGAGGTAGAAGACGTTTTTATACCCATTTTAAAGATGAGGAAACTAAGACACAAAATAACACAATAACTGACTTATGGTCATAAAGTTTGTAAGTTGCAGTCCAAGAATTTAAACCCAGGCATTCTGGTTCTAGAATTGTGCTGTACATATATAAGATATAGTAGTAAAATTAATTTCACCCAGTTCCTTTTACTTTTGAAAGTGTACTTAAAAAATTTCTTAGAAAATTTTAAATTTCATATATGGTTCACATGTGTAGTTCATATATTAATTCATAGAAGTATACTTCTATGGCATGAGCTAGAGTCTGGGTATTTAACATAACTGCTTTAAATATACGATAAAGTATTGCACAGTCACTAAATAAAATTTTTCAAATAATAATTAAGAAATGGGGAGATGTTAGTGATACAATGTTATAAGAAAAAACTATTATCAAAACCATACTGTTATTCGTTATAAATACATAGAAAAGCCTGGAAGGATACACAGAAAACTAATTAGTGGTTACTTCCAGGGAGTTTGAAGAAAAGTTGGGGGAGTGTGAAGGATTTTAACCTTTAACTTAAGGCATTTATTTATTATTAAAACAAGTTTTAAAGATCACTTATTTATTACACATCCAGTTAAAAAAGGCATTTTTAACAAGAGAAAGAAATCCATCCTAAGCTAGATATAGTGGGATTTCAGTTTTGCATATAAGAAGGGGAGAAGGATTCTATTAATATGCAAATAAAAATGTAGGGAAAAACAATTAGATATTATGCTTTTCTTCTTAATCATTATTGTATCTTCCTAGTCCTGTTGTACAGGACTTTTACTGTTAGAAAAAATACTATATAAAGACAAAACACCATGAGCATATGCTCCACTCCACCCCCTCATCCATCCAATAATGCCTCATGTCCCCCACAAAAAACAGTGGTTAACGGAGGAGATTAGACTGGGGTTCATGGGTGATTAATTGGTCTGTGTATAGAATTCAAGGTATCTGTGAAGTTGGAAAGATAATTTTATCTTTAATTTCACTAACCTCCAACTGATATCTGGCATTTCCTTCAACTGGGTACTACAGGAGTACTAGCAATAGCTGTGGCTTTGTCACCAATAAAACTGCAAGTATTTTCACATTATGCAGAATGTCACTTCTACTTGCCACTACTTTGCAATCCATTGCTTATTAGACCCAGGGCTAGATCTTGTTATAGAATATATTAATCTTACTTTGTGTGATATGCATTAGTGTATCACAAATTTGTTTTTAAAATATTTTAAAATTGCATTTGAATACATCTCTTTTTATCCAATCTACTGTATTTTATTTATTTTTAAAAAGATTTATTTATTTATTTATACAAGTGCTGGGTACAGTCAGAAGCACTGGAGGGTGAGAGAATTCACCAGAGCCAGAGGGGAGAGCAGAGCAGGCAGACAGACGAAGTACACTGCTGAGGGGAGCAGCGGGTGGCAGGAGAGGTCTGCGCGCCATATGGGACCCTCGCCGGGCGGCCAGGCATTGAACCGGAGCTGTAGAGGCTGCTGCAGAGGCTGCAGGCAGCTTCGCAGCCCAGTGTTCAACTGCTGTGCCACCAGGGGAGGCCCCAATCTACTGTATTTTATAGAGTTAGAAATATATTCTGAGAAAAAAGCTGTAAGCTTTTCCAGACTGTCAGTTTTGACTACTGTATGTTCACACTCTTTCTCTGTCCTCCAGTGACTGCAAGAGGGCCTGGGTGTCCCCAAGAGCCCGGAATAATAAAACAGCTCAGCGCCTGTGGACCGTCAGCTGTGAGCTTCTAGGAATCCAGTGGGAGTAGAGCTCGTGGAAGAGCCACAGCTTTATCAGTCTCAGTCTTTGCCATTATGAAAGGTGACCAAGGAAAAGAGCAACCCTGAAGCTGGGTGTTGTTGTGAATCCTGCCCTTTCCTGATTCTCCTCATCCTTCTGGAAGCCTTTGCAGACCCAACTCTCTTGTGAGATTGACTCATGGCACAAGACATTCAAAACTACAGAACATTCTTCTCTAAGACTTGCAGAGTCAACAACTCTCCTGAGATGGGAGGACAGGGCAGATCCTAGTCCTTTGGAATGGCGGAAGAGCCTGGGAAATCAGGTCAATTTCTGCACTGATGCCAGAAACTTCAGCCTGTGTGCTCAGCTGAGGTGACAGGAACATCAGCATTACATATTCCCAAAAAACATAGACTCAAACTCTTGACTGATCTCTTTCCTTTTTGAAATACTTAACTCATCTCTGGACCACCTCAGGGTAATCATGACTTATCTTGGCCAAATTTATTTCTTTCCTCTGAGCATCCTAGAGCCAATGTGTGAAGCTGAATCCATTTCTTTCTCAAGTTCTTAAAAGAAGTAAAAACTTTTTTGTAGCTTTATTGAGATATAATTGTATAAGTTTAGACCTCATTCTCAATCATGCAGATTTCTTTTTCTACAGTTTCCTTTGTCTCAATTTTTAGATAAAATAAAGACTATGTACCTATCACATTGTCTTATTTATTTTCTCAAGGTAGAAGGGAAATATGGAACAAGGAAGGGAAGCCAGTTTTCCACTTTAGTGAATAATATCTCACCCGACACACCTACCCATCTAATATTGTAAAATAAGATTGTCCAACTGGATTTTTTTTCAACTTTCTTTCAACTCTAATGTTTTATTATCTAAGAAGTGATAAGAATGGCTTAAATTATACAGATGCTGAGCACTTCCACAGATTAAAGTGAGATAATAGCCACAGTGCCTCTTCAATGGCAGAGTTGCAAAGTAAAGACTGAGCACTAGATAATTCTGAAAGAGTAGCAATGAGGGGGCCTCCCTGGTGGCGCAAGTAGTCAAGATGCAGCACTATGAAGCTGTCCGCAGCCTCCGCAGCACGAGTTCGATCCCCAGCCAAGGAGCTGACTCACATGATGCAGCAGACCTCTCCTATCTTGCCTGCTGCTCCCCTCAGCAGTGTATTTAGTCAATCTGCCTATTCTGCTCTTCACTCTGTCTCTGGTGAATCCTCTCACTGCCCCTTCCCCCTCCCCGCACCTCTGGCCTGTACCTTAGTTCTTATATGCATAAATAAATCTTTATTTTATTATTATTTTTTTTTATAGAGGCATGCTTTATTTATTTGTTTGCTGGTTTGTTTGTTTGTTTTGTTTATACATGCACTGGGTACAGTCAGAAGCGCGGGAGGGTGAGAGAATTCACCAGAGCCAGAGCAGGGAGCAGAGCAGGCAGAAGGACCGAAGTACACTGCTGAGGGGAGCAGCGGGCGGCAGGAGAGGTCTGCGCGCCATGCGGGACCCTCCTCCGGTGGCCGAGGAGCAGCCGGGGATCGAACCGGCGCCACAGAGGCCGCGGGCAGCTTCGCAACCCAGCGCTCAACCGCTGCGCCACCAGGGAGGCCCATAAATAAATCTTTAAAAAAAATGAGGGCAAGTTATAGAGACAGACTCAATTGAGAGCAGTCAGCTACAGGAATATATGCATATATATCAGACAAAGGAGTAGTACCCATACTGCATAAAAAACTTATTAAAAACAAGACATAATAATCAACAGAGTACTTTGCAAAAGATATAAACAGGAAATTTGCTGAATAGAAAAAGGTCAGTACACCTTTGTAAAAAAGTTTAAGTTTATAGTTATCAGGGAACTACAAATTAAAATAAGAGGCCATGGTGTCTTCAATGAGTCAAAAAAATTACAAACCTAAAATTAAAAACCTTTGTCAAAAACTATAAAGCTTAGCAAATATTGGCAAAAATCTAGGAAATAGCTATTTTTATAAGTTGATGATATGAGTGGAAGAAATAGTGAAACTATTACTCCCAGCAATTTTGCTTTTCAATACCTGAAAAAAATTAGCATTAGAGTATAAGGAGACATTGTTAATACTAACAAAATATTGTAAACAACCTAAAAGTCCAACAACTGCAGGAAGACAAAATAATCTTTTTTTTTTAATGTTGGTCCCCCCCCCCCTTTTTTTTAGATTTATTTATTTATTTATACAAGCACTGGGTACAGTCAGAAGCGCGGGAGGGTGAGAGAATTCACCAGAGCCAGAGCCGGGAGCAGAGCGGGCAGAAGGACCGAAGTACACTGCTGAGGGGAGCAGCGGGCGGCAGGAGAGGTCTGTGTGCCATGTGGGACCCTCCTCCGGTGGCCGGGGAGCAGCCGGGGATTGAACTGGCGTTGCAGAGGCTGCGGGCAGTTTCACAACCCAGTGCTCAACCACTGCGCCACCGGGGAGGCCCAAGACAAAATAATCTTTAGTTTAATCACACAATCGAGTAGTTTGCTTACTTTTAGGTAATTACTCCTAAAATAATGGTATTAAGTAACAATTATACACACACACACACGCAGAGACATGTATATTGTTGGATAAATTGATGAACTGCAGTGTGATAAGATTTATATTCAAAAATTACACACATATAACATGCTACCATATCTTTTCTGTTATAAATGGGTACATACATAGGTATGTAAAAACACACACAAATTAAAAACACATTGTACATGGCATAAGGCCACATACAATGAACACATAAGAGAGGTTTCTTCTGGGAAGGACCAAGCTCACATGATGAAGATGGGAGGGGGGAAGATGGAAAGAACTTGGGTTGCTGATGATAAATAGTGAGTCACTGAATTAACCAAAACTAGAGACTTCTTGTACACGACACAATAAATCATCCTTGTTGAAGCTTATGTCCTGATAGGATAGTATTAGGATGAACCATATAAAAGTATTGATATTCTATTTTTTTTACCTTCTTTTCCCAACCATTACTTCTAGTCTAAGGCAGTAATGACCTGCTTTCGACCTTCAATTTTCTCACCTATAAAGTTAAATTTTAACACCTATTTCATTATATTTTTCTCCGCCTCCAGCATGTATCATCTGTTAATGTTAACAGTCAAGAAATAACTGATGTAACATTCTAGTATATAATGTTAATAGGACCAGTATATTTTCACAGGTGTTCAGCCAAAATTTAATCTATGTGTACAATCTATTTTTTTAAAGATTTATTTATTCATTTATACAAAAACTGGGGTACAGGCCAGATGCGCGGGAGGGTAAGAGGATTCACCAGAGACAGAGCAGGGAACAGAACAGGCAGACTGATGAAATACACTGCTGAGGGGAGCAGCAGGTGAGACAGGAGAGGTCTGCTTCGCCATGTGGGATTCTCGCCGGCTGGCTGGGATTGAACTCGTGCTGCAGAGGCTGTGGACAGCTTCACAGTGCGGCACTCAACCGCCTGCACCACCAGGGAGGCCCAGAACAGGCAGATTGACTGGAATACACTGCTGAGAGGAGCAGCGGGTGAGTCAGGAGAGTCTACTGCGCCATGTGGGACCCTCGTGGGCTGGCCGGCATAGAACCAGCGCTGCAGAGGCTGCGGACAGCTTCACAGCGCAGCGCTCAACCACCTGCGCTGCACCACTAGGGGAGGCCCTACAAACTATTATTTTTTTTTAACATAAAGTCTTAGTTAAAATAATCAGTTTATGGCTGCCTGGTGGTGCAAGAGGTTAAAGCGCAGCACTATGAAGCTGTCAGCAGCCACTGTGGCATGAGTTGAATCCCCAGCCAGGGAGCTGGCCCACATGGCACAGCAGACCTCTCCTGTCTTGCCCACAGCTGCCCTCAGCAGTGTACTTCGGTCAATCTGCCTGTTCTGTTCCCCACTGTCTCTGGTGTGTCCTCTCACCCCTGCACCTCTGGCCTGTACCCCAGTTCTTATATGCATAAATAAATCTAAAAAAAAAACAGTTCAGAAGATCATAAAACATGAGGTACAATTTGTTCTGATAAGAGTAGATTAACTGCTGTAATAAAGAATGCTAAATCTTAATGACTTAACACAATAAAAGTTCATTTTTTGCTCATGTCACAGTCCAATGTAGGGATGGGAGTGACCCTGCTCCCTTCACATGGCTTTCATCTCAATAAAATGGTTAATTATGTTGCAATAATAATCCAATATTTTGTTTTCTAGTGGCAGTTTAGTTAACTAAAAGATTTTTAAGGGCCTCTCCGGTGGCGCAGTGGTTGAGTGCTGGGTTGCGAAGCTGCCCACAGCCTCTGCGGCGCCGGTTCAATCCCCGGCTGCTCCCCGGCCACTGGAGGAGGGTCCCACATGGCGCGCAGACCTCTCCTGCCGCCCGCTGCTCCCCTCAGCAGTGTACTTCGGTCCTTCTGCCTGCTCTGCTCCCCGCTCTGGCTCTGGTGAATTCTCTCGCCCTCCCGCGCTTCTGACTGTACCCAGTGCTTGTATAAACAAAACAAATAAATAAATCTTTAAAAAAAATAAATAAAAGATTTTTAAAAATGCAAGCTGTAGGGCCTCCCTGGTGGCGCAATGGGTTAAGCACTACACTATGAAACAATCAGCATGGAGGGCAGGGAGCTATTCCCATGGCACAGCAAACCTCTCCTGTCTTGCCGCTACTCCCCTCAGCAGTGCATTTCAGTCAGTCTGCCTATTCTGTTCCCCACTCTGTCTCTGGTGAATCCTCTCACCCCTTGCATCTCTGGCCCGTACCCCAGTTCTTGCATGCATAAATAAATGTTTAAAAAAATACAAGTTGTAATCATATTCAAATTATATGCAATTTAAATGTTTCAATAAAAATGTAAACTAAATATAAATGTAAAAATCATTTAAAATGTTTTAGGTTTCCTTTTAAAATACTTGAATTGGGCCTCCCTGGTGGCGCAGCGGTTGAGCACTGGGTTGCGAAGCTGCCCGCAGCCTCTTCAGCGCGGGTTCGATCCCTGGCTGCCGGGTGAGGGTCCCACATGGTGCGCAGACCTCTCCTGCAGCCCGCTGCTCCCCTCAGCAGTGTACTTCAGTCCCTCTGCCTGCTCTGCTCCCCGCTCTGGCTCTGGTGAATTCTCTCACCCGCCCACACTTCTGACTGTACCCAGTGCTTGTATAAATAAATAAATCTTAAAAAAAAAAAACTAAAAAAAAAAAACTTGAATTATCAGGGCCTCCCTGGTGGCACAAGGTGTTAAGTATTGCACTATGAAGCAGTCCACAGCCTCTGCAACACGAGTTCAATCCCCGGCAGGCCAGGGAGCAACCCACATGGCAAGGCAGACCTCTCCTGTCTCGCCCACTCTCCCTTCAGCAGTGTATTTCAGTCGGTCTGCCTGTTCCGTTCCCCATTCTGTCTCTGGTGAATCCTCTCACCCCCTCTCCGCTCCCCGCATCTCTGGCCTGTACCCCAGTTCTTGTATATATAAACAAATCTTTAAAAAAAATATAAAGATAGTAAAATAGATTTAAAAAATACTTGAATTATCAAAATTAAAAGGTAATATGTATTATGGCCTTGAGTAGCACCTGTGAAGTCAAAATTATTTAAATGCAACTAATTTTTAAAAAAATTTTTCTATGAATTTTTATAAAAATGCAACAATGTTCAATTCTAATGTTCAATGTCTATATAGTTGCCAATGTCAACAATGGATATCATACTTCTACATGTCTACTAATTTAAAAGTATTATGAGCTGTTTATTAGTCTCCATATGTAACTGTTGCATACATACACACACTGAAATATGAAGAGAGACAAGAGAACCAACACTCAGCACTAATAAAAACAGATACTCATTTTAATGCAAGTATCTGTTACACTCAGACTGAGAATTTGCAAGTAATTTGTCTTTCCTTCTCCCCAGTTGTTCTCTTTGTTCAAATCCTCCCTGTATTCAGAAGCAGTAGCACTGTATTCCCTCTATTCCTCTTCAGCACCTCATTTCTATGATAGTGACACACTTGGACATCTTGTCAACACATGAACTTCCTGATCCTCAAATACCTTAGCTTCTGTCATCCCACTCCAAACACTCCCAGCATTCTCCTTTGCCAATTCCCTTGCCCCTTGATCATCCTGTCTAGCAAAGGCCAGGTTTGAAGCAATTCAACTCTGATTTCTATATGCCACCAGTGCTACTGGGGGAAATCACTCAGATTAGCACTTCAAAGAGCTTGGATACAGTCAATAATTTCTCTGGGACTTAAAACTATGTTAGTCACGATGGCAGACTCTTAGGCTATCAGCTTTTGTTGTTTTAGGGCTGAAACCCCAAAGCCTTCGTAACAGAGTACACATTTCTTAAATACTATTTTCTTATATATTTTTGTGAAATGTAAGACTTAAAAGGTCATGACCAAGGGAGGGAATCCTTCTTGCCTAGGTCTAGGGCATTATTGTTTATGTAATCTTAACTTGGTTGCTAGGGGCCAGGACCTGGAAATTTCCAGAAAGAGGGCCCTTTTGGGTGCCAGGTGCAATGTCTACTATTGAGGGTTTAATATCAATGTGGCATGAAGGGAAAATTGAGTGTTTACTGGACATGAGAGAATTTGCTTCAAGTTTCTGAGAGAATACGACTAGACCGAAATTATGTCAATTCAAATAACATGATACTATAGGAAGTTCAAGTGAGTAATGTGGTAAGTGTGGATACAGATGGGTTACCCAAAGCACTAGTATTTGAAAGTGTGTTACACCTGCCTTCAGACTCAGTTCCCAGATGTCATCACTGACCTTCTCCTCTATTCCTCTTCAGCACCTCATTTCTATGATAGTGACACACTTGGACATCTTGTCAACACATGAACTTCCTGATCCTCAAATACCTTAGCTTCTGTCATCCCACTCCAAACACTCCCAGCATTCTCCTTTGCCAATTCCCTTGCCCCTTGATCATCCTGTCTAGCAAAGGCCAGGTTTGAAGCAATTCAACTCTGATTTCTATATGCCACCAGTGCTACTGGGGGAAATCACTCAGATTAGTAGATTATAGCCTCCATAAATCACTGGTCATCAACATCCATTGGGTTTTCAGAGATACCTGGTCATCTGTCCTGCAACAATCAAGGATGGATCCAGTGAATTTTATATAATTACATCCTTGAGGTTATAAAATTAGATATAAAACTAGGTGCACAAAAATGGATGTGGATTTAGAATGAGAAAAATTTCTATTTAAGGTCTTCTGAGTCTTCTGTAGGCAACTTACCAGCAATGCTTGCATAGAAAGATTTTCCTGATAGCAAATACTTGATATAGACCATTGAATGCTTGTTGAATGAGGAGGGGAAAAGAAATAGTCAATACAGAGAACCCCTTGCGTTTCTAATTCAGGTAGTGGAGATGATGAAGGAAGGGTTCTAAGCAGAAATAACAACAAAATGAATAGGGAGCAGGAAAGCACTCCCTCTTAAAAGCTAGTCAGTAACCCTAGATGAATTTGTTATAGAAAAATTAAAGTTTTAAGGATTGGGACAGGCAACATTATCAACATATAAGTCAGGATAATGACCAAGCAAAGGTCATTTCCCTCAGAGTTACTGTTACTATTGACATTTGGTTGCTTAGGAATGAAGAATCTAATAGTCTTTGATCTACTTTGCTTCAGCTCTAGGCAAAGATATCTGGTAACTTTGGAGTGTCTCAGGTTTCTAAACAAAGTTAGTGGCCCTCTATCCTAGATATAGAGTGGGTGTACCAATGTTCTTTGTTGTGACATTTTTGTACCATGTTCACATCAGATGGCTTTCAGGTCTACTTTCATCATAACCTTTTGTTTGTGGTTTTTGATTTGTTTGGTTTCGTTTGTTTGATTTAATGAGAAATTGGACGAGGCCATATTTCTGGGGAAATAAGATAATGGCATCACAGCTACTGTCTCAAGTATCATTCTGCAAACATGCTCCAAGAAGGCAGGAGGAGGAGGGTCCAGGGGAGACAAAGGACAATTAACTTTATGGGGAACAGAAGGGACATGTTGGACACATATACAGGGAGGATTTCCCATGCAGGTACTTGGTGTAATTTCTGAGCAACTCCCAGACCACCTCAGACCATGGCCATACAGTCAATGGCTACCTAGGCATTCCTGGCTGCCTCGTGATGTGGGCCATTGTCTTAAGGCAGGAACGCAGGAGTGCCTATCCTAATCCTATACACATACACACACACACACATGCATAGAGGCCATACACACACAGGTGCAGAGGCCCCAAGTGGTAGAAAGGCCACACATTAGTATTACCTATTTCTCTCACCAAATGAAGCCAAAAGAAAAAGTTTTCTAGTGCTAGAGAGTACACCTGTAGTTTTCAACACATAGGGAACATGAGATAAATCCTAACCAAAGAGACAGTAGTTATGATGGGAATTATTTAAAGTTCAAGAGTTAAGGCCATCTTTCCTACTCACCTTTTCTCTCCACTCAGAACAAGGGAAAAAAGATGGGGGGATTAAGAGCAAGATAGTACAAAGAAGTCACAGAGCCAAGAAACTTGCATGACAGATACTTTATTGTGACCTGTTTGCAGTAAAACATTCAACCCTTTGACATGTACATTGGTTAATTTTTTGCTGGAGACCACACACATGTGATGCTCAAAGGCCTTTAGCCTCGTCTTATGTCAGTCTAGTCAGTGCCTATTTATAGTTCAATGTTAGCGCAAAAAGCCAGGAAAATCTGGTTTTAACATCCCAAATTAAGGGCTGCATAACTTGCAACCCATTTATATAAAGTGCTTAGGTTCAGTGCAAAAGGGGCAGACTCAGAAGGGCAAGCAGATGCCATGGAATGACACCTCCGGGAGACGGATGCAATCTGACTCAAAGAAAAAAGAGTTACTTGTCAAATTTCCCCACAAAGGGATCTAGTACTTTCTTCGCAGTCTTTCCCCTCTCTAGCAGGATCAAAGCTTTGAATCTGACAGGTGCCTGTCGAGTTGCTTATTAAAAACCTGGCTTACAGGGAAATCCACAAGGTTTCTAAGCACCAGAGATACTGACTTGGGCTTCCGGTTCCTATCTCAGCAGCAAATATGACATGGGCAGGCTGAGCTTGGGTTAGTGGGAGGTGGGGAGCTGCAGAGCTTTTCTCAGGCCTCTCATTTACAAATCCAAGTCACAAAGAATGACAGACACCGCAAAAACAGTTGCATCTTGTGTGGGAAGACACACCGGTGCATATCAAAGGAGCACCTGGCCTATTTCCCACTCACTGTTCCCTTGTCTTGAGCCTTGTCCACAGGCTCAACCCTTGACTCCCTGTGATGGGACAAGTTCACTGCTTTCAGTGACCTGGGTTATGCACATTCATTCCTCGTTCCTGAAGAGAAGCAGGAGGGAAGAGGAAGTGTTTTCCTATCCAATTGAAGGCGCACAAACAGGACAAAGCTGAGCCATCAATCCTTGGATCCTGGCAACCGTTCTTCTCCCCAGCCTCTCAAAAAGGGGGAGCCACATCCTCTCACTTTGCAGCTGGGATGTTCACAAAAGCCAGCTCTGCTCTTGTTAGCAACTTCCCCATGTTCCTGTTTGGAGCGGTTCACCTTCCTCTCCCTGCTGGGTGAATGTGATGGGGCCCCTCCTGCCCATGTGTGGGGCTCCAGACCCGAGCACTTGCACATGCACCCACAGCTTTCAGACATCAGCACATAGGGACCCTTTTATTCAGACCACTTTTCAAAGACTCACAGTAACTCCTTGTGCTTGTGAGGAGACACTGGAACAGTTTTATTCCATAGGTAGCACTTTCCCCAAAGCCAACAATGAATTTTAGAGAGAGGAACAATCCTTTTGGAGCTGCTTTATAATTCTCTGTAAAACCCTTCTACCTATGAGGCGCTACCAGAGTGTCTCCACATGGAGGAGTCTGTGTACAAACAGGATGACCCAGGTTGAGAACCAAAAGGCAGGAAAGGCTTTTAGAAGGGCAGAAGTCTAAAGTAAAGTGCCTTTTGTTAGTGAGGGAGAGTTTGTTTGTTCAGAAATGCTTGGGCGTAAACATGAGTACACAGGAGTTTAAACACACACTCACTCACTCACTCTGAGGTAGAAAGAACTGGCCATCTCTAGACAAACACACACAGAACCCACAATCTTACAGAAACATGGCACTTGCGTGAAAGCTCCTGTTCTTGCCCAAGACGGCAAGTAGGGGCCAATCCAGCTCTTTCTGACCTGGGGCAGCACCAGGGAACTCCCGTGGTCCAGGAGGAAAGAGTGCAGAACATCTCCAGCAGTCCTCTTCCACAGTGTTCATCCCTGTGGCCCAGGGTCACTTCTTGGAGCCCGAGCTGTGGGCTCCTCGGGTGCGGCTTGTCAGAAGCCACTGGGTGCAGATGTCTTGCACTACTGCGTCCCCGCTGCTCTTGGCCGCCTGCTGCACTTGCTGGACGAGGGCTGTGGCTCGTGAGTGTTCTTGCTTCACGGCAATCAAGTAAGCAGAACGCAGTTTGCAACATGTCAGGTAGGCCTGAACCTGGGAATCGAAGAGACAGTGGAAAGGAAACATCACCAACAAATCATCAACAAACACAGTTAAATCAGAGAGCTCAGGTAGCCCAACATTGCATCCCACCCACCTAATCAGTGACTGGGTTCTTGTTTTTTATTAACGTCATTGTAATTCCTAAAATACTCGGACACTAGCCATGTTACTTTATAGTATTAAAAGTTATTACAAATAAGCTCAGAATTTGAAAATAAGAAGGGGGCAAGAGGCAGGAGGCAAAGTCTTGCTCCTGTTAGTCCCTTCGAGTCCTCCTTTTTTTTTTAGAAGATTTATTTATGCACAAAACACTCCTATCTGGGTCCCAAATTCACCTCTGGAGAACAGAGAAGCTGAGGTACATACAGGTTATATGGAACTGTTGTAGGTTATAGGCCAGAGGTGCAGGGGGGTGAGAGGATTCACCAGAGAAAGAGTGGGAGCAAACAGGCAGATTGACTGAAATACACTGCTGAGGGGAGCAGCGGGCGAGACAGGAGAGTCTGTTGTGCCATGTGAGTCACCTCCCTGGCCTGGGATTGAACTCATGCTGCAGTGGCTGCAAATAGTTTCATAGTTTTGAGACTTAACCTCTTGTACCACCAGGGAGGCCCCTCGAGTCCTCCTTCTATCCTGGGCTCTTCTTGTGACTTCACTGCCTAAATTATGACTTTTTAGCTATTTGGGTGATTATTTGATTGATATCTGTCTCCTTGACTAGACTTCAAGCCACATGAGGGCAGGAATAGTGTCTACCTTTTCCACCTCTGTATTCCTGATGCCTAGCAAAGGCCAGGAATATGGTAGGTGTTCAAAAAATATGCATAAAATGAATGAATGAATGAATGAAGGCTCTATCATACCTCACCTTACAGTGAGGTATTTTCTATTTTTGACCTGTTGAATTTATAATCTTTCAAAAGGAAATTGGGGAAGAAAAGGCATACACATAATTAGGAAAGGTCTGCTTAAGCACTAACTCCAGTTTGACTTGACTTTTATTGTTTGGCTCAGAGGTGACTCAGTTTTGGGAGGGGTATGGGTGGGTGGTAACTTTCCTATGCCCTAGATGCTCTCCACTTTATATATCACCTCCCATCCTTTCCAGCCCTGATCTCACAGCACCTCCCTGTTCTAAGCCAGTGAATGATGAGCCCTCACAAGATGTCTCAGAGTCCCCACTAGCAGCTGACTTTCTGCCGTGACAGCCCCTCTTGGTTGTTGGAGGGGACTCTCCCCTCTTCATGCTGCAGTGTTCCACCCTCATGTCTGTCTTGGCTCACTAACATCTTCCTTTTTTGAGCTCAGTAACAGATGGCTTCCCATCACTAGAAGATGTTTGGCATATTCTGAACTCATTGACGTGATTAAGTCCCGCTGTTCAGACATTGTCCTGCTGCCCCAGGAGGTTGGGTTTCGCCCTGGCCGTCAGCTCCCTGATGAAATCTACATCATGAGTTGGCAGGAAAAAATTCCCACCAGGGCCTCCCTGGTGGTGCTAGGGATTAAGACACAACCTATGAAGTTATCTGCAGCTACCGCAGCATGAGTTCAATCTCTGACTAGGGAGATACCCACATGGTGCAGCAGATCTCTCCTGTCTCGTCCGCTGCTCCCCTCAGCAGTGTGTTTCAGTCAGTCTGCCTGTTCTGTTCCCCACTCTGTCTCTGGTGAATCCTCTTACCCCCCACATCTCTGGCCTGTACCCAAGTTTTTGTATGCATAAATAAATAAATCTTTTAAAAAAAAAAATTCCCACCAGGAGGAGGGCATTTTGCAAGAAAGACTACAATAGGAATTGAGTGAAGTTGGCATTTGGCAAGGCCATATGGCCTGAGATCACTTAGAATAGCTGCTGAGAGGAAAAACCTGAAAAAGCCAGAAGGATGCTCTAGATTTTTGTGTACATCTTTCCCAGGGACAAAGCCTCTGTCCTGATGAGCAGGAGGCTCCTGAAGATGTGGAATTAGACAGTAGTCTGGGAATCAGGGATTCTGGATATATTTCCTGGCTGTCAGGTTCTCACTCTGATTCTAGGAAATTAATTATTTTTACTCCTGTCATACTTCTATCCTCATCAAGATGTTGCAGAAGTAAATGAAGAAATGTTTGTAACACATTCTCCCTAATAACCTCAACTGAAAAATGCCCTGCAAATTCAGTCCAGGGATTAGCAACATTGCCATGGGGAGCAGCTCTGTGGTTGTGTAAGCAGCTGACATTAGTTTTCTTCTTCCAGAGCATTCCATTTTAAATGGCAGGGCTTGGTTTTCCCTGGCCTCTCCTGGCCCATTTTTCTGGATGGCAAGTGGACTGAGCCAGTGGCCAGTCACAAACAGGAGCAGCTGGGAAACTTGTATTCTGGCTGGCCTTCCTTGAAAGGCAATGTGAGGCAAAGGTTGATGGATTTCCTACTACACAGGAAAGAGCTAACTGGGAGAGTTGAACAGAAGCCTGTTCTGGAGAATCAAACACCAAAGACATTTGTTGGTCAAAGGCCTGAGTGGGTTTTTTTCTTACTAGTAAAGGTAGCTAGCTATTTCCTTTCTGGGTAAAAAAAAAAATGCCTACTTTGAGGAACTTATTCACTCAATTAATCTGAAAATAGAAGTAAGGGATTTCCTAGGAGTCTCTGAGAGACCTTCCCTGAAAATGGAGATTCAAGAGCAACTGAGGACATGTTTGTTTTCGGGATAAAGAAATGGGAAGGCACAGTCACACGTCAATGTTCATGGTCCCTGTGTATCCCTCCTTCTACACTCCTATCTGGGTCCCAACTTCACCTCTGGAGAACAGAGAAGCTGAGGTACATACAGGTTATATGGAACTGTTGTAGGAAGCAAGGGACAGCAAAGACAGGCAAGCCAAAGGTGCTGTTCATGAGCACTCCCAGGGCTTTGAGACGATTCTGCTCACCTTGTTGTCATCATTGTGTATTGCCTGGATCAGCCCCTCCAGCTCCTGTGCAGAACAGAGACATAGTAGTTAAGAGAGGCAGACGCGTCCCCAATACGGGAGCCAGGGCCCAGTCCAGCCTTAGTGCTGACTTCCGGGTGGGGCTATTTACTTGACCCTTCTTTTTAAATCAACTCTTGCTGTAAGAGGGAATCTAATGATAACACTAAGCTTGGGAATTTGAGGAGGAAGAATTACACCCAAGAGGCTTGCCCTTGGGTTTCACAAAAGGATGCAGCTCTGTTCATCCCACAAGGAAGGCACAAAGGGACAATTTTGAAGACAACATGCTTTATAGGCCATCTACCAGCCAGGCCTCCTCTACGATCACAGGGAGAAGTTCAATTCTGTCTCTGTGCACACACTCAAGGTGAAACATTAGACCTTCTGGATACAGAGGTTATCACCATGAATTTTCTCTCCAGGGAAGGGTTGTTAAGAGTTGAGGCACTGCTCTCCCTGGTGGCGCAGGGGGTTGAGACGCAACCCATGAAGCTATCCTCAGCCTCTGCAGCATGAGTTCGATCCCCGGCCAGCCAGGACCTGCCCACATGACACAGCAGATCTCTCCTGGCTTGCCCGCTGCTCCCCTCAGCAGTGTACTTCGGTCAATCTTCCTGTTCTGTTCCCTATTCTGTCTCTGGTCGATCCTCTCATCCTCCACACCTCTGGCCTGTACCCCAGCTCTTGTATGCATAAAAAAAAAAAAGAGTGAGGCATTGCTACAGGGGATCAGAAAGATAAAGGATCTTGTAGAGTTTCAGGTACATTATAGGGAACAGAAATAAAGAGGGGAATGTAAAGACACTGAAATAGACAGAGTGGTTCAGCATGAACAGACCTGGGGTGGAATTCTTTTGAATGCTTCCAAGCAGTTGAGAAGGATGGTGTCCCCATCGCTTTTGGCAGCCATGCCTGACTCACTGACGCACTTGAGCAGCTGTCGTATCTCACTGTATTTCTCACTCTCCACCAGCTGCCGGGCAGCTCTGCAGTAGGTGGCAGCAGCGTCCAGCTGGAAATCCTAGAACGGATGTGGGGTAATGGGCTTAGGGTGACGGGGATGACCACATGGAAGGAAGACCACATTTAAGAAACTCCCACCATGCTTGTTGTAGATAAGTCATATTGATTATAGTCACAATAGAAAACATATATAAAATCAATCAACACAAAATAAGACAAAGTTTCTCTCTGGAGTTAGGCAGAGACTTAGTAATCAACCATAAAAGTGGCAATATTACATTCAAAAGGGTATATTTCATTTGCTGTTGTGTTACTTCCCAAAAATAAACCAATGCAATACCCAAGACCAGCTAATTCTCTAATGAGTCATCTTTCCCATGGGATATTTTCCTGGAAACCTGGATGCCTCAGTGCTGTTAAGATGTGCCTCACTGTTGAGAAACAGACCAATCGCTAGAAATTACTAGATAAACAGCTTGGGAGATGCTGTCCCTGTCCCTGCCCAGCAAGGGTATCTGTGTGTAGAGAGCTCTGTCCAAGGATTCTTGGGCCTATCATGAAGTCCTAGATCTCGAGACAAGCACAGTGCATTCAAGACCTGCCTGCTCAGATGGTCCTCAGAGTGTGTGTGCAACTGTGTGGCAGGGTATGAATGGAGAGAATCTGCTTCTAATAGTTTCAGTGCTCTGGCCCAGTTGCTGCTTCAACAACAGTCATAGCTGTGTCCTCTTATCATAAGCAACATAAAATGAACTTCTGGAACCAGCTCCTGCACACGTGGAGGTTGCTTGTGGCCCCTCCTGCACACAGAATACCCCCAGACCACCTCATCCAGTCACATTCCCCTGTGAGGTCAAGCAGAGGCTCTGCAGGAAACAGCTATGGGGACCTGGTTTCTGGTATTTTATTGCTTCTGATGAATTTGTCATTGGTTACTTGGCTCTTGGCAATGTGACCTAGAGTCTGGGATTTGACCCAGTTCTGTAACAGCCACCTCCTTTAATCTGTGATGTCCATGTAAATCTGCCTTCCTTGGGATAAAATTTTCTGAAGTTTGATCTCTCCTGGGACAGTGGTCAGGTGCTGACTGCCCTCAGAATAACTGGAGTAATCTGCACCTTACCTGCAGGACCCGGAATGCAATTCCAAAACCATCTTCTACATTTTTCCCTCCTAGCATGACCTGAAAAGGAGAGGGAAACATGCTCAAAGAAGCATTAATACTGGAGTAACCCCTCACTCAAGAATGAGGACCCTCCACTCATTCAGCAAATATTTGTTGAAACTGTAATTGCCAGGCACTGGGGATACGAAAGTGATCAGAATGGACTTGGTCTCTGGCCTTTGGTGGCTCACACTCTAATGGGAAGACAGCCAACAAACACAACTGTAACAACTAGGAGGCAAGTGCAGTTGTGAAAAGCAGCCTGGAGGGGAAGAGCAGTGTGTCAGAGATTGGAAATGTCATATGTACCTTGCAGGCAACATCCATTTTCATGGGGTTATTTCCAAACAGTGTTGGTAGAGGCAAGCTGGTGATCTGCGAGGTACCAGCGCTTTCACAACGATGTAGGAACCTGGTGACTTCCATCTGCAGCTGGAGCGTGTTCATATGCCTAAGGTGACAGGGGAGGGCCAGTTTAGCCTCAAGTAGGACTTCAGGAGGGCTGTGACTAGGGCCAGGTGATTGGGAAATCATAAGATGGCAGTGAAAAGGGCAAAAGAAATGATATGAACAGAAAAGATATCCAGAAAATTCTGAGCAGTGTGACAAGACAAAAATGGGTGCCTGGTGTCCTGAACAGACTCATAATACTTAAGTTATGAGTTATCCACAGAGCTGGATAACGTGCAGTCCTTGAGTATTTACAAAGTACTATGTACCAGGCACTATGTTGGCTGCTAACAACAACAGAGGTCAAAAGAGACATGAATCCTGCCCTCATGGGGCTCACAGGCTAAAGGAGTGATGGATAATGAACAAACATAAAATATCTAGTAATGGGGCTATGAAGGCAATAAATGGTAGTGCTGGGCCATTTACTCTAGATGTAGTGTTCTAAGTACAGAACTCAGGCAGCGCTAAGCTGAGAGGAGGGAAGAACTTAAGTGTGTTGAGGAATGCCCAGGAGGTCGGTGTGGGAGGAGAGCAGAGCAAGATAAAGATGGAGGTGCAGGCAGATCATGCAGGACCTCTTCTGCCTATAGTAAGGGGTTTAGAGTTTAGTCTGATTGTAACATATGACCTCAACCCTCCTAGACTCTTGTTTCCCATGAGCTCCTCTATAGGATTTCCAGGCTTGTACTGGGCCCCTTCATCCAGAATGATTCCATTTATATTTGCTTTTTCTAATGGTTCAGGGATCGACAAGCATAGCTCCCTCATCAGCCAGAGACTCATTCTGGCCTGAGTGCCCACCCTCCTTGTTCCCTGAGCTACCTCGATACATCAGCTGCAGTCATCTTCTTTCGGAAGAAAGTGGTTTTCTTCTTTCTTGAGCTGCGGGAGTTTTCCTGGAGGTAGATCTTCAAGTGGTCCTTGGCCTTAAGTAGCCACGAGAGCTTTTCTCCCAGTTCTGTATATGTTTTTGCTTTGTGACTGAAGAAGCGGATACAGGTCATGGCAGCCCGGACCTGGTCCTAGAAGAGAAAATGAACGTTTAGGTCAGAAAAGGCCCAGGGGTTGTGGCAGGTGGGTGTGTGATGAGAGTCTGATCTGACTCCCACCTATAAAGCCTGGTTGCCAACATCCTTTCCCATCACCAGCTGGACTCCTATTCCATATATCACTCCTAGGCCCAAGGGACCCCAAAGTGGCTAAGTTTTGGGGTAGGACATTATTCCAACATAGAAGAGATCTTAAAAAAAAGATCCTTCTGATTCTCCATTCAACTTGGCTTCACTCTTCTTTTGGGTTTGAACAATTCAATTTCTCTGATTTTGGATTGGCAACCTGGGACAGATTGGGAGAAACCTGTTTCCTCTCCCTTCATGCATCTTCTCTAAAAACATTTCTCCATCATTCCTTACGAAATCTGCATCCATGCCTCATGTTTATCATGAAACTGTCACATACCACTTTTTCACTCCTTAAATGCCATTACTGATAAGATTAAAGTGTACCTTTTAGGGATAAGGATGGAAATCCTAATATTATTTAATGTCAGACAACAACATGGCTTTGCTCTGGGGTTGATCATAGGAAGACCATGGACCAATGACAGTCGTGTTCCCTCACCTGCTGCCTCTCTACATGGCAGGCTGCCAGGTATCAGAGGCAAAGGGGGCATGGGGTGCTATTACCTTCATGAACTGCTGCAGCTCATACAGAATATGATAGTAGTTCTTCTTCTGTAAATGTTGGCAGGCAGCAATCAGGTACTTTCCCCAGGTCTCTAAGGTTGGATCAATGGATTCTAGCAAGTTTTCCAAAATGTGTAGCTTCCCACTTTTATAGCTTGGCTGGAAGATGCCTTCTATGAAGACTTCTGGAGGACTCTCCTGGAGCAGAGCAAGGGGGAAAGTTAGAAGGCTTGAGTCTGGTTGTGGCCTGTCTGGGATCCATTCTGAATTTCTCTCTGCTCACAGACCTTTAGCATCCTCCTACAGTGGTGCTTTAGCCTTTTGTGTGTCTCAGGTAACTGAGAATCCTACTAAAGTGACTGCGGCATTCTTCCCTTCCCTAAACAGAAAAGCTCCTTGACAGAGTTATCTACTCTACCCTATTTCTCTCTTGTGACTTTCTCTCAAATCCACTCTTTTCTAGCTTTTGTAACCACAACTCAAGACACTGACCCTTAGGCCACCAATTACCCCTAACATGGGAAATCTAAAAGTTAATTATTGGTCCTTGTTTTGCACTGATTTTAAAACAGCATTTGATACAACTGATGGCTTCCTCTTCCTTAAAATATATTATTTGGCTTCCAGGACATCAGCCTCTCCAGGATTTTTTTCCACTTCTCCAGTGACTCCTTCTCAATGCTGATTCCTCCTAATCTCCCCAGGGCTTAAGAGGGATCTGTTCTCTTTTCTACCTGCACTCACTTTTTTGGTGGTTTCATTTTTTAAATACTATCTATTTGCTGATTATGCCTAAATCCATATATCTATTCTGTTCATTTCTCCCAAATTATATATCCAACTGTCTACTCAAAATGTCCTCTTGGGCTTCTAGAAAAGTTAATAGGGCACTTCTACTTGTTTCTTCCAAATCTGTTCTTTCTGCAGTCTTCCCATTCTCAAGATGGCAATTTCATTCTTGTTGTTCAGATCAAAAACCTTAACCATCTTTATTACAAGGAGATAGGGAATAAGCAATAACCTCTTCTCTGGTCTACCATCTTTAACTCCTGCCTCTTTTTTGGTCTAGTGCCAACAAATCAAGTAATTCTTTTAAAACATAAATCAGACCATGTAACTCTTCTGCTCAATCTTCCAATGTTTTTTCCTTCTCAGTGCAAAGTCCAAGTCCTTACCATGTTTACAAGGTAGAATGTGATGTGGCCCATTACCTTTCTGACTTTATCTGCTACTACTCTGTCCCTAGCTCACTCTGCTCTGGCCATTCTGGTCTCTACACTGGCAATTCCCTCTACCAGGATTGCACTTCTTTCATAATCTGCACGGCTCACTCTGCACCTCCTGGCCTTTACTCAGATGCCAGCTTCCCTAGGCACCTCTGCCCCTCCCCTGTTTTATTTTTCTTCTTATTATTCATCATCTACACTTTTATATTTATACCTTGCTTATTGCCTCTCTTCCTATTATGGCATAAGTTTTATGAGGGAAGATGTTTTCTTAGTCTTTTCATTGCTACATCTCTAGTACCTTGGCTATTTAATAAATATATCTTAGATGAGTGAATAGATGATGGACATTTATGGAGCAACTCTTCAGGGAGGTCACATACATAATAACCTTTCGCTTTTGAAGCTCATCTTGGTTCAGGGACTCTGAGTCCATACATCCCATTCCATGGTCATTGATATGTGATTTTGGCATTTAGATGTTAGAATCAGAGTAATTAACAGAGGGTACAGGATGGCTAGAAACTCATGGTAGATAACCTGCTAGTAGTGCTGGGTATGAGCTGTTTCAGTGTGGAGATCTGGGCTTTGAGAACACCCACAGTGGGTGAGGGCTCCTTTCCCAATTCCTAACTGAGAACCTTAGACCTAACCTCAAAGTTATAGGGCCAACTCTGAGAAGCAGGGCATCAACTCCAGAGGAAGGCAGAATTCCTCGGAAGAGTAACACCATAAGGTCTCCCATTTCATCCATTCATCTATCCACTCATTCTTCATAAATGGGACTAGGCCAGGTGCTGAATGCTTCTAGGCCCGGATGGGAAGACACACTGTAAAAACCAATTGCAATCCATTGGGATACATGCAGTAACAGAGCTAGGTTCTAATACAAAGAGGAGTAGAGGAAGAGGTGACTAATGTTGCTTGAGCCCTGTGGATGCTCAAGGGAGAGGATCTGAAAGGATAAACAACATTTTTCTAAAAAAACAAGGGCAGGGCCTTCTATGTGGGTGAATGGCACAAGCAGACTCACAGAGATAAAGAAGTGCAACATACAACCAGGACATTTTAAGTAATTTGGTAAATCTGAAATGCAGTGTAGAGATAGGATTTGTGGTAAACACACAATGGAGAAATAAGGGGGGGGTCTGACCCTGGTGCATCCTCTATGCATGTTAAGGGATTTGGACTTTATCCTATGGCCATGGGATCTATTGCAGGCCTTTTAGGAGGGGAACAAAAGGCATCATGAATAACATAAAAAACATGCATTTATGTTTAAAAAGCTCACTGGGGCAGTGTGATAGGAAAAGGGATGAAAGGGACAGGGAATAGGCAAGAAACAGAACACCTTCTCTGCCTGGAGCATTAAGCCATAGTTTTTATATGGTCTTGTTTTCTGTTGGTCCCCACATACTTGCAAATAAGGTAAGATAGTTCAGCTCAAGGGTGATTGTGATTACAGGAGATAAGAAAAGGCTCCTTTCCAGACACACGGAAAGCAGGGGCAATGCTGTCATCAGCTTATATGAAAATAAGTAAGCAGCTTAACACTAAAGGAGGCATCAGCTAGAAGGAACAGAATTGGGGGATTTCCATTCTCCATTTGTGCTTGGGAAAAGCAGTTTTACCTCAAAACTCACTTGGAAACGGAGGAACTCAGTTGAACTCCAAATAATCTAACTTTTACATTACTCTTGAGATCTGGTTAGTAGTTATATATAGTAGCTACAGCCAATAGGGAAACATTTCCTTCACTGTTCTGTAGGGGTATAGTCACCACGAATCTGGGAACTGGTAACTTCACTTGGAACAACCCCAGAAGATATGGCTATTTACCACTTTCACTGGCTGTCATTTTGATTTAGGGAGGAAGACTAAAGTTAAAGTAGAACCTGAACTCCTTTAATTTTATATGAAATTTGGTACCAATCAGTCAATTCCTTTAAATGATACCAAGGAATGTTCAGATAAAAAAGGGACTGCTAAAGGGCATGGTGAAAGAGAGTCCTGGCTTTGCTTAACAATGGCTCCAAAGAAGTAATGCACTTCTACAGTGTTTTTGCCTCCTATGGGGGGAGGGTAGAGGACCTGAGGAGAAAAGTGGTAACAGCTCTGAGTGGACCAGCAGCTAGACTGACAGTGGGCATGCTGCCAGGGAGGTGAGAGGTGTGTGGAAACAGAGAGGTCAAGCAATTTGCTCAACATCACACAAGACTCACAATAAGCAGCTCCTTCTGAGACCACACTCTCAACAACTATCTGATTCTGTTAGATGTGTCAGGAGAAGGAACACAATTTGTCACTGCTAGTCATTACCAGTCAGAAGGATTTTTTGGGATCAGACTTCTTGTATACTCAGTGAATTGTGATTTGTATAGATAAAATCTTCCATTTTGACCAGACTCTGCCAGAGGTGGTCCCAGAGCTAAAACCCAGGTTAAGTTTAATGGGGTAATAGCCCCCCTAAATGGGGTAATAGCCCCCCTAGGTGGGCTAAGCAGGCACTCCCTCAGAGAGCAGCGTATGCACACCTTGTTGAGGAGATGCAGTAGAGCTTCCCTCAGGCAGCTGTGCCTCACATAGAAGCTGATGATGGCCAGGTTGGTGCTATAGTTATGCAGGTAGAAGAGGCACTCCTGGTAGTAGGTGTTGTTCATGATCTTCCCTTCAGGTATCACCTCCAGGGAGAGGCTCTGTGTCCGAAGGGTAGCTTCCAGTTCTTTCAAGGTGGCAACGTAATCATCATCTTGCTGACAGGAAAGGAGAGAACAGAAGAGGAAAATGAAACTCAGTAAGGTCTCAGCAGCCTCTCGAAATTCTGCTTTCAAAGAATATTTAACAATGTATAAAAATGTTCATAATAAAATTTTAAGAACAGCAAAACAGGAAGGATATAAGATTCATTATGTTATAATGCTATACAAAAAAAAAAATAATGCTATACAGCATCAATTTCATTCTAAAATATAACAGAAAATTCACCCAAAATCTAAATACTACTCAAGTCTGAGTATAAGAATATGTGATTGTTACCATTTTTAAAATAGTTTTATGTTGGTTCTTTTTTCAAAAAAAAAAAAAATTAAGAATTTGTATTACTTATCTAACCATACAGAGTTACTGATAGAACTACATATGACAAAATGAATGAAATCCACACCTGGCAGCTCTGGCTACTGAATGGAAGCCAAACTTATCCTGCACCAGGGCCTCCCTCCCTGAGCTGACCCATCCCTGCTGTGGTCTTACCAAGGATAGGAGTGGCCTCACTGTAGACTCCAGGTATTCAACCACATCCTGTACCAGTCTTGAGCCATGATTCAGTTGATTGAGGTCAAAAGGGGGTTTCAGGCAGCGACTGAACTTCTCCCGGGCAGCAGAGAGGTTTCCAGCTTTGAGGCAGGCCATGCCCCAAGCGTGCCATGCACCAGTCGTGTCAAGCCCAGTCTTTGTGGAGACCTAGAGGAAAATCCTCTCCTTTCTGTAAGAGGTACCTACATCCAGGCACAAGAGTCCCAAAGACATAGTCTGTCCCCTTGTTGCCAGTCATCTCCCTCCTCTGTCACACCACCCACCATTGCTCTCACACTGGCAACTTGGTCAGTTCTAGATATCTTCCCACAGCCAAAGACAACTGAGATATGGTGATACCTATTTGCATGGCTAGACCAAGCTACTCAATAGAGTGGGTGAAGTTAGCTTTGCTTGCCTCACCTCAACGCCCAGTTGGTAGTACTCTGCTTCTAGAAGCTGGTTCCTCAGCCGGGTTACTGCAGCTGGCTGCAAGATCTGATCCAGAGATGGCACGTGGCGATAGGCAGCAGCAACCAAAATAATCAGCACATCTACTTTGCTGATATAGCTACAGGTAAAAGAAGAGCAAGGTAAGGAGACTCAAGCGTCTAAGAAAATTTGCTGCTTACAGACCATCTATGTCATACCCAGTGTGAAATGTGATCCTGTGACGTAGGAGAGACTAGGATGCTCTGACAGAGATGCTATAAGAAGGGGCTCTCTGAACCTCAGCTCTGACTCTTAGCAGCTCTACAGCCTTGGGGAAGTTAGTCAACCATTTTCTGACTCAATCTGCTCACCTCAAAAGTGGATATAATGAATTTTAAGGATAAAATGAATAACTCAAATGTCTAGAACTTTGTAGGTACTCATATTAATGTGAAGAATAGGGGTGCCCGGGGCTTCCATTTCAGACATGACCTTTGCACTGAATATTGGGTTTCACAAGTTACTCATTAGCTTTTTTTTTCCCCCCGAACCTCGTTTGATTGGGAGAGAGCACGAACTGCATCGACAGCCTGCACTTGTGGTCAGTATGGAGGTCACAGCACTACTGTTCCCTGTAGATGCTGCCAGCAGGAGCATCCTGGCCCTTCACTGGGATTCCATTCTTCTGGACTTGACATTCTTACCCTGGGTTAACAGTGGGCACTTGTTACAGCCCACCAGCACTTTGATCTTACTCCTGACACCTGATGATTGCAAAAACCTTAAAATGACAGGGAGCCCATAGGGCCAGATCACTGGGCTACCTAAACAAGCCTACACTCAAGGTTCTTCAACCTTGTATCATAATTCCAGCAAAAATACCCATAGTTTCCGACTTGTCTATTGATTTCTCTGGAAAGGGATTCAGAACATCATTGATTCTCAATGTGCTGATGATGGGATAGGAGTACAGTATGAAAAGCAAATTAGGTATAATAAAACTTGTCCATTTGAAAAATAAAAACATTTCAAATAGGTGGTATAAATTTCACATTCATTCATTCATTCATTCATTTAAATGTCTATTAGAAGAGGGATGAGTTAAAAATAGTAGAAACATACTCTGTAAACTAGGAGTATAAATGCACATGAGAAATGGATCCACACCCACCAGCAAAAGGACACAAAGGCAGCAATTCTCTAGAGTGGGGTGGGGAGAATCTGTAATTTAAAACCACTGCTTTAAACTACACCTTGGCGTGTGTAGAGACCTTAATTTCTGCTGCCCTCTGTCTAAGTGGACATTTCCTACATCTATATCAGATTTTGAAGGCAATATAGGATGAGATATTAAATTTGTTTTCCCCCCTCATCTGAGTATATTTTTCTTTTAATTAGATGTTATCTCATTTACATTACTGATAGTTGAGATTATTTAGCTGTATTTTTATGTTTGCCTTAAATCTTTATTCACACTTTCTTTGCCTTCTACCTTTTGTTATTCTGTCTTTTCCTCCTTCTCTCTTCCATTTTTTTTCCATGACTGTTCTTAAAACTTTACCTAACATATATATACTTTATTTACCAAGTATGATGTATTTCCTCTTGATGTAAACTGTGAAATTAACCCCTTTTACATTTCCTTTCACTTTTTGTCTCACCTTCATCTGCCTTCCTCAACCTTCTGGTTAATAAAATAAAAATAAAATAAAATAAAATAAATAAAACTAGTATTTTTGGAGTACACAGGATGTACCAGGCTCAGTTCTTACCTCTTTACATGGACACTCTCACTTTATTCTCGTAATAGCCCTATTAGATAAATATTGTTATCATCCCTTTTTATGAAGGGGGAAACTGAGGTCCAGAGTGGTTAACAGACTTGTTCAAGGCTACAGAGCTAGAAAGTGGTGATGCTGAGATTCACCCGACTATGTGCTATCTGGTGAGTTTGGCGGAAGTATGCTGAGCAAATGTCTGAGGCACTTATACTTCAAAGAAAATTACTCCTTCTGCTCCCAAATTTGGTTGGGAGTACCAGGACACATAGCATGAGTCATACACCTGGGTGGGTAAGCTGGGAATTGGGAGTTTTCATTGTTAAGTTAATGAATGGAGGCAGAGCAGGTTGTGCAGGGACCTGAGGCCTAATCACACTTTTTTCATGAATTCTGCTTTATGACTCAGGTTCCTCCCTGTCATACAGGGATAGACCAGTCCCTAGTGTGCTTTTATAAGATCTTTATTCAGCCCTCCCGAGAATACAGTCTGAAACTGGTTAAGTCTGGGATAGAGTTTAGGTGAAGGCTAATCAGATACTCATTTTCTATAAAATGTTATCTATAGGCACATTTTCTATAAAAGCTAGAAAGTTGCACAGAGACTGAAGGTGCTCCCTTAACTGAGTTTAATTACGAATTAACCGGAGTCTTTACTTTCTATCTGATCCGGTAGAGAAAACTCTGCACTGAGGATTCACCCTGGGAAAAAGAATGACATAGGCTGTCCAGAGAGGGTGAGAAGGAGCACTCGGGATCTGGTAGCAGCATTTCAACATCAGGTGGTGATGCAAAACATTCCAGTATGTCATGTCAGAGACCTTGGCGAGGGATCTCACTGTGAGGTGGTGAAGAGAAGCTGGATAGAAAGGACCCATGCACAAAAACAGATTCGTTTCCATTCACCTGTCACAAAGAGCCAGATCCTGGCTCCGGCCAGTTTTGACAAACATCATCTTGGCACTGAAGAGCAGCTGCTTCATGATATCTGTGAGAAGCCCTGCATCCACCTCCGGGTTGGTGAGGCCCTGGGACAGCCTGCAGCAGTGCTCGATCAGCTGGTGGCCACAGGCAGTGCTGTCCCGGTGCAGATTCAGGATGGCGATGCACAAGGAGGCACTGGGGGCCTGGCCAGGGTGGAGGAGGAGAAACACCTGGTGAGTTCAAGGCCCCACTCATCCTTCAGAGGCCACTGAAGGGCAGGCACTATTCCTCCCATTTCACAAAGCTTGAAAAACAATGGAGGAACGAACCAAAAATTTCACAGCAAAGCAGAAGGGGAACGAAACACATTTCAGATGTCCTAGACAGCACTGCCAAAGCTCTGGCTGTTAGTTCGTATCACAATGCTGGAAGAAGGCAGCTTCGTCCATGTGTTACCTATTTCTTAAGAATGCCCATAGGCCACCGCCTTTCTTCAGTCTCCTGTCCTACTGGGAGGTCCTTCTTTTTTTTTTTTTTTTTTTTTAAAGATTTATTTTATTTATTTATACAAGCACTTGGTACAGTCAGAAGCACGGGAGGGTGAGAGAATTCACTAGAGCCAGAGCGGGGAATGGAACAGGCAGACCAATGAAATACACTGCTGAGGGGAGCAGCGGGAGAGACAGGAGAGGTCTGCGCGCCATGTGGGACCCTCTCCAGCAACCAGGGATCGAACAGGCGCTGCAGAGGCTGCGGCGTCAGCTTCGGAGCCCAGCGCTCAAGCGCTGCGCCACCTGGGGAGGCCCTGGGAGGTCCTTCTTATTGCTGGCTTGGTAGTCACCCCGCTTGTCTGATTACCTGGAGTAGCCTCTGCTTCAAGCCAGGGGACACACTACTGCTAATTTGTTATTCCTAAGCACACTCTGAAACCTTTCACACTCCCTGATGCCTACCAAGTAGATACTCCTCAGTGCAAACTGAAGTTCTTCATATCGACAGCCCCTTTCCAGCCTAGCTTTCTCTGTCTCTCTATTAACAGCCCACATTCTCTCCAAATTAAAATGTTTTTAATTGCTCAATCATGCCTTGCAATTTTTGTCACTGTCTTTGGTGAGATATTTTCGTTTTGCACTTTTTATTCTTCCCCTATTGTTACTCCCCTCAAAATTCTCCCAATTTCTGTTTGTTAAATTCCTGCTGCTCTTCCAGCCCTCATCTGTAATGCTACGTCTCCCATGAAGCCTTCCCTAGTGGCCCCTTGTGCAGTTTTTCAAATGTTCCTCATTTTTTGCCTTAGCTGATTTACTAGTCTTAGCTCCATACTCATACAGTAAGCAAGTGAAGGTCAGGCTACATCCACCTCTCTCTATTTCCTGCCATACTAATACTACGGGAAGTAATAAATGAGTTATAAGGAAACTCATCTGACCACTACATTGCACTGCTATTACCTGCTCATAGTAGAATTCACTCCGCACCAGCTCATTTTCCTCCTCGTTCAGGTCCAAAATCCACTCGACCTCAGCCGCTTTGGGGACTCTCACCACCGCTGAGTAGGGAGGGCTCTCACTCTTGGAGCTGTCTGGGGCTGGGAAGAGAATTGCCATTCATATGCCAGCGTTCAGTAGAACCCATCCCAGTGAGCTGGCAAGAGGGGCACTTTCTCTCTCCTTGGTCCTTATCTTAGGGCTCTTCCTCTCTCCTTGGTCCCTTTTATTTCCTTTGGGAGAGCGAACCAAGCACCTCAAACTTTCTTCCTTCGGCACAGACTTGAGGTGAGTATTACAGTGTTTGTGATACAAACCCTTTGGTTGACAAAAAAATCCTAAAGGCACAAGCTTCTCAAAAGGAGGGCTGCCAGAGGCTGCTCTAAAAACTAACATGTTGTAGATGGATACAGGCCAAACTATTGATTGTGATGATCCTGGGGAAAGAGAGAGCAGTATGAGGTAGAAAGGTGGTAAAGGGGAGCCTGGGGGAAAGAAAACTACCCACTAGAATTTAGGGGCCAAATTCTTGGGTTGTTGAAAAAAAAACTTCTTGGGTGTTGACTTTCTCAGTGCTGGAAGCTAAAGGGCCAGTATGGTAGACTAAGAGATGATAAACTTTATGGGAAACAGCTGAAATGCTGAGAATTGTCTTTAATCAACAAGTTAGATTGAGTTGCCAATGAGGATATCAGTGGCAGCTGATACACTAAAGGGAGAGTCAACCTGAATATATAAACAAAGAATCACAGGGAATGTGGTTCAGCCTTACCTTCTGCTTGTCCCGGACTCTCATCTGACACACTGGAAAGAGAGAAGAAAACTGAAATGCCTGAATCCTCCTCCTCTTTGTTTTGAGTTAGGTGTATAGCATCTCTGTTACTTGGGCTAGATATCAGGGAATCCACCATAACTGTTTTCTCCCCCTCCCTGGCCACAAGCACTCACTCACCATGCATTGTTCACTTCATCTTGTATATACCTCTTTAAATGTCCCCATCTCTCTTTTCATCCCTGCTTTAGAGAGGGCCCCCATCATTTAATTTTGGAGTCATTGCTATACCTCCGCCATTGGTCTACTTGGTCTGTCAGCCTATTTTCTACTTGGCAGCTATAGCAAGCTCTCAGAAATGCAAACTTGAGCACCTTTAGCTACCTTAAAATGCTTTGGCATTTCCTCAGGGTAAAAATATTCCTTCTCTATAGTACAGAAGACAAGTCCCTATGACCTGGCCTGGCCTTCTTGAGAACATCTCCTGCCACTCATGACCTGTGCTCAGCCCATGAAAGTCCCGCAAGGCCCTGCCACTAGCCCTGATCGACTTCAGATGGTGCCATCAGGCACTAAGTCCCAATGCTGCAAGTGAGAGACCAAGTCTATAGCTGGAAGGGAAGCCTGCTGGTCAACCCAGTCCGTGCTGCCCAAGAGCAAGCCCCAAATCTTTGTGCCATTGCCTAATTCCTCTGGCTCAGCTGACAGCACCTAAGTCCAAGATTTGCCAGCTAGAACTCTGACCCATCACCTGCCCATACACTTCCTCAAACAACTCACAATTTTCACCTGTCTCTACCTTTACATTCTTATTCCCCATTCTGTGCATGCTCTGTTTTAGTTTCTTTTCCTACTAACTTCTCATCCTCAGTCTGGGAGCCACATCTCCAGAAAACCTTCATGATCATCAGATTAAACTGTGTGTACTTTCACTATTGCTCTTAGTCAATAGCTTTGTGGTCTGTTTGTTGGCAGTCTCCCCAACAAATGGGGAGTTTCTTGAGGGTATAGTGATTATTGCTCAGTGATTGTTGACTAAAGGAATCCTCGGCAATACTAAGTGCTCATTTCAAATCTCAGCAGTATGGTAAATGGGTAATTCTTCTGTTTCACACCCCAAGGGAGCGAGTGATATGTTAGGGTCACTGAAACTGTAGAAATAAACTGTAGAATAAGCACATCACATCTTCCTTCTCATGAGACCAGTAATCATCTTAGTAAATAATGGCAAAAAATATTCATATTAAATATAAAAACATTGAGATGTTGAAAAGAATGGAAAATCTAGTAAGTCTGTAAAGAAAGCATGAAGAATCAAGCAATTTTGCTTTTGGATAGCTGCTCTGGTTCATATTGCCAGATGTTGTAGGAGTCTTAGTTTCACCCTCCTCTGCCGCTACAAGTCATGGAGAAAGCTGAGCAACACTAAAACAGCAAATACAGTCTCGATCTGTTTTGTCAGAGGTCGGGGCAATTCCTGAAATTTATCATCAGGTGAACTGCATGTGGGAAAGTGGGGGCTCTCCTAATTGTGGGTTACAAACCAGGATTACTAGCTAGATTAGAGCTGATGCAAGAGAGCAAACATTCAGCAAGTATGAACATGTCCCTCCAAAACCAGCTGGGACCAACTGAAACAAGAGTTTCTAGAACTCAGGTGAAGTTGGAGAACTAAGAGCAGTGGTCTCAGAAGGACTGAAGAACTGTCTTGCTCTTAGAATGTGTAAGAGCATTGAACTTGCTTCCTTTCTTAGTTTCTGTGATCAAAGTCAGTCTACAACCAGTTCACTGTAGAATTAGTGAAAGTCAGTTAAAACTTCCTGTAATTGTTTCACATTTGAAGTGCTTCCACAATCCAATTCCTAGGAGTGTAAGGACCTGGGGGAGGGTTCAGCGATCCAAAATAGTAGCAGCCCTTTTGTGGGACACTCACTCTTTGTTGTAGTAATTATAGCATTGGTCGCACACGCGGGCAGGGTTCTCTCTGCAGCCTTCCACCGCCATTTTCTTAGTGGAGCAGGAATTGCACACTAGCCGGCCACAGCGGCGACAATGATGACGCCTATTAAACTGAGGAGCGCCATTGGGAAGAGAAGGAAGAGAAGGTGAGGATGCTGGAACTGTGAGTGTCCCAACTGTAGCTTAGTGAGAATACTAGGTGCTTGGACCTCTATTGAAAAAAAAAACAACAACAAAACACTGGTCTTGGGCAGCCTCTCTGGTGGCCTAGAGGTTAAGACTCAGCGCTATCACCTCCACAGCCTGAGTGTGATCCCCAGCCAGTAAGCTAACCCACATATAGCACAGCAGACCTTCCCTGTCTCACCTGCTTCTCCCCTCAGCAGTGTATTTTAGTAGATTGGCCTGTTCTGTTCCCTACTGTCTGTCTCTGCTGAATCCTCTCACCCCCTGCACTGCTGGCCTACACCCCAGTTCCTCTACTAAATAAATAAATATTTCAAAAAACCAAAACACTGGACCTTGCCTTCAAGAGGCTGACATTTAATGATAATTCACAACTGATGGATAAAGGTACTCCAGTCATGGACTGTTTTGCAATAGCTCCTGACAAGTTCCACCTGTCTGTGGAGGCACCATGTGTTGACATAGCAAAAAGAATAGGGAAGAAGTGACTTTCTCAGCTTATGTGGCTCACATTTCTCCATGGCGCTGATAATGATGAGTTTCCTTTTTCAAAGTGCTTTTACAAGTACGGCCTCATTTTATTAGAAGAGGTTGACAAAAATATTCTATTTTTTTTACAAATGAGAAGGAAAGAGAAATTACATAATCATTTTCATCAGCACTGGATTAATATGTTAGTCAGGACATGTGGTAGTTTGTTCTAGCAATTTGGTTAGCCCAGAAGTGGAAAAATCATTCACAGTGAGTGACTGGAACTGATTGCCTCAATGAGGCAATCAGCTAGTAAAAAAGCCGAGCTGGGATTAGGACCCCAGTTCTCTGTCCTCAGAGTCAGCACACATGACTGTCACCAGGTCACCAGGGCTATTGTGAAAGACAGGGGACCCAGACACAGGATCTCCTGATGCTTGGTGACTTCTGCTATTCCACTCTACTTCTTTTTAATTGTTCCATGAGAACAACAAATATTTTCTAATTTAAGGTTACTTGAAGGTTGCCTACCACCAGAAAATATACTCGGTTATGTCAAAAATAAACCCAAAGTCTTACATGTGGAAGTCCTGAAAATACCAACTACCCTCTTGGGGACTGCAGTGACTAGAAACTTGGGCTTGTGAACTAGAGTTTTTCTTTCATTTAACCTGCAGGTAAAGCTGGAGCCCTGTGCACTCACCATGGTAAAGTGCTCCCTGCAGCAGACCATGCAGATGCTCTCCGTCTCATCTGGTACCCACTGATGCCTGGCAGGAGGTGTTGCAGGGGGTACAAACTCCAGTGAGGGCTGGCTTGGCAAGAAGCTCCTCTCCCTCAAAATGGGGGAATGCACAATGGAGACACCTGGGAGTCAAGGCCAGAAGTTGGAATAAAAGATAATTAACAGTGCAGCTAATTGGGCCTCCCTGGTAGTGCAAGGGGTTAAGACGCAACCTATGAAGCTCTCTGCAGCCACTGCAGCTCGAGTTCAAGCCCCTGGCCAGGGAGCTACCCACATGGCACAGCAGACCTCTCCTACTCACCCGCTGCTCCCCTCAGCAGTGTATCTCAGCCAGTCTGCCTTCTCTGTTCCCCACTCTGTCTCTGGTGAGTCCTCTCACCCCACCCCCCATACCTCTGGCCTGAACCCCAGGTCTTGTATGCATAAATAAATAAATCTTAAAAAAAAAAATGTTGTAACTGGAAGTGGGATAAGAGACTGAAAGAATCAGAAAGTCAGAACAGAGCCAGACTGAACGAAAGACAGCTAATTCTCAAAATGGTCCTTACCAGGAGCAGCAGCAGAAGCAAACTCTGTTGATGGTGATCTCGACAGGGTTTCGAGGTCTGAAGCCTGACTGACTATTTCCTGGAGGTGACTCACAGAATCTGGAGAGAAGGAAAATGCTGACAAAATATCACTCTATCCTAAGCATCTTTCCTCACTATGCTAGACACCGAGTACTTCAAAGCCCACCCTGCTGACTTTGTTGAATGTCAGCCCATGCATGATTCCACTAGGTGTCAAAGGCAGAACAGAGGAACTTCTATGATAATAGCAAGCATGCTTTTTAAACTCCTCAAAAAAGAAAACTATGAGATTTTTTTCAAATAAACCTAAAAATGCTCAGAGGGAAGGGGAAGACATGTAAATGATAGTCCCAAAGGGTAGCTGGCAGGGAACATCAGCCATTATTTCATTTTCTTGATTGTAGAAGAGGCTGAGTGAGCTCACATACCAGTGATAGCAGATCTGACCCTGGAAATAGAGCCAGGGTCTGTTAAGGACCCATTGCTCCAACACTGGACTGCAGGCTTGGTTTTCCCCAAACCTTTCCTTTATGTCATTATGCAGCCAGTGGCTTTAATTTTGGTTAGTCTGTTACTTCCTCCAAGACCAAGGTGTCTGCTGTATAATAAAGTGCTATTTCTCTTGAATTATATTCCTTTCATTCTCCATCCATCAACTCAAAGTAAAGAAAAAGAGGAGGAATTAAATTTCAGGATGCAGCATGGTGTTGCTTCTCCGTGGAGAACCCACAACTAGGATGTTGGCACTGACCTGATCGTTTCTCCCTCAGAGGGTACGGGAAGTCCAAGGCTTTCCCTGCATATCTGGAAAGCAGCAAGTCGACTTCGTCCATGGTGAAGCCAATCTCCTGGCCGGCCAGCAGCTGGTGCAGGGTCTGCACAGCCACAGTGGCCCAATCCACTTTCATGTTCATGAGCAACTGTTCCAACATGAGCAGGGGGTTAGTGGACAGGTGGGAATAGCTGGCCCGGTGCTGCTCAGGCAGTGTCAGCAGAACCTGTTTGTGGTATAGATTCAGAGTATAAAAAAAAGTATACAAATTTCCAAAAGAAGTCAAAATTCTTACTGGGAAGAGGAAGGACGCAAGGGCCAAAAAGCCCATGGCTAACTTCTGAAACTGGCCAGTAGTCTTTTGGGTAGTAAGGTGGGACGCCTACCTAATCTCCCAGGTATCAGTCAAGAAGAATCAAGTACCATCACTTAGACCAGGGTTCAGAAAGTAGTGGGTCAGATAGTAAATGTTTTTGGCTTTACGGGCCATAAGGTCCCTGTTCCATCTACTCAGTTCTGCCAATGTAGCATAGCAGCAGCCACAGGCAAGCTATAAATGAACACTGTACATGGCTGTGTTCCAGTGAAACCCAATTTACAAAGGCAGGCTGAGGACAGGTCGTTTCCTGAATCCTGGCCTAGACCCTACAGACATGGATGAATGCTCCTTGATCTTTCAAGCTACAGTTCTGTCCACTTGAAGCTTTATTAGATAGAGCAATATAGGTGATGTCAGTTGACTTCCTACACCTGGCATCTTCCATTACCTACAGGTAAATCTAAACTCCTTCTACAGGTCGTTATCATCAGGCTAGAAGTATGTTCACTGGCTCTGCTTATTGCCAGTTTTCAAAGATTCCTCCATTTAGTGCATCAAAAAGGAAAAAAAAAAAAAGTATATCTTTTTTAGGAACATTTTACATAGTTGAACTCTTAGTGACGAAACCAGTGGTCATATTTATTACCCCCTCCACCCTGCACTTGTTCCATTTGTGGGGCAGTATATACAGCAGCCAATCAGAATCATTAAGAGTGTCAAAAGGCGCCATGTCTCCCCAAACTCCTCTTCTCTGGATTACTTTATTTATTAATAGCTTATACTTTCTTCTATTAGCATCTCCAATGTTATACATCAAAGATTAGGAACTATTATGTCATCACAACTAACAATTTTCCATTAGCACAGAGGAATTTTTTAAGCAATAGTTTTAAGTCACGTCAGAATCCCTTTGGAGATAGCCACGCTTTGTCCCAAAAGATTGTTTTAGTTGATTGGGGCTGCAATCTGGCAAGTCCAGATAACTCTAAGACACGGTCAAATTAAGAAGCATTGATATAGCAAATGCCCTGGAAAGCAGAAGAGAACTTTAAGAACCAGGTAAAATTCATTTAGGAGGCAGTTCAGTAAGGCAACGACAAGGCCTAAGAAACTCAGGACGACAGATCCTGGAAGAAGAGCCAAGGAAAGAGCAAGGCCTGAGGAGGGAGCAAGGGCTGGCATTTTTTTCCTCAGGTGTGCCTTCCACAGCCCTTTTCCTTCTTACCTTGGATCCCATGTACAATGCCTGGATTTCACGGTGCCGGACGGCACTCAGTTCCCCATAGAAGTGGGTGGTGAGGTAGTTGGCCAAGAAATGAGATGTGGCCAAGGTAGGGTGTTGGTCAAGGGACTGCTCTGTCACCTCAAGGCACATGGTAGGGTCTGGAATTCTTCGCAGGAGCTGTTGCAGAAGAAAGATTGACGAGAAAGGTGAGGTCTGTAGAAGAACACAGCCCAGCCTTGAGAAAGGAACATTTAGATTTTTTCATTTTGGACAAACTCCTTTGCACTCATTCTTTCATCATCCCTATGATGAAATGGCAGCTTGGCATTCACAAATGGTGGCTTGGCATGTAACTAGGGTTAGGTACGTTCTGCTCAAGATGACTACAACTGGCTCCTGAGAGACATGAAAGGGCAGATCTGAGACTGTAAATGTGTTCATGGGATTCAGCTTGAACAAAGCCATCTGATTTGACCTTGTTCCTCCACAAAGAAAAATGGGAAGAGTTGGAAGCTTACTTGCAGTGCCTTTTCATGATCTCCTGTTTCTAGAAGGTAGAGAAGATGCCTTTGATGTAGGTTGATTAGATGTTCTCTTGGAATGGGGTACAGGCAGCCCCATTCCTCACATAGCCCATACTCCTGGAAGGAAACACTCCGTCAGTCCTTGAAAATTATTGGCTGTGCTACTTTTGCCTCTTCTGTCTGCAAAAGCCCCCGGAAAGTTTGGAAGTGGTGATGGGAACTTGACTATGAGACTAAAGTGGGATCACAGAGGACGAGAATGGCAAGGAAAGTCACAAAAACAGCCAAAGCAGACTGACTGTGACTGATATAATTTTCCTACCTCTATGGAAAACAGTATGGAGGTTCCCAAAATATTAAAAATGGATCTACCATATGACCCAGCAACTGCATTCTGAAATATCCACCCAAAGAATACAAAAACACTAATTTGAAGGGATATATGCACTCTGGTGTTCACTGCAGCCCTATTTACAACAGCTAAGTTACAGAAACATCCTAAGTGTCCAAGGACAGAGATATGGATCATAAAAATGTGGTATATGTATATATACAATGGAATACTACTCAGCTATAAGAAAGGATGAACTAGTGTTATTTGTAACAATATGAATGGAACTGAAGAGGATAATGCTAAGCAAAATAAGTTAGAAGGCGAAAGACAAATACTGCATGGTCTCACTCATATGTGGAATACAAAGAAACATAACAGTCAAAACCAAGCCAATAATATACTCTTAACATCTGACTATAAAACTGAGGCAACCAGAAGGGGAAGGTGGCAAGGTGGGCATTGGGAAGGTAAGGAGCCCTGTGGAACATGGTAGAGGATTGTTGGGGCACTGGTTGGTGATGAGCAGGATATGAAAATACACATTTGCAGGGATTTAATCCTATAACCCCCAAAGCAGATACAACAATGTAAATCTGCTTTAACTCAAGAAACATAATTTGAAACAAAAACCAAACTGAAACAAAAGAAATAAAATAATGAGATACCATTGGCAGGAAGTAAAAAGTTGGACAATACCAAAAGTTGGCAATATGGACTGACTAGAATTGCAAGTGGGAGTATAAATGGGACAACAGTTGTGAGAAGCAATTGAGTAACATCTCAGGAGAGGTGAGGGTGCTCATGACTGATGACACAGACATCCTGCTACTAGGATACACTCCCGCACCCAGGGCATGCAGCGTAGAAAACTTCACGCATGAATACAAGGGTGATAGTACAAAATCATCAACTCCAGTCATCTCTATACTTCTCTGAATATTCATAAATTTCATGTACACAAAACAGAAAATAAATGTACATATTAAAAAATGTAGACACTGAAATGTGGAAAGGGGTCTACTCAACCAAGGGGTTGCAACAATGAAAAGAGAGGGAAGGGGAATATCACCAAGAAAATGATACCTTTGCTTCTAGAATCATGTTCATGACAGTTGATGGGTCCTCAACAGAACATTTCCTCAGTGTCTGCCAGTTACACCACACTGGGCTTGCCTGCAAACCTAGAATCTAAGGAAAGACAGGGAAAGCTGTCAAACCACACTGTAGCTTCTCTCTACAAGAGCAAGTCATTGCAGTTTCCAGGCATGGGCCATCTCTAGGTTGCTGCTGCAAGTTGGGCTATTAGCACTTGCCAAGAAAGGAGGAATTAGAGCAATGGGGGCAAAGATTATTTGTAGAGGTGAATGAACCTATCTGAGCTATCACCAAGGAGTAAAGGCTGAGTGGGGAGGCCAGGATGGGGTCTTCTGCTTGGGAGGACAATTCTCAGGTTGTTCACCTTTTTGAGATCACATGTTCCCTGCCCCTCCATGTCAAACTTTACCCAAGATTTTCTTTTGGCTTAAATGCTCTTTCATGCAGCATTTTATACAATCTGGGGGGTTCTGCATGAAAATGGCTGAGGAAGAATGGAAAAAAAATCTTTTTCACCTGCCAGTTTTACTTTTGCTCCTGGGGCTTTGTGCTCTGGTTCCAAGTACACATGGAAAATATAGCATATATTATATACTTGTTATATAAGTGCACCACCTAAATCTATCTCCCTGAGCTGTTTGCTCTTAAAAATAACATATCTCACAAGAATTTTCCACTTTTTTAATTGCCACATTCATACATTCTTTGCAAAATTGCTCTTGAAATTTAGCTGAAATATAAAACTAGTGTGTCTCTTTAATAGATATACACTAGCGCCTCCTTGGTGGTGCAGCGGTTGAGCGCTGGGTTGTGAAGCTGCCCACAGCCTCTGCAGCACCGATTCAATCCCTGGCTGCCGGGCGAGGGTCCCATATGGCGCACAGACCTCTCCTGCCGCCCAATGCTCCCCTCAGCAGTGTACTTCATCACTCTGGCTGTTCTACTCTCTGCTCTGGCTCTGGCTCTGGTGAATTCTCTCACCTTCCCGTGCTTCTGACTGTACCCAGTGCTTGTATAAATAAATAAATATTAAAAAAAAAAAAGATACACAATAGTCATAAAGCACACACAACACTCATGTGAAAAAGCCTTTGTGGACTATAAAGCATCATTCCAATATGATTTTGTCATTGTTTTCATTCTTGCTCTCTCTCTCTCTCTTTCTCTCTCTCTCTATATATATGTATGTTTTTAAAGTTACAGGAGTAAGTAAAATAGGAACCTGTTAGAGTCTTCTCCTTGTTCCAATAAGAAGAGAAACCAGAAACAGAGCAAAAGCAAGACCTGATTTTCTATTTCTTAAAGATCAACAATCACATGAAAACATGGTAGGCTTGTAATATGGTGAGAAGTCTCTGTCCTTTCTCTTGGAGGCAGGCCCATACCTTCTGATATACCCGCAGCTCTGCCAGCTTTCTCTGTAGCTCACACTTCAGTCCATCTTGCACAGCTGTGTCTGAGATGCAGTAGGCCAGGATCTCCAGGCACGACTCCAGGGGCCACCTGTCCACAAACTGTAGGGTCAACCTACTTCTCAAAGATGCATCCTTCACAGGAAAGAGGTATTGCCAACCTTCTTTATCTACAAGACAAAAAGATGCCCAGAGATTGCAAGACTGGCACTGGGAGAACTCAAGAGTTCAGCTTACTTTTTTTTAAAAAAGATTTATTTTTATTTATTCATATAAGAACAGGAATGTAGGCCAGAGGTATGGGGGGTGAGAGGATTCACTAGAGACAGAGTAGGGAGCAGAACAGGTGGATATACTGAAATACACTGCTGAGGGGAGCAGTGGGTGATACAAGAGAGGTCTGCTGTATCAGGTGGGTCAGCTACCTGGACAGGAATCGGCAGTGGCTGCTGATAGCTTGATATTGCTGAGACTGAACTCCTTGTACCACCAGGAAGGCCCAGCTTACTTCTTAAGAGAAGGGCTTGTTCACTTTCATAAAATAGGAGTGTGAAGGATCCTTAAAATACACCTGATTTTAACAAATTTCTCCACTTGAAACCATCAATGACACAATTGTTATGTTTCTCTATGCAAAATTGATCATAGTCATGAGATTTTGAATCAGAAGGGACAGAAGGGAAGGAGAAATGAGAGAAAGAAAATGAAGTAAGAAAGGAAGGAAGGAAGGAAGACAAGACAGAAGACCAGCTGGAGCTAAGTTTTGGCATGTGGCCCACAGGGCACAGTTTCAGACTCAACTGGCTAGTGGCTAGTCTTACAGTCTCTTACCCCAGTTCTTGTTTTCCCTGCGATTACCATCTGTGTCAGATGTAAGTATTACGGTAGGCCTCCCTGGTGGTGCAAGGAGTTGAGTCTCAAGACTGTGAAGCTGCCCACAGCCACTGCAGCATGAGTTTGATCCCTGGTCAGGGAAGTGAACCACATGGCGCAGCAGACCTCTCCTAACTCACCTGCTGCTCCCCTCAGCAGTGTATTTCAGTCAATCTGCCTGTTCTGTTCCCCACTCTGTCTCTGGTGAATCCTCTCACCCCCTGTACCTCTGACCTGTACCCCAGTTCTTGTATGCATAAATAAATACAAAAAAAAGTTATTACAGTTAAACTAGTTTTACTCCCTTGATATCCTCTGTCATCATTACTTAGCAGATCTGTGTCCCACACCCATTTCACAAAGCTAAAAAACACACTCTGCACAGTCAGCCAGTCAGTGGATTTCTCCACCTTCTCAAGGAGGGATTTTCTCTTTCCAACAAGGAAGCCAACACCTGCTACTAGAAGTCATTCCCTTGAGAGCATGCCTGCCTCCTGCTCCCCCTAGTGGGATGCTGCAGGTCATTGCTCTCAGGCTGGTTACAATTTAAATTTGAGCTTTTAAAACAGAGGTTGTCAAACAGGCACACAGTCTGTTTTTTATAGGTTAAGTTTTTTCAGGCTATAGCTATGCTTATTTTTTTAATGTATCAGCTATGGCTGCTTTCATGCTGTACTGGCAGAGATGAGTAGTTGCAATGGAGACTGTAAGACTTACAAAGCCCATTACAGGAAATATCTTGCTGATTCCTCTTTTTCAATAAATACTTGGTCCTCCCTGGTGGTGCAAGGGGTTAAATCTCAGCACTATGAAGCTATCGGCAGCCACTGAAGCATGAGTTCCATCCCCAGCCAGGGAGCTAACCCACATGGCGCAGCAGACCTCTCCTGTCTCACCTGCTGCTCCCCTCAGCAGTGTATTTCAGTAGATCTGCCTGTTCTGCTCCCTGCTCTGTCTCTGGTGATTCTCTCACCCCCCCCCCCCCAACATCTACACATCTGCATGCATAAGTAAGTCTTTAAAAAAAAAACAAAACACTTGTCTGAGACCCATCCTGGTCTATGGGGTTGGGGGCCAGATAATTATAGATTATAGCATTTTACAGTGATTGTGACATGCAGGGTTGAGAATGTTTATGAGCACATGTTCTAAAGTTAGCTGAGTTGAGTTCTAAGCCCCACTATACCACTTGCTATTCTGGGCAAGTTTCCTCTTCCCTGAGCCTCCATCTCCTCTCAATATCATGAGATTATGGTGGCCCCCATCTCTAGAGTGATGTGAGGGTCAAAAGCACTGTGCCATTAGTGAATGCTACATTATTACCGCTGTAAGAGGGGGAGGGGAGGCTCTGTGCTCACCACATGCTGCAGCGCAGCTCAGGATGGCATCCTTTACGTTGCTCAAGTCATCCACGTCTCGTCCATACACTTCAGTGAGCTGAAGGGCCCGGGGCCAATCTTTGGCCACTAGGGCTTCCTCGAAGGCCTCGGTGAGCACATCCAGGGCATTGGGAGAATGCAGGCCCAGAAGGACAGTAGAGAGACAGGACCGGCCACAGAGACTCCGTGCCAGACTTTGTCCTTGCTCAGAGGGCCCTCGTAGGGGTTCCCAGGCAGCAAGGAGAGCGGCCTCAAGCCTGGGGAACTGTTCCAGAAGGTGCTCACACTCCTGGGCTATCTGCTCTGCATTCAGAGTTACCTCCCTGTGGCCACGAAGTTCTTTCCATGACAAGCTGGGCTTGGTGACCTTCGCTCCTCGGGAAGCCCTCAGACAGGCTACTGTAGCCAGAAGCTTCGAGCAGGACTTAAGAAAGGACAGGGCAGAGGAGGTGAGGGCTGGGGGTGATGAATCCCTTGAGGAAGAGAGAGGCTTTTTCTCCAATGTGGGATTCTCAGTTGGATTTGGCGAGGTCGGTGTAGAAAGAGGGAGGTCCTCCAGGCAGTGGGAGGTGTGCCGCTGGGCCAGGGTGCCCAGGTGGGTCAGAAGGGATGATGTCTGCTGGTTTTGCTGGGAAGAGCAGAGGGCCAGGGGCGCACAGCAGCAGTTGACGATGACCTGTGGCACACTTAGACTCAGCCCCTCTTGGGTCAGAAGGGCTGCCACCCTGGAGGGAGAGAAATAGGGGGCATGTAAAGTCTGAATGCATTGGCCCCATGACCCAATCTCAGCATTTCTTTATGTTTATTCAAGTAAATACAAGTGCAGTCTCTTGCATTTTCTCTTACACCAAAGGTAGCCTATTAGACATAGTGCTCTGCACCTTGCTGCTGTTTTAGTTAATAACATGGGGCCATCTGTTCATCTCTCTTTATAGAAAGACATATTGATAAATTGCCTTCTCACAAGGCTGTACTGATTTATATTCTACCAGCAGTCTAGGAGAAGGCTTGTTTTCCTACAGCCTAGTCAATTAATGTGTTATCAAATTTTTGGATTTTTTCTTATTCTTAAGAGATGATTCACCCCTTAATTTTAAACTTGCAATATAATCATTAGAGGTAGAAATGAGAAAGCAAGAAATGATGCATGTTGAATTTAATGTAGCTATAGAAGAGCACATGCAAATTACAGAAAAAGTCTGCAAGAAATTCCCACTCTGTACTGAATCTAAGCACAGCCCTGACCCTTGCTTTCCGTGATAAAACATTAGGGAGGCCCACGCTTGACTCCTACCTGTCTGGGGGGACTTGTCTCTCAAGCAGGAGGTGAGACACCAGTTGGGAAGGACTCTGTTGCAGAAGAACAAAGGGATTTCCTACCTTGACCTTTGCGTGATCTGAAAAAGTAAAAATAGTGACCTTTGTTTATATCACTTACTGCCAACAGTTCAACCCATTTTCCAGTATCAATAAAAAAATACAGTGTCAAAATAAAGACTACATTCACAGCACTTTTGTGGATGTTTTCTATGTAATAAGTATTTTCCACAAGTCCCTGACTGCAAGTTCATCCATACCTTACCATTGCTCTAAAGACTTCCAACCACAGGGCCTCCCTGGTGGCGCAAGGGGTTAAGCACCACACCATGAAGCAGTCTGCAGCCTCTGCAGCATGAGTTTGATCCCCGGCTGGCCAGGGAGCAACCCACATGGAGAAGCAGACCTCTCCTGTCTCGCTCGCTGCTCCCCTCAGCAGTGTATTTCAGTTAGTCTGCCTGTTCTGTTCCCCACTCTGTCTCTGGTGGGTCCTCTCACCCCCTCACATCTCTGGCCTGTACCCCAGCTCTTGTATGCATAAATAAATAAAAAAAAAAAAAGACTTCCAACCACAGAAAGATGTCTGAGAGCAGGTCTGGCTACAAGCTGCTAGCTCATCCTACTTGCTTCAACCAGACTGAATGTCATGCTACATCTGCTCTGTGGACTCTAGTAGGAATCTGGCCCTTATATCAGACTTAATTCCTCTGCTCAATCACAATTTACTGAGCAGTCCCATTGGGGAGAAACAGATGAAGAAAAAAGACAAATAAGAGAGGAGGCCCTCACTGGTGGCACAAGGAGTCAAGTCTCAGCACTATGAAGCTGTCAGCAGCCACTGTGGCACGAGTTCGATCCCCAGCCAGGGAGCTGGCCCACATGGTGCAGCAGACCTCGCCTGTCTGACCCGCTGCTCCCCTCAACAGTATGTTTTGGTAGATCTGCCTGTTCTGCTCCCCACTGTGTCTCTGGGGAATCCTCTCAGTCCCCTGCACCTCTGACCTACAACTCAGCTCTTGTATGCATAAATAATAAATAAAATAAAAAAAAAGATTGATAAAAAAGAGAGGAGGCCCTTACACATGTAGAGTCCTTAGAACCTCTTAATCAAGTATCATTCCTCTTCCTTGCCTCACACCCTCAAAGGCCAATCATGATTCCCATTCCTTTTGCCGGCTACTTACCATGCTCCGAGCTCAAACTGCGGAGGAGAACAGCAGCCAGGGTGCTGCAGTAACTGAAGAAGGTGCCCATGTAGTCCGTCTGCCCGCTGCCTACTGCCCATGTAGTCTCTCTGCCCAGGTTCTTTTGGAGGAGCTGAGTCTGGACATATACTGGGTGGGTCTCTGCTTCTGGAGCTTTCTGGGCCACTTGCTCTACCAGGGAGGAGAGTGGAGTACTCCGGGGTTCTGAGAGGAGTTCCAGCAAAAGAAGTGATGTCAGCTTTAGTCTGTACACCCAGCTTTGGGTCATTGTCCAAAATAATATGTGAGCTGGCCTCTGCACACTGCAGGGGGCATCCTATAGCCTAGGTACTCACTCAAAGGGCAGCCATACAATCCCAATGTGGTTGACTGTACAAGTGATTCTCAAAGTCAGAAAGGCTCTGTGTTAGAAGAAATCAGGGTGGATAATACTATTTCTGTTTCTGGGGTGGAAAACTTTGTGAAGAGCACAGCCATCTTTTAGGGAAGGGTTAAGGAGTACCTTCTGGATACATTTCTCAACATGTATCAACTAAGGGAGAGTTAGGCACCCCTTCACTGGAGAGGAAGGGAGACAGGTGGAATTAGTTCTCAGGCATGCCCTGACTACCTAGAGCATAGGTGGAGCCCATTCTGGTGTCCTAGTTCTCTTCCTGGCTCAGCTCTTACCTACTCCCATGCAGTGAGTCCATACCATACCTTGCCACTCTAGCGCCTCTCTCAGTGACTGCAGGACCTGATCAAGCTGCTGAGAGAGGGTCGTTTGGCTGGTAACACAATCTTCAGTTAGGCTGGGCCAGCACATCTGAAGAAGCTCAGCAATGCTGCAGCGTGGAGGACACCCTCCTTTTTCTTCTACACCCTCTAGGGAAAGCAAATGAGAGGGAAAAGTGAAAACTGAGCTAACCTTCAGACTCCAAGAGAAACAAAAGGAAGAAAGCAACTCACCTGATTTAGTTTGCCCGACTGATGTAAGTGGATAATTGAGAATCTTAGTGATTTGCTGAAGAACAACTGGGAAACCTCGAATGCCATCAGATTTGACAAGAAGATGGTCTAGCCGTTGACCTGGAAACAGATGAAGAAAGATGGGATGCAGATAAAAATAAGGGGCTTTCAAAGACTGATAAAACTTTCCAAGAAAGTTGTGATAGTTTTGCGGTAACTTGGAGGAAATGTATGCTGTGCCAATGTGGGTGATGACCAGAATACCTGGCTTATCCATGCTTGAGGTCCGAGGGCTATTCCAGCAAATTCCTCTGCTATCAACAGCTGCAGACCCTGAATTTTTGAAACTCTTATGAAACTGTTGTCCCAAGCACTTCTTATGGATTTGCCTTGGATGACTTGAGCTGGGCTCATACCTGCCTTCTCTAATTGCTTTAAATGGTATTTTGACTCCCTAACCAGATAATAGACTTGTGGACAGATTACTTCTATACTTCTCCTATACCCCCATATACTTGGGATAATCTGTAAACACAGTAGGTGCTAAATTAATTCCGACTTGATTGACATAAAACCATTTCAACCAACTAATGTTTGAGTATTATCTCCTAAGTACTAGATGAGGGACGGGGAATTGGTCAATAAAAACAGTATTGTGCATGTTAAGGTATACTTTCTTAGAAGGATTATGTGAACATTAAAAGACTTTTTAACTAATAGCTCAAAAGTGATTCAGAGAGATGTGCAAAAAAGAATTAACATAGTAGGCCCACAACTGCTATCTAGAAAAACCATTTTTAAGATTGGTTCTTGGCTGGTATCTGCAAATCTGAATGGTAAGTGGTTTCTATATTGATATAAAACTGTCCCTAAATGATGAGAATGGCTCAGTGGGCCTAAATTATTTGTGCAATGTGGCTGATGGTGGAAACCTGCTTGCTTTCTTTCTTGGAGACTATAATTTTGGTCCACACTGGGCAGGTATAGCTAGAAACTGCTAGCTCATCCTACTCACTTCAACCAGACTGAATGTCATGCAATGTTTGCTCGGTGGACTCCAGTAGGAATCTGGCACTTACATCTCACTTGATTCTTTGGCTCAAGTTTATAAGACACTGAAGGTCTGAGAAGACCTGGGGCACTTGATCTCTAATGAGCTACCCTGTAGACAACACTTCACTCGTGTCATCACAACTCATTGCTGGAGGAATTAAGCATGTGCTGTGTGACTCCACAAGGAGAGGACTCTTGGAAGCTTGTGTCTGGTTTCCTCCAGACTTTACCAATTTTGCTCTGTATCCTTGCTGGAATAGATCTTAGATTGGGAGTATGACTACTTGCTAAGTGCTGAGTCCTCATAGTGAATCATTGAGCCTGGGGGTGACTTGTCATTTCACAAATAGTCATCACTCCTTGCCATCACGAGAGAACATTCTTTTTTTTTTTTTTCTGTTCATATTTGAGTTTTTATTTTTTTTCTCTTTCATCAATCTTTTAAAATATTTTACTTTATATAATTTTTACATCATTTTTCATCTTTGCACAATGTATGCATTTTCATTTTGGTTATGTTCCCCATACAATTGCATCCCCCTTTATTTTGACCCTAATCCTTCCTCTCCCTGCCCCTCCCCACCTGGTAGTGTGTCTCTGATTTATAGTTGCTTGTTAATTTTGACTTTTACTTTGTATTAATTAGTCTTTTTCCTGGTCCCTTATTTAGGTTTTCTAAATTCCTGCTATGAGTGAGACCATCTGGTATTTTTCTTTTTCTGACTTACTTGGCTGAGCATGATCCCTTCTAGCTCCATCCATGTTGCTGCAAACTGCATGTGTTTATCTTTTTTGATTGCTGAGTAATATTCCATTGCTTATATGTACCACATCCTCTTGATCCAGTCATCTATTTTTGGGCATTTGGGTTGTTTCCAAAGCTTAGCTATTGTAAATAGTGCTGCTATAAACGTAGGGATGCAGGTGCCCTTTGGAATTAATGTTTCTGTGTCATTTGGGTAAATACCTAGGAGTGGAATTGCTGGATCATATGGAAGCTCTATCTTTAGTAGGTGAGAGGACATTCTTTTTCCTCCCTCACTAACATTCAGTGTGTAGATCAAGGATAGGTGGGGGTAGAATTTTGCCTACTTCTGTTTTCATGTTTTCCACCTTCATATATTTGATTCCTGTAAGAATTTCACATATACATTCTGGGGCATTATTAACCTTGAGGTACCATCCTTCTGTAACTGATCCATGACATTTTCTCTTACCTTGGATTACAAACTCAAGACTGTGTCAGATCTTAGGACAGGAGGGGACATGCAATCTAAAGGCACAAATTCTACTTACACCATTTTTGAATATACATTTCTTCCTTGAATTTATCTATAAGCCAGAAAAGAATTTCCCTGAATGATTGCTATATCTAATCAGAAAGTAAGACCCTCAACAGACTATTTATGTCATCAGATTGGGCCTAAGGAAATGAATGAATAATCCTTCTCCCTGTCCCACCTCCCTCAACAACTGATTTCTTCTTATACAATTAATTTATCAAGCAGCTCCAAAAACCAGCTCCTTAGTTGAGAATGAGGGGCTAGTGCTAAAGAGGCACACTCACCCCGGCTCTCAAGGCTGTTGTTCAGACGCCGTTCGGCCGTCTCCAGGAGCTGCTTGCAGGTTTTCCAGAGCTGGCACTGACAGCAAGCTAGGTCAAATGCAGCCATGGCGGGGGGACTGAGGTCTTCCAGAACCTCTCTCAGGGGAGCAGTGGACTCCACCAGGGTACCGTTTATCCAGAAGTCCTCCTGGAGTGTGGGGATGGGGTCTCCAGAGGTGCTAAGCAGCTTGTCAGTCACATCAGAGATGGAGTAAAATACCATCCCTGGACACCCCATAGTGGAGTAAAAAGCACAAGGTTAAAATGATTTGAATTACACTTTAATTAAATAATTTACATAAAAAATGTTTGAGACAAAGGAACTAAACAAAACAAAATAAACCTTTAGACTATAAGACCTATTAGTGGTTACCAGAAGGCAAGGAGGCAGGGGATGGGGAAAGCAGGTAAGAGGGGTCAATTGTACATATGAATTAGACTTTCAGGGGTGAACTTAATGTAATAAATACAGACACTAATTTAGAATCAAGTACACCTGAAACTTCATGTTATAAACCAATATTACTTTAATAATAAAAAAGAATTAAAAAATGTTTGAGATTCTTCTATACAGGATCACCTATGCATATTAGCATCATCATTATGTCTTTTGGCATCAAAACAATGGCACAGGAAGGAAGACCAAGAGAAACTCAAAATAGTCAAGAGGAATTAGGACTTTCAAATGGGATTTAAAAGTAGGCTAAGAAGGAAGGAAGTAAATATGTGTGTGCTAAATGGAAAAGCTCTTAAATACAAAACTAAAAAAGAGTGGTAGAAAACAGTACTTTTTTAAGAGTCCATTTACATTAAACACAAAAAAGAGTTGCATACATTCTTTTAAATAGACAGTAAATTTAAATTTAATATAAATTCCAGATCAGTGAGAAAAGTGAAATGGGGGTAAGATCTCACTTTCAAGCATGAATAAAGTATAATTTTTTTTTTTTGGAAGTGCAGCCAAGGATAGGAATTGAGATCTATGAATCCCAGATCATAGGTCTTCTTCACTTTATGGAAAAGAAATAATATGGTTTATCCCTGCATAACTATATGGGAGGAAAAGAAACTCCTAGCCATTTTCTGAAGTCCAAGATCATGGTCATCAAAACACATGGTGGAACAGTATTCACGACCTGTGTTTAAATCACATAGACAGGCTTAAAGGAATAGCTTGAGTGGCAGGAAGAGGATCACGGAGTCAGGGAGGTTTAGGCACACCTAGAAAATGACTCTGATGTGTCAGCATTGCTGTACCTCAAGGTCACTACTGTTCTGCCCTGGATTCTGTTCACCTTCATGATGAGACTTCCTCCCGGCTACCTCTACCCCCTGTGTGGGCAAAGGGAAGCCTGACCTGCTGCTGCAGCACTGCCAATGGCCTGTAGAGTTGAGCGGCCACTGCCTGTTCTGCGGATGGTGCTGCTGCCCCCCTCTGAGCTCTGATTTTCAATCTTGTGCTCCACACGGGCCAGTTCCTGGATCACTTCCTGGTAGCGCTCCATGAACATCAGCTCCCCTGAGCTGGGTGACGACTTCAGGTTGAACGTGAACACCACCTGTCACAGGAAAGGAAGGAGAGTGCGTTGTGGTGGGCCCACGGAGTTGGGGCACGTCTAGAGACATGAGATATCGCCAAATGTTAGATGATGACTGTAAGACACCCACTTTTTAGGGCTGGAAGACCACTGGATATTAGGAGAGCTCAAATACAGAAATAACTCATAAAAGTAAGCAAGAAAGCCACCAAAGTCCCAGTTGAAAATAGACAATAAATGTGGACCATTTAAAAGGTAAAATATATATGACTAATACATAGATGAAAAATATTTTCCCTTACCAATAATCTAGGGAGTTTAAGTAACATTAACACCATTTTGCATCTATCACAACGACAAAGTATAAAAATAAACCCTCAGAAGGTGATGGTAGAATGAACTGGGGCCTCCCTGGTGGCGCAGGGGGTTGAGCACCGCAGTATGAAGCAATTCGCAGCCTCTGTAGCATGAGTTTGATCCCTGGCTGGCCAGGAAGCAACCCACATGGCAAAGCAGACCTCTCCTGTCTTGCCCGCTGCTCCCCTCAGCAGTGTGTTTCAGTCAGTCTGCCTGTTCTGTTCCCCACTCTGTCTCTGGTGGATCCTCTCACCCCCCACATATCTGGCCTGTACTCCAGCTCTTGTATGCATACATAAATAAATCTTAAAAAAAAAAAGAAAACAATGTTTATATTCTTTCTTTATTTTATTTATTTATGCATGCAAGAACTGGGGCATAGGCCAGAGGTATGTGAGGGTGGGAGGATTCACGAGAGATACAATGGAGAGCAGAACAGGCAATCTACTGAAATACACCGCCAAGAGGAGCAGCGGGTGAGACAGGAGAGGCCTGCTGCAGCATGTGGGTTAGCTCCCTGGCCAGGGATCCAACTCATGCCACAGTGACTGGTGATAGCTTGATATTGCTGAGACTTTAACCCCTGCGCCACCAGAGAGGCTAAAGAAAATAATTCAAAATTCTAAAGGCGATATTTGTTACAACTATTTGTTAACAACTATTCAGGTTGAAAATAATCTAAATGTTGAGGAACAGGTCATGGCCAATGCAGCTACTTGATCAAACTGTTACAGGGTCACCAAAATAAGTTACAAGGCAAACACTTACATTACAATGTACCAAAGGCACTTTATCAAGTTTAAGATTCAAAACAATCTTGGTTGCATAAAGGCATACATGCCTTGGACAATTATTGCCAAAAATATACTTTAATATTTGGTGGTTCTGCACAACAGGGTTAAGAGTATATTTTCTTGTTAATCCTTTTGGGTATTTTCTTACAATACACACAATATATTTTGTAACCAGGTTTAAACAATAATGATTTTGTTAAAAAAAAAAAAAATCAGAGCCCTAGGAAAGGAAGAAGAAATAAAGACATTTAGGGGAAAAGCATCAGGGGGCTCACAAAAGAGACTTCCTCTACATTTGAGTATTAAAAAGGGTAATGAGGGCCCTCAGCTGACCAAAGGTCAGAATTATTATCACCAAAGTATGGGCTCTAAAATGATTAGAGGAAGTGAAACAACAATTATCCCATCATCTAGACTTTTCAATTTGTTCTTCATGAGCTTACATGAAAGAAAAATTCTGACCTACATGTTGGTCACGCATTAATTTATGACAAGAGTCATAAATATACCAAGGATATTTAAAAATTACAGTAGCAAGTAGGATTTTATGTTATTAAATTTAAGCAACATTAGAGGTATCTTATATTTCTCACTGCTTGTACATAATCCTCTTAACATTCCCATTAGGTAGGTCAAGCAGGCATTATATTAAACTCCAATTTTGCCAAAGAGGATATGGAAGAGAGGGTGAGTCTGATTCCTACTCCATGTGCCTTTCTCTAACAACATGAATGTTCCAGTTTGTTAGCCCCCAATACCTGTTGCATATTGGACTAGCATCTATTTATTATTAACACCTGCCTGCATCAGGAATTTTAACTATTTGAAAACACTCATGTTCAGAGAAGGCTTAGAAGGAAAAAAACAAAGACATCTCAATGTTTTGAAGTGGTGGGATTGTAATTGAGTATTTTGTTGAAATACGGTTTATGTTAGGAAAACGAGGATCCATCTGCATAAATCTCCCCCAGATTTGAGGAGGACTGGGCCTTCACCCATGGAAACTCCCTCCTGGCTGCTTCTCCTGTTGGATGTGGCCTCTCAAATGCTGCTGAGTAGCCCTGGTTGCATAATTATCTGTGCCTGGTCAGTCCCAGCCAGCTAGGAGGTGATTTAACATTCTTTACTCTGACAAGTATGGCCTAGAGTGCTCACACTTTGGCTCCTACACAAAAGCTCCCCTCACCTGATGGGCTTCTGTGAAGTTTCCCCGGAGGATACACGATGCCAGCAGTGACTCAGGTGGGGAGAACATCATGGGGATGAATGAGCTTTGGGGCTGGGTTTGGCTGTCCAGCTCATTCCTCCCTGACGTAGTGCTCAGACTTCCCTCTGTGGAGACACCAGGATGTGGGGTACAAAGGAAGCAATAGAAATTGAGGGAAAACTGTACTGCTGTCACCTCCCACCAAAGTCTTATCTCCTCAAAATCCTTCTCTAAAAGATCTGTAAATGGGTCTTGATTTATTCTCAGTTGAAGAGCAAACCAACTACCTTCCTGGGGTATTCACTTCTGGTTCTCTGCTGATGGGTGACTCAGCTGGTAATGAAACAGCCCTTTTCCTTGCTGAGACCTATTTGGCCATCTGCAGAACCAACCTTCTTAAACACAGGCATGAACTATTCATGCCAGGATTTTGCTCCACGGTATGTGGCCACCCTAAAGCATTGCAAAGCAGCTAGAAGTTGGCAACTGGTTGGGACCCCATACCTGAAGTGCTTGTGCTCAGCTCACTACTCGTACTTTCCAGGGATGGGTTGGAACCTCTGTCTCGGCCATCTGGAGGTATCAGGAAGAAGAGAGAAGTTCAACTAGTCTCTTACAGTGTAGAAAGTGAGAAACTGGCCTGTAAGCTAAGATCTGGGCAGTTAGAGTGAGAGTATAATGGAAATACCTTGTGTTCCTTCTACAGCAAAACAAAAAACCCTACAGATCAAATGTGAAGGGCGGGCTTAATGGGCCACAAAGCTCATGTGGGCAGTAGCTTTCCCAGTGTTTTCCAACCTGTGGGTCTCAGGAGCTTTCAAGTCACTTCTAGGGGTCAGCTACCCCATCTGCTCATTGAGCACTATCAAGAGTCCAAAAAGATAAATTCACAACTATGTTGACCATGAAGCACTAGGGTGCAAAGGAGGGTCACAAGATTTTCTGACAGAGAAAAAGTATCCTGGCATTTGAAAGAGTAAGAGATTGAAGTATCAGTCTGGGTCTGCCAAAGACCACAATATTTAAAGCTCTGGAGGAGAAACTGCATCCCAATGCCTGCTGAGTGTAGGGTCTCCTTGGTTCACTGTTTGGGAAGAATGGACAGCGCAGGAGAGAGATGGACTGTACAATCTTGGGCTGGATGGGTTAAATGTAAACAAACTCTGTCTTTAATATGGAACAATTAAATTGAGCAGCTGAAAGGCCTCAGTAAGTCTGCCTGGAAATTTTCTGTATTTCTCTCATGGCATCCTCCACTCTACCCAGTATGGTCACTTTCTCAGTTGCCTCTTAGCTAATCTGTTCATTCTTCAGAGTCAACTCTTTCATGAAGTCCTTTTCCCTGACTTTATAAGCTACGCTGATCTCCCCTTCTAAGAGATTTCTTCTGTTTTCTGGCAGTGTCTCAGTGCAATTGAAGTTTTTTTGTATGCTATCTATGCAGGTAATTACAGATTCCCAAAAGTCCTCATTTTACTTCAGTTTATACCTCATTCTCCTCCCCCAAAATATCTAGTATTGTTAGTACATGGGAATCTCTTAGAGATTCCATGTTAATTATTGGAAAGTCCAGCACACAATGAAAATTTGATTACTTAAAAAGTTAATACTACCATATAATGCTCCTATATTATACTCCTTAAGAATTTATAAAATCAGAAGTTAGAATGTAGCACATAAAAACAGAATATTTTGGTTAATGTATAAAGTACTTATAATTCAATAAGAAAGATAAACACAATAGAAAGTATGGATCTTATACATAAATAAATAGCTCATAGAAAAACATAAGTGGTCAATATAAGTGTGGAGGTAAGAAATATTTGAAAAACATTCAATATCAATCAGACTAAAATTAATATTAGACAGTGACACCCCATTATTGGATTGATCATATTGTCAAAAATTTAAATAGCTGATACTACTCATTGTTGATGAATATATATATATAAACAGGCACTCATTTATAGTAGGTGGGAATGCAAAGTGGTATACCTACTTTTAGGCAATTTGGTTATACTATATATGCATACCCAGGACCTTGCTATTTTACTGCTAGAGTCTTATCCTATAGATATATACACAAATATGCACAGACACATGTAGGTTGTTTACTGTAGTATTGCTTATAATAATGAAAAACAGCAAACAATTTAAATATTCATGAACAGGCTATGTATGATAATGGAATACTAAGCAACCTTTAAAATGATACATGAAGAAAGGAAGTTATCAATATTAAGGATACATTTGTATACTCAGCAGAATATTAAGTGAAAAAAGAAAATTGCAACCCTCAATATCTATAGCATGACTCATTGGTATATACAGAAGGATACATATGTTTGCACAATATGGAAATTTTCTAGAAGGATATGTAAGAAACTACTAGCAAGGGTCACCCTGGGGAAGTGGAACTAGGACAATCTTAGATTATTATTTGTTTGGAATATGTGTTTTATCTAAAAGAATGTTAGACAAGTGGCAATATACCACTTGCACGGTGCATAGGAATGAGGCACGGGGGAGAGATTTTCAGATTACCTGCCCGACTCTTTCTTGTCCGACGACCCCGCCGGAGACTGGAGTGCCGCGTTGCAATGGGCCGGTATCTTCGGGAAGGCTGCTCTTCTGAAACAGTAAACCCAATGGGTCATACAGGAGCATAATAAACTTTGACTTGAGCCACCTCCTGCGGTAACAGGTAGGGGAAGATCTGGAATGGGCTCTGAGACATGGAGCAATGTCCCAGTGTTCTGACACTGGTTGCTATCATGATATGTGCATTGAGTTACGGGAGACTCCCACACACTCCTTGCTCTTGCCCACATTCCTGAGATTTTTCACTCTCCTTATTTTGTGCACCAACTGGTTCTGCTCCCTTCTCTCACCTGAACTCCGGTTGGTTGTTACCACCTTGTATCTCCACTGGGTTTCAGAGAGAACTTTGGCAAACTGGTGTAGGCGGATTTGTAGCCCATCCCTGTTTCCTGAGCAGCTCTGGCCTTCTAAGGGTTTGGGTGCCTCAGGGGGAGTGTGGCTGCTGATCTCCTCCAGCTGTTCCTGGAGCATCCCAAGGAAGGCTCCCACTGCAAATTCATCAGCCAGGAACCCACTGAACCCACTAGTGAAATGCTGTAGGTCCAAAAAGCTGTCCCCGTGAGTTCCAGGGTGAGAGTCTTTTGGCTCTGTTTTCAGACAGCTTGGAACTGTGTAAGCAAGGTTCCTGGGGACTCCTAGGGAACCTCGTTCTGACTTCCTTTCAGGTTGTGCTGTGTGCTGAGGGCTCGCTGACGGGGACCTCCAACCTAAGGGGCTCTTCCCTTCAACATAATCATCCTCAGCATAGTCCTCAGGCAGGTGAGGCTCTGGGTGAAGATCAGCAGAGGTGATAAGAAGTAATGAAAAGATATTTTCTAGAAGTTCCAGGCATAGAGAGTCAGGAACACTGTGTAGATACTGTTGACACCTGGCCAGGTATGTTGCGAAGAGATTTGAAGCACCTAAAGAATGCAGACAAGAGGCCAGAAAAAAAGCATTAGAAATTTTCTATGCCAGATTCACAATCATTCTCACAACTTTTATTTGTTTTTTAATGACTAAGGGAATTGCAGTTACAGTCAGAAGAACAGGAGACTATCCAGCCATATCTTCTCAGATTTTGCAATTAAAAGTACAGCTTAACTATTTACAATAGGTAAGATATGGAGACAACCCAAATGCCCAAAAATAGATAACTGGAACAAGAAGATTTGGTGTATATATACACAATGGAATACTACTCAGCAATCAAAATAGATAAACTCATGCCATTTGCAACAGTGTGGATGCAGCTGGAAGGGATTATGCTCAGTGAAATCAGACAGAAGGAAAAAGAAAAATAAGTGGTTTCACTTATAGGGGGAAAAAATAAGGGATCAGGAAAAAAAATAATAAAAAACAAAAAATAGTAGGCAACTAATAAATCAGAGACATTCTGCAGGGGACTGGGAGAGAGAGGGATCAAAACAGGGGAGGGAAGAGCACAAGGGACTATGGTGATGATTCACAGGTGAAGTGGTGGTGGGAGATTTACAGGAATTAAACCTGAGAGGAGAAAGCAAACACTGTAAAAAAATGAACAATGATGTTTTATTTATATATATGTACACATGCATATATATAAATATTAAAAAAATAAAAGTATAGCTTACTGAATGTTCATTATTTTGTTTCTGCTTTTTAAAGTATCACTTTAGTTCTATATTTCAGCTCCTGGAATGCAGGCAGCAGGGAGACTTCTTACTCATTTCTATTTTCATTCATTGTGACACTAAAGGTGATCACAGGCTACCTAGATCTCTTAAGAAATACTCACTGGTCAAAACATAGTCATGCTCAGAGGTACAGGTCTATTCCAAAGCTAGAAGGGAATGATAACTGATCACTAGTCACAGAAGGGAAGTTAAGGAATTCTAAGTTATTTAGAAAAATAAGAGAGGACAGGGCATTAGGTTGGTATCTTTCACACTTTAGGCTATGACCCATGAAATCAACTCAGAGGGAGGCATTTAAAAATATGAAACAGAACAGAAGAGTAATCAAAAATGTGCTCCATTTGGTAAGGCAAGTATTGTTTCTTAAAACTTACTTTCAGTTTAAGTATCACTTACATACACAAATACACATTTATGTATACTCTACAAATTATACACTGAGGTACAAACTGGAGTGTGATGTGAAATGCTACTTTTACTGTGGATACAGTTAGAAAAAAGCATTTGGAAAATACTGCACTAGGTGATGAAACTCCATTAGAGCTTAGGCAAATCATAGCTTTCTATATGCCTTTTGATTCATGGAGACCGATACATGGATGAAATTAATTCTGGTTACGAATTATTTCATAATAAAACGAAGGCTGCCACCCCCAATCCTCACACAGTTCTCACATGGAGAACACACTGGTGCAGGCTGTTACCACTGGTGCAGGCTGTTGCCTGGGATGGGGGGCAAGTCAAGCTACCTGGAGAGGGAAGAGAGTCACTTGCTGGCTCCGCAGCTGTGGTCATGTCCTGGGAGGGACTGTCTTTGCATTCCTGGCACTGGGAGTGCTGGTGTAAGTTCACACAGAGGGCATAGATGGCGTACTTGATGGCACAGAAGCTCTGGTAGAGTGTCAGGTTTTGACAATGGCTCAGGTGCTCAGGGACCAGGCCATCAGCTGAATCTGAATTGTAGAGAGAAACAGGGAGAACTTCAGAGCTGGTTCTTTCAGGCATGCACTGAAGCAAAAGGATGCCACCCTTCTAGGTCCCCTATGTGTTCTCACCTCTCTACTTTCTGTCAGTTTGATCTGTCATTCTTGTAGGCCTTTTCCTCTAGTAAATATCAACTTTCAGCTCTTCCCATTTCCTCCTCCCCACCAGCCTCCTTGGCCATTCATAGTAACACATATAAATTCATGACATTTAGGTTTCTTAAAATACTTGCTTTTTTCTCTTTTTAAAAGATTACAAGTTAAATGCTTAGTCTACCTAGTGTGACATTATCCAAAAGGCAGGCTGAACTTGTGTTTAGACTGAGTAATGAGTGCAAAGGGAACAAAGTTTTTTTTAAAAATTGATTTTTTTTTTTTAAACACAAGAACTGGGGTACAGGCCAGATGAGTGGGAGGGTGAGAGAATTCACCAGAGACAGAGCAGGGAACAGAACAGGCAGACGGACCAAAAACACTGCTGAGGGAGGCAGCAGACAAGTCAGGAGAGGTCTGCCATGCCATGTGGGTATCTCCCTGGCTGGCTGGGAATTGAACCCGCGCTGCAGAGGCTGTGGACAGCTTCACAGCGCTGTGCTCAACCCACTGCGCCACCAGGAGGCCCAAAAATTTGATATTTTTGAGAAAACATTGAAGCAGATATCTTGGGGCGGGCGGGGGGGGGGGGGGAACTGCTGAAATCTCTTACTTGTTTGATAATTTGTAAATCCTCAGTAAAATTTTTTTTTTGAGTATGTGAGTGTGGAAGAATGTCCACGTTGAAGAGAATAGCCACCATGACTTCCAGTTCTCTGGTGACATTCAGATTTGAGACCTCTGGCCAAGCATCTGCAATATCATCTTTTTTTTTTTTTTTTTTTTTAATTTTTCTAGAGGCATGTCTTATTTATTTATTTATTTATTATTTGTTTGTTTGGTTTATACATGCACTGGGTACAGTCAGAAGCGTGGGAGGGTGAGAGAATTCACCAGAGCCAGAGCGGGGAGCAGAGCAGGCAGAAGGACCGAAGTACACTGCTGAGGGGAGCAGCGGGCGGCAGGAGAGGTCTGCACGCCATGTGGGACCCTCCTCCGATGGCCGGGGAGCAGCCGGGGATCGAACCGGCTGCAGAGGCTGCAGGCAGCTTCGCAACCCAGCGCTCAACCGCTGCGCCACCGGGGAGGCCCTGCAATATCATCTTGTTGAAGCATTCAGTGCACCCCTGGGGCTGCAGCTTTCTATAAGTCTATGTGACTGAGGCAAGAAAGAAGGCACACACAGATTTCTACAAAAATGATTCCATGAAAGAAACTGAGTTGACAAGGAAGACCGGTATTTTTTAGAGTGCCAAGTGATCTTGAAACTATTTCTTTGGCTTGATGCTCCTGCAAGTTTGTCTTTGCCTTGTGCTCCTGAACTATGAAACATGACTATCTGGGCTGAGGAAAAGTCTCTCTTGATAAATAAACAAATACTGTGAAAAAAAATCTTTTGAATTTGTAGAGGAAGGAGAAGCCTCATAATCTTTAAGGGTCTCTAAACATCTTAATCTGACTAATTCTTTCCACAGCAAAAGTACAACCTGCTCAAAGAAAAAGCATGAAACATAGAAAGAAAAAAGAACAAAAAAGTCACACATAATCCTACCAGCTAAACACAACCTATTACATTCTGGTTTAATCCCTTTGATAGTTTTGTGTATATGTGTGCATGTGTGTGTGTGTGTGTGTGTGTGAAGTGAGTGTAACAATATTTTATATACTATTTTTAATTTTCCTACTTATTAATATCGAGTACAGAGTAGTAAGCATGTGAATATGTCTCCCTATAAATTTCCAACAACTGCTTATATAGTTCTACCGAAAGAATCCTTTACTTTGGCAAATTCCTTGATTACTATTTTTACTTCTAGGAAGTTTACTTTCACAAAGAATTTGCATAAATCCTGCCGGTGATAATGCTGTGACTTCAGAGGGCAGTTCTTAATTCTGTTTCCTTGGCGTGAGGGTATACTAGTAGTTTCTGAACTGCTTCCAAAGGACAGAGGTTGCTGTGGGACTGTTCTCATAGGATTCCTGATGCCTCACCAAGAAAGTGGAGGAAATGTCCTTTTATCCATCATCTGTTTGTGACAAACAGCACTGTTTATAGGGCACCTGCTGAGACACCCATCTTGATAGATCCCAGCAGTTACATCTAGTACAATCTAGTGCTGGAAGAAACATGTTCAAGATAGTCCTGGAAGGGAACCTCATCCAAGTCATTCCATCACCCACTCACCATTCTCTTGCTGTGTGTCCTTGGCTGGCACCTTTTGTAAGAGCTTGAGGACATCTTCCTCCCTGAGTGCTGGAAGGTTTGTAAGGTGATGGAGAGAGTAGAGCACTGAGTGGCTGTCTCCACCATGTAAGTGACACAAAAGATCTCTCTTTGGTATGGGGTTGCTGAAAGGGAAAGTTGGGAGACTGAAAGGGGATGTAGTTTATATAATTGAGCTAAGCAAGACCAATTTCAATTTCCTCTTATTCTTTCTGATGTAACTCACCCTGTGTTACACAGATGGTAAATGTGACCCACATTCTTAGGCGTGTGTTATCTTGGATCACCCTTTATACAACAACTCATTGAACTGTGTATGAGGTTTTCCTGATAACTTAGCCCTAGATCTTCCCTGAATCTGGGTTCCTATTTTGCTCCTCACCCACTTTACCAACACTTCCTGAAGTAGAATAGGCAGAAGGTTTCACATCAGAGGTTTCACTTCCCCAACACTAAATTTCAGTTGGTCTGAGATAGAGAAGAACATGTATTTTATGCTTGGGAAAGTAGTACATCCACCCACTCAGCTCTACTTGTCTAGAAAGAACCTAGAAAGGGTCTTCTTGGTCCTCAGATCTAGAAAGGGGTTGGAGATTAAGCTTCTGAATGCCTGTATTCTTCCCAGCTTGGAACTGCCACAAAATTTGCTGCTTCTCATGAGTTAGGGCTCCTTGAAAATTCTCCTTCTGCCTATTCTACTTCAGGAAGTGTTGGTAAAGTGGGAGAGGAGCAAAATAGGAACCCAGATTCAGGGAAGATCTAGGGCTAAGTTATCAGGAAAACCTCATACACAGTTCAATGAGTTGTTGAATAAAGGGTGATCTAAGATAACATACAGCTAAGAATGTGGGTCACATTTACCATCTGTGTAACTTGGGGTGAGTTATTTAACAGCTTTGGACTTCCGCTGCCCCAACTTTAAAATAAGGATAATACTGGTATCTACCCTGAAGGAGTATAGTGAGGCTTAAGTGAAATGGTCCTCACAATAGGCTTAGTGCAATGCTTGGTCTATAGTAATTGCTCAGGAAAAGTGAGCTATTTTTCTTTTTATCATTGCACCCTTAAATTATCCTCTAGTTATGACTGTATGGCTATAGTGAACATAATCATGGTATATATTTCTTTCCTGGTTTAACAGCTGGACCAATTATTGGTTGTTGCTCAACACTGTCAACTCAAAACATTTACATGGAAGAAGACTTAAAATAGCGGCTCCCGCACAACACGCTGTCCCGTGTGCCCCAGGGTAGGAAGGGGGCTGGTTGCACAGGATCGTACCTGTTCTGTTGGACACACCACTCCAGGACCTCCAGGTGTGCCAACAACCCATCACAGGCATCCCTGAGGAGCTTATCGCAGCCTGGGTCCTGTATTGATATGGGAGAAGAAAAAGATGCTGACTGAGGCACCTGGGGTCAGACACTGTGACCAATTTCAGGACTCTGCATTGTGTCTCAGCCCAGGGCCCCAAATCCTGAGGCTGGTTACTTCTGGAGTAGTTTGGGCTGCAAAGAGAGAGTTACCTGTGTCCTGTGGAGTGTCTGGAGCAGCCTCTTGGCTGAATCTAGGCTCTGGCAGTGTGTCCAGCCCAGGAGCACAAGAAGGCGCCTGAGAGGCTTGAATTCTCTGTCGAGCAGACGGCCAAGACTTGGGAAGTCTTCCTCTTTCAACAGTGTTAGAGCTGTTACCTGTAAGTCAAAGGAGGCAGGTTAAGCAATTATGTGTGGACTAGGAATGAATCCAGTTTGCTGTTCATTAGGGTAAGAAGCCTTTGAGTATAGCAGGGAGATTTCTGACAATGATAGAAGTGACAAGTTGAGTAAAAAATGTTCACCAAAACCCTAGACTACAAGCTCTTTGAAGGCAGGGGCCAGCTCCTAACAGAGTAATTGACACAGAGAATGAATTTAACTAATGTCTGTTGACTTAAACCTCAGTTGCAATCTGGAAGGAAGGTTAGAGTAATTCAATGTCCCTGTCAGCCAGGCAACACAGCTGCCACTGTCTTTGCTTTCCCTTCCCCTCCAGAAAGCTTATACACATGCAACATTTTAGTTCATGCCAAAGGGCCAATCTAAAAGGACTGCAGTTCTGATGATGAATGATACTGGGCCTCAGAGTCTTCTTTCCCCTGGGAAGAAGGATAGACAGATGCAAATGACTCACTATTAATTAGACAGCTTTGTGTAGGATAAATGAGTGGGAGAGAAATGAGGAAAGAAAAGGCATGGAGAGACTGCATAGGTACTTCCTTGTTGGAGAATAATAAAGTTTGACTTACTAGGATCTGCTCAAGGAAGTGCTTGTTGTTGCCCAGGCAGTAGAAATAGGCCGATTTCCAAGCCTGGGCTGGGTCAGGATTAGAGAACAGGGTTAGCATTGCCCGTTCAGGATCAAGATGATCCGGTGAGACTGAAAATCAAACCAGACAGGGTTACTGGGAAGGCAGCAGTGCTTCTTTCCTAAGCTAAAGCTCATTTGAAATATCAGCTGGTGTGTACATTCTTATAAACTTAAACCAGGCAGTGTATACTTCTGTCTTAAAGATTCTTTTCTTTTTTTTAAAAAAAATATTTATTTATGATTATAAGAACTAGGGTACAGGCAGAGGTGTAGGAGGTGAGAGGATTCACCAGAGGCAGAGTGGGGAACAGAACAGGCAGATAGACCGAAGTACACTGCTGAGGGGAGCAGTAGGTGAGTCAGGAGAGGTCTGCCGCACCATGTGGGTAGCTTCCTGGCTGGGGATCAAACTCGTGCTGCAGTGGCTGCAGACAGCATCACAGCGCTGCGCTCAACCCCTTGCGCCACCAGGGGGGCCCAAGATTCTTTACTTTTCTCTGTAGCTTGTGAAAAGCCCTTTTTGACAATTGCTATTACTTTATTATTTTTTCTCCATCATTCCACCTCAAGATAAAATCTGTGCTTTTACAAAAAAAAAACATCTTTTACCCATTTTTGCTCAGCTTTTCCCATTACATTTCCTGAGCACAAGGAAGGCTCAGACTAGAGGAACTTCAGAGAGGCTGGGGACAGTGGAATTACCAACATATATGCAGAAGCAGCAAGGTAACACACCATTTCCTGTGGGAGGATCCTTCGGTGACTTTTCAGTGGTCTTTTCTGCATAGGTGTGGCCATATAGGGAGAGCAGGCCCCCACCAGCCCGGTGTAGCAGGCAGCCCAGTAGGCGCTCCTCTTGCAGGGGACTCCCCTCAGCACTGCAGGCCTCCAGTAGTTCCTCACACAGTAGGCGCAGCTCAAGCCCGACAGGCTCAGCAGGGCAATGCAAAGTCCGCAGGGCTCCATATATGGCATCCACTGCACCAGGGGGCCCAGGTGCAGGGCCCTGCAAAGCTCTCAGGGCCTTTCGAGTAAGGTCCACCAGTGCCTTCTGCAGAGGCCAGCCACACAGGCCAGTATCTTCATATCCCCGAAGCAGGAGTTCCAGCAGGGCATGTGCTGGCTGGGGAGACTGTCTCAGAAGATCCCAGAGCGCAGAGATGGCTTCTGAGCTGAGCTGAGGGGTCCAGCTCTCCCGCTTGCGATTTCCATCTACCAGAGGGCTTACCATGTCTTGTGCTAAGACCTCATATAGCTCCTAAATAAGAGGATGAGGAGAGGGAAGGGTGGTGAGCATTCGAGAATGTTATCACTTGTATGCTCTGAAGTTTTCTTCTTTGTAGTATATAGATGTGTGTGTGTGTATGTGTGAGAAAATGAAACAGTAGCAGGAGCAAACACCTCTGCAGTGGTTACTATGTGCCAGGTCTTTTACACAGAAAATCTAAATTAATCTTTACAACATTAAGATTTAAACACTGCTATTCCCTCCTTTTAAAAATGAGGAGACAAGGGCAAAGAGAGATGAACTCAATTGCCCAAGACATCCATGCTCAAACTAGTTTCCCCCTCTCCCAACTGCCTCCAAAATGTATAGGGTCAATCTACATCAGAGACCATAAACTCGTAGAGCAAGCATAACAAACGGCATAAATATTACAACCACGGAGGCATTTAAATTCAATTTTCAAAAACAATTACCAGGTTTTAATCCTTGATTTATATTTTTCAAGCCAGGCTTAAAAGGATAGCCCATTCCTCATCCTTCTATACAGTCTTCTCCAACACCTACAACTCTTACAACTTTCCCTCTTTATTAGGCTTTCAGTGTATTTAAATAAGCCTCATGGGTTAGTACATAATTGTCTCATGTGTATTAGTTTTTTTTTTAAATTTTTATTTTATATAATTCTTACATCATTTTTCATCTTTGTACAATGTATGCATTTTCATTTTGGTTATATTCCGCATACAATTGCATCCCCCCTTATTTTGACTCTAGTTCTTCCTCTCCCTGCTCCTCCCTAATCCCCCCCACCATAGTGTGTCTCTGGTTTATAGTTGCTTGTTGATCTTGATTATTACTTTGCATTGATTAGTCTTTTTCCTGGTCTCTTATTTAGGTTTTCTAAATTCCTGCTATGAGTGAGACCATCCGGTATTTTTCTTTTTCTTTCTGACTTATTTCACTGAGTATGATCCCTTCTAGCTCCATCCATGTTGCTGCAAACTGCATGTGTTTATTTCTTTTTTTTTGATTGCTAAGTAATATTCCATTGTGTATATGTACCACATCTTCTTGATCCAGTCATCTATTTTTGGGCATTTGGGTTGTTTTCATATCTTAGCTATTGTAAATAGTGCTGCTATAAACATAGGTATGCAGGTGTCCTTTGGAATTACTATTTCTGCGTCATTTGGGTAGATACCTAGGAGTGGAATTGCTGGTTCATATGGAAGCTCTATGTTTAGTAGGTCAAGAAATCTCCATCATGTGTATTAGTTCTTGCTCTACAACTAGTCTGTAAGCTTTTAAAGGCAAGAAACTATAGCCTAGAATTTGTTTGCAGGGTGCGGGGAGAGGGATGTAAGTTGTTCCCACATCTTAATAACATGCCTATGGATAGTGCTCAGAGATGCTTGATCATTAGCTGCCTCTAAGGTGGTCATAGGATTTTCAGTCTTTGACCTATGACAAGTTGAAGTCCTTCCTTAATTCACAATATAAATGTGTCTTTAATTAACTGGTCATCGGGTCATGAAGAAAGTAAGTATTGGGCCTCAGGGCATACCTCAGAAGCTTCAAAATATAGTTAATATGTAGTTTAAATCTGCTCCCATAAGGTGGCTTCGAGGACTCACTATAACACATTCATTGCAGCTGTTATAGAAGTACTCAGCAAATACTAGTTCCTGGTTCCCTTGACATTGCCTTTACAAGAACAACTGTCCAGAAAATAACAAATACTGGTGAAAAAGGGCAAACACTTAGTTCATATATATTCTTTTTACCTGAAATGTGAAAAATACATTTAATTCACAGCTGCAGGTTGGGGACCTGTTTTTGCTGGATCCCTGGAAGATGAGATTGTTGAGTGACTAACTCTGGGAAGATGGATCCACGCCCTCTCTTACCTTGAGGATGTCCTCTGGAATATCACCGTGTAGATCTTCTGACAATAAAAGAAACTCAAGTCTTTTCCGGAAAACAGCTGGGAGGGACTTCTAGAAGAATTGTAAGAAGGAAGCATAGAGTTTAAGCATATGTTTTAAGTTAACAACTAAGTAGTTTTTTCCAGTTAGTCTTATTTCTGCTGTTTCTCTAATATAAAGTACTTTTAATGACTAAATTCCTGTACATGTTTTCAGATACCTTTTTTTATAAACAAAAACAGCTAAACTTGACATATACCTCCTCCCCCTCCACTCTCTTTAAATACTACACTTAAATCCCACACTCATCAGCCTTTAAAACCAGGGTTTGCTCATATCATGTATCTCTTTCTTTACCTAAGAATACAGTGTCCAAAATACCCAGTTATCATTAAGGGTATGGCTTACATGGTTCGTTTGGGGTTAAACCCCTGTTTTTGGTATTCATTATCATTTGGAAAATAAAAGTAAAGAGGAAGGGATCTAATGCTTATTAAACATTTGATGCACCAGGAGATTGTTGCCATATTTTCAGATATTTAAAAAAATATCATTTAATCTCTAAATCAAACAAAACTGTGGCATAAGTGTATATTTTGAAAAATAATTTTTTTTTAAACCTAAGGTTTTATTTTTTATTTATTTATTTTTAAAGATTTATTTATTTATTTATACAAGCACTGGGTACAGTCAGAAGCACGGGAGGGTGAGAGAATTCACCAGAGCCAGAGCGGGGAGCAGAGCAGGCAGAAGGACCGAAGTACACTGCTGAGGGGAGCAGCGGGTGGCAGGAGATGTCTGTGCGCCATGTGGGACCCTCGCCCGGCGGCCGGGGATCGAACCGGTGCTGCAGAGGCTGCAGGCAGCTTCGCAGCCCAGCGCTCAACTGCTGCGCCACCGGGGAGGCCCTGAAAAATAATTTTTACTAAAGATGAGATGGTTAGGAAATATTTTTCAATTATGTCAAGCATGAGAAGGAAAAAGCGATCACAATATTTGCTTTGAGGCATGTTACCAGAGAAGACCTATATATAAAGGAAGAGAACACTTTTGATTCTTCCTATATCTACTTGTTTCACACAAACTTCCCTTCACCTGATCCTTAAAACTAAAACTACAGTCTACCTTTCTCCAGACACAAATACAAATAAGATTAAATCCTGGGACTAATCCTGACAAACACTGCTTTAAATCAGAGATACAACTGTACATTCCGTAGCTGGTAAAAGCTTTCAGAAGCTGGGTTTTATTGAAAGGTTACTGACTCAAAGAAAGAAGCAACTGTATGATTGTGTGTGTGTGAGGGGTGGAGGTTAGAACACAAGGTCACACTTTATTCATGTGCCATTCATCACATTAGAGGTTAGCATGACCTAGCCTGTCCAACATTTTATTTCTTCTTACCACACCCTCCCCTAATCTGAATGTTTGTGTAATACTAGAGGATGGAAATTGGTGGGGAAAATTCATGCTGACAAGGTGAAGGATAGCTCCTGTTGAGGACTAGAAGGAATAATAAGTTGTCAGTCAGCAGGACCTTAATAAAAATACAAAGTCTTCATAAGATTTTAGGACTTTAAGGCCTCCCTGGTGGTGCAAGGGGTGAAGACACAACCTACGAAGGTTTCGGCAGCCACTGTAACAGGAGTTCGATCCTGGACCAGGGAGGTGACCCACATGGTCAGCAGACCTCTCCTGTCTTGCCCGCTGCTCCCTTCAGCAGTGTATTTCAGTCAATCTAGCTGTTCTGTTCCCTACTGTCTCTGGTGAATCTTTTAACCCCCCCACACCTCTGGCCTGTACCCCAGTTCTTGTATGCATAAATAAAATCTTAAAAAAAGAAGATTTTTAGGGCTTCAGAAGTTGAAAGACTACTTAGCATATATATATTTCACTGTTGAAATTATTTTATGCATGATCATAAATGACTAACATTCCTAAAACTGGCTTAAGTTTGCTTAATGTTTCTAGGCACAGGTTTTTTTTTCTTTTCTTTTTTTTCTTTCTTTCTTTTTTTTTTTTTTTTTGGTGGGACCCTTGCCCGTGGCTGGGGATTGAACTGGTGCTGCAGAGGCTGTGGGCAGCCTCGCAACCCAGCGCTCAACCACTGTGCCACCAGGGGAGGCTCTCTCTCTCTCTCTTTTTTTTTTAAGCATAGATTTTCTTACTGTAAAAGTAAGGCATGTTCAATGAGAATAATTAGAATATATAAACAGGCAAACAACATACACACACACACACAAATCTTCCCATTCAAAGAGAGCTACTATTAATACTGTGTTCTAACTTGAGGTGAGAAATCCTATACTGTCATTAACAGGGATGTAAAACAATGGTACTTCATTAAAATTAAAAAATAAAAAAAAAAATACTGTAGTGAAAGGGCATTTAGATAGCTTTCTATGCATGCATCTAGGCATTATATACCAAATGTACTGTTCTCTAAACTGTTTTTTCCCTTTCACATAGCAGGGTGTGAATATCCTTTCATGTCACTGAAAATTCATTTACCAAGTAATTTAATAGTGGCATGGTATTTTACACATAGATATACTTCATTTATTAACCTGTCCTCTGTTGTGGACATGGGAGTTGTTCCCAGTTTTCCTCTGCTAGAAGCAGCAAGGCAGTGAGTATCTCTGCAGTAAGATATCTGTATAAGTAATTACACATGTAGACACAAGTCACTGCGGATAAAGAGGCAGAAGGCAAACACGGATGAAGGGAAAATGGGATCATTGTTTAATATAATATTTAAAAAGGAAGGGTTTGGCAGAAAGTGGGAAAGGATAGGTAGTCAGCAAGTCTCTAGAAGATAAGCCTTCTCCAGGGTAATGACGGGCCTTGCAGTACTGCTCTAAGGACACACTGGAAAATCTTGGTCCTTGTGTGAAGTTCTAAAATTCTTCCAGGCCCTTGTTTAAAGTTTAAAACATTTCCACAACTATTTAAATAACCAAGGTACTGGAGCTTTAAATGATCTTTGATGTTGGGAAAAACAAGAGCAACTCCTAGTTTGTGCTAAGTAGCCAGGGAAATAAATTCCACCACATGATCTGGTTGAGCAACTGTCCAGAAAATAAGCAAGCAAGTAACCAACCATGATGTAAGCAAATATCTTCTACTGAGAGGAAAGTTCATCTTGTTTGACAAATTCCATGTTTGTACTGGAAAGATTTAGTAACAACAGGGCATTTTTTTCTTTTTCTCTTTGGAGATAGTATTGGATAGTTTAGCTCAAGTTTTAGCTTTTAGATATGAAACCATAGTCAATTGTTAAAAACCTGAGGCAGATTATTTTTCAACTTTTTTTTCTTTATCTTTTTCTTCACTCTCCTCAGTTTTTTTTCCCTTTTCATTTCTCTTTGCTGGACAATTTGACAAAATCCTGGATGAGATACATTTAGATGAGTAATTTGTTACTTTTCAACAACTTCGTGAAGTTTCAGGCAAAATCAAGGGAGTAAAGAAGAAAGTCAGACTAAATTACAGACACTTATGAAATAAGATTTGTGTTTCTTACTTTTAAGTTCAAGTAGGCTAAAAAATACTGTTGAGGGCCTCCCCTGGTGGCGCAGCGGTTGAGCGCTAGGCTACGAAGCTGCCCATAGCCGCTGCAGCACCGGTTGGATCTCCGGCCACTGGCAAGGGTCCCACGTGGCGTGCAGACCTCTCCTGCAGCGCCCACTCTCCCCTCAGCAATGGGGCCAGTCTGCCTGTTCTGATCCCTGCTCTGGCTCTGGTGAATTCTCTCACCCTCCTGCGCTTCTGACTGTACCCAGTGCTTGTATAAATAAATAAATAAATAACTCTTTAAAAAAAAAAATACTGTTGAGTTGTATAAAGCAGAAGATAGTAATAAAGTCAGAAAATCTCAGTTCTAGCCTGATATGGTATTCTATCCAATAAATGTTAGTGAATTAATGAAAGAACTTAGGTGAAAAGACAGCAATAAAAACTTAAGCTATTCTCACTGTCAATAGTGAAAGAGGAATATGACAAACCTCATCACCATAAAGGAAGTAACATACAGAAGGAAAATCTCACAATTACTTATATATTCTTCTCAGTTCTAGGCTTAGGAGAAAAATCTGAACCATAAACCTTCTTACCTTTCCCTGTGCCAACCATTTTTCCAGTACAAGAAGCCATACCCAGGCTATTCTTTGAGGGTTAATGTCCTGTCCACATCTGAAAAATGTGAAGAAGAAGAGTTCTTAAAAACAAAAAAAAGAGTTTCTATTGACCTTTTCTCTTTTATGAGCCAAGATTTAGACTTTACTACTGAGTCTGTTTTAAACTTCAACAGCAAGACATTGTTCTAATTGGAAATTTTTAAATATATATGACAGATCAATAACCAGAACAGACTAACAGCTTTCATTGAAAAAAAGGAAACAAGGACCTCCCTGGTGGTTTAAGGTGTTATGCCTCAGCACCATCACCACTATGGCCTGTGTGCAATCCCCAGCCTGGTAGCTAAATCTAGTGGAGCAGTAAATCCACCTGTTCTGCTCCCCACTCTGTCTCTGTTGAATCCTCTCATCTCTGCAGCTCTGGTGTACAACTCAGTTCTTCTACACTAATTAAATAAATAGAATCAAACTAAAAAAAAACCAACCCCTATTTGTTTAAAAAAGAAAGGAAAAAAGTCTCAATTTTACTTCCATCTTCCTAACTAGACTTTATGATTTTTAAACAAAAAATTACATTGAAACCATAATAGCTACAGCTACCTAAGGTATATTCTTGAACATAGAAACTGAAACAAGTAGTCTGAAAGAAAGAAAAGGAACTTCATAAAAATTTATTTTTAACTGTATACTAAAACAGTCATAGGAACATATAAACCCTTCTTTGAAGTTACTTATTTTCATTTTATTTTTCTCCCATCCCCTATTTACTTTTAGACAGTAACTCTCTAGAAGCCACATATATGGGAAAAAAAATAAAGGAAGAAAAGAATAACTGAGGTCTCCACTCTATATGTGCTAATATGGTACTTAAACTGTATTTCATAAATGACAAAATAAGTAGGGAGCTTAGCAGTATCTTTAACTCCTATGCCATAACTATTAACAGCACTACAAGGAAGAACTCACTACAAATTGACATAGACAACAGTGGTTGCCAGCAGACAAGGAGGGGTCAAAGTAAAAGAGGTAGGAGGAGAGAATGAGGGAATTTTGTGGTGATGGAAGTCAATATCTTGATTACAGTGGTAGTTACATGAATCTATACATGGATAAAATTGCATATTACTACAAATACAAAAATGAACGCAGCTTTAAAAACTGGTAAAAATGGAATAAAGTCTGAAGTCTCCTTAACAGTAATGTACCATTGTCAATATCCTGGTTTTAGTATTATGGCTATATGAGATGTCACTATTGGGGGAAAGAGTATTCTTTGCATCATTTTTGCACTTCTTGTTAGTCTGTAATTGTTTCAAAATAAAAAGTTTTAAGTGAATTCACTTCCTTCAGTCCTCTGTTACACCTGTAGCCATATTTTCAATTACATAAGAAAAGAGCAGGGTTAACTTTTTTGAATGCAAAGAAAAAGTTTTTCAATGTAGTTCTCACTATCTAATGATAATAAACAAAAAATGGTTTCAGGCACAGTTTGTTGACCATACTCAAATGCAGTTGCAGATGTTAATTCAAAGTCAGTATTAATTAATAGGAATATACTATAGAGGTATATTTTGAGGGGAAGTGAAATACACTGGGCTTTTATTAATTCTTCAGAGGGTAGTTGACTGAGGAGCAATGTCCAGGGCCCAGCTATTGAACGTTGTTGCTTCCCTCCTGTGACTGTCAGGCGGGAAGAGAGATCCCTTACCTCAGTTGATTTGGACACACCACCAGCGCCTGCAGTATTTCTTCCACTTTCTCTGGGATATCCCCCTTTGCCTCCTGTAGCTGAGGAACACATGCCTGTGCCAGCTCCCATTCTCCTCTCTGAAGGCACTCACAGAAAAATCCAAACAGATGCTTCTCTGAAGCAGTTTCCTCTCTTCCAAATGGATGATGCATTTTCCCAGCACACAGTGCAGGGTGATAAAAAGAGATGAATTACGCAGAACACATTCTCAGTTTTCTCATTTGTGGAGTACCTCCTAGAAATACAAAGCAGCGTGAGAAAAACCCCCGGAAAGAATCATTTTTACACAAATTAGCAACTACTGGCGAGACTGGGAAGGGGGATTTGCTTTCCTAATTATCGTATTAAGTTTGATTTGACATGCTAGTATCTCTTTTTGAGAAATTCCACCTTTCAAGGGGTGGATCTCACTCAGCGCGTCCAATATTTAATTGATACTAATTGTCGTATCAGCCCCGGGACGCAGATCCAAAAACTACACGTGCGTATCCTTCCTGAACTTTGAGCCTCGTCCGGCTCCAAATCCCCAGGTGGTCGCTTCTCAACGATGAGAAATTCAGCAGGAACCTCCCTAGTTTGAGCCTTCTCTTAAGGCAGAGGACTGAAGATCAGGAGACGAATTTGTATCAGTACTGGAGCTCAGTGGGGGTCGGTGCGCAGGGACTGTCAGTACAGGGGTCGTGGAGAGCGCCCCCGCCTTCTCTAGGGTGCTTTACACTCACCTGCTCCCGGCGCCCAAAGCAACAGAGCTCCCAGCGCAGCCATGTTTCAGCCGGTCAGGTGACACGCACATTGGGAGGATGCGGGGGCGGAGGGAGTGACGACTGAGAGCCGCTGCTCCTATTGGTTCAATGGAGGGACAATGCAAATACGGCGCCATATTTGTTTGGGTCACGTGACGCCCCGCTGTAGTTTGGAGGATGCTAGTAAGATTAGAGGGAGTAAATCAGCGCGACCTGGCTAAGGACCATCCCTCTCAGCATGACAGAGCCTCTATTCACCACCTTCCGCTCTCCGTTAGGCGGAGCAGGTGGCAGGAATAGCTGTGTCTCTTTGTTTTTTTTTTTTTCTTCTGTTCTCTCTCCCCTAGCGTCTGAAGTCAAGGTTTACCGAGAGCTAACTAGTGAGAGTTACCAGTTGACAGGCACCAGAGCAAGAATACTTGATCCTCCATTATTACTCTATCCACTTAGCCTCTCTAATAATTCCGGAATCCTAAATTCTGAATTCCCATTTTCTTTTGCTTAACTCTATTATGTATTTGCTCATTTTCTCAACAACTGTTCATTGAAAGGTGTGTTAGGTCCTCCTTAGACATGGAAAAAGATCCAGTCCCCATCCTTACGTAGCTCAGTTTAGTGAGGGGTGCAGGCCAATGATTAGTATTCCGTGGGCTGAATTCTAAAATTGAGGTGTTCACAGGGGAGATGAGAGCAAAGAATAAACAAAGGCTTTTTGCAAAAATAATGATCTGAAACCAGGTCTTGAAGTACGGCTTTATTAGGTTTCATCATAGCTATTTTAAAACCGAATTTTCTATTTGGTTTCCTTCATGTTCTTGCTTAATGGCCGAGTCTCATGTTTTCCCCATTACGTGTTTTCAGTATGAGCAATTTCATTCAGCATTTCCCAAACTACTTTCACCACCAAAGGGTGACGAAAGAAGCAAACCAAGGGCCTCCCCGGTGGCGCAGCGGTTGAGTGCTGGGTTGCGAAGCTGCCCGCAGCCTCTGCAGCGCCGGTTCCATCCCTGGCCTCCGGGCGAGGGTCCCACATGGCGCGCAGACCTCTCCTGCCGCCCGCTGCTCCCCTCAGCAGTGTACTTCATCGGTCTGCCTGTTCTACTCTCTGCTCTGGCTCTGGTGAATTCTCTCACCCTCCCGTGCTTCTGACTACCCAGTGCTTGTATAAATAAATAAATAAATCTTAAAAAAAAAAAAAAAGAGAGATCCTTAGGAAAGCATTTAAAAAAAAAAGAATATATTAAAAAAAAAGTAGCAAACCAAAAACTCTACTATGATAAGCAAATTCTCATTGATTTCCAGAAATCTAACAGGATTCTGGTCTAGTAAGTGATTTTTTTTTTTTGAAGTAGAAATGAAAGAACGAAAAGAGAAAAATTCAGGCAAGGTTTTCCTTTCATTAAGATTAATTGTCTCTCCTTGGTGATGTTGGGAAACTGACTCGGTCTCATCGCTTAGTCAGAGAGTAGCGTGTGAACTACAATTCCCAGCAAGCAGCGGGGCCTGTCTGGGTCTCTGCCCATCGCTGATTGGGTAGCTCGCTAGGTGACGACCCAACCAGCGCTCCGGTTGTTGCTTTGAGACGCTCTCCGTGGGGAACCGTATGAGGGTTGGGGAAACTTTGAAAGTTGGATGCTGAATATCCGGTACTGAAAAGTTTCACGTGTGTGGGGAAGGGGGTAATCGCGGGAAAGTGGGGTGCGCTAATGGGGCCCGTGGGGCTTGCTTTCCACGGAGCGGAGAGTCTTGGGTGCAGGACACGCCCCTAAAGACCGGTAGGGATCTCCATAAGAATCCCGCCACCAATCTGGGGGTTGTGGCCTTCGGGGTTGCTTGGGACGCTGCTACAGTTGAAGAAAGCGCTTTCAATGAAATCGGGTGGTATTTTGGCCTATCGGTGTCCAACTGGGGCAGTGTGGGGTGTAGTCTAGGGAGTCAGTATTAGGGGAAGTTGGGTCTGACAGCTTTCGGTGGCGTTGAAAGAGAGATACTGTTTAATGATGTGGAATGTGGAGCCAGATCCGTGCATTCGAATGCAAACTCCACAACTTGCCAGTGTTAGACTGCCCAAGTTTTTCAATTGTTTGCCTCAGTATCCTTAATCTGTCACATGGGGTAAAGCATCTGAAGCTCTTGGAATCCTGTCTGTCACGTAATCATGATTCAATAAATATTAGCTATTAATGTGACTTCACAGTTTTTATTATCTAACATTAGGACTTTTGTTTTTCTTGGTGGGGGGGAGAGGGTTTATTCTCTAGGGTTGAATAACTTCCCTTACCCCCAAATCATCTACATGCAGTTAGTTACACACTCACATACATAACAGGAACATAAAGTCGCCGATAAAAGAACAAGCCATAATAATACGTTAATAAGATCATGGGCAACATGTACAAAGTGTGATGGAGATATTGGAGAGGACAAGATTCACTTGGGGGAAAGCTTTGTGGTGGAAAGTCAAGGAGGCCACATGGCACTGGGTAACCTACCAACATGCACTCGTGACTGGAGAGCAGATCATAACAGAGGCACTGCATGATGTTTTGCTGAATGAATTGATCATGATAATGATTGTTAACCTTGAACTCTATGTCCCAGGAACCATTCAAATCATTTAATGTTCAGTACATTCCTACACAGTAAATATTGGACTTATCCTTCTTTTAGAGATGGGGAAACTAAGATACTGAGAGGCAAAGTTGCTTTGCCAGGAAGGGCCAGCATCAGAGCCTTGCAATCTAATATGTGAATGAGAGGGACGTGAGGAAACAATTTATGAAGGGTATTTATGCAACCCAAGGAAGTGTTGGAATGTGTTCTGTGGTGTCAGGGTTCTCAGGTGAAGGCTGAGAGTGACAGTTGCTTCTTCCTCTCTGCTTCCAAAGAACATTTAAATAACAATGACAATGCTTATTTGCATGTCTCTAATTATTTTTGCATACATCTCTTTTCATCTTTTACTATGAGTTCCCAATGGGAGGGAATACACTTAAATGATTCTTGTACCCTACCAGAGTGTGTGCTGCATTGTTTTTGGAAGGAACAAATGAATGGGTTTTTTTTTTTTTTTTTTGGCAGTGCAGGGAGTGATCAGAGGCAGTATGCAGTAGTCCAGGCAGGTGAGGGGGTGGCCCCAATAAGACAGAAAGCAGAGTTGATCATTTTTAAAGTCTAGGTAGTTTGGAGTTTATAGTTCCCCTTTTCAGTTGAATTTACCTGTCTAGATGGTGTCCTTGCCTAGAACGACCTGATTTGTAAAGATACTAGGCAATGATAAAGTAGATATCACTTGGTGAACAAATCAATACAGACACATTCCCCTTGAGAGAGATGAGAGGGGCGTATTTTATGTTTGTGGGAGGTTTGTGTATATGTGTGAGAGAGAGAAGGAGGGAAGGAGAAGAGAGATTAAATATTTACTCAAATTTAGAGAATTTAGATGTTCCGCAGAAATTTGGGCCATGGTGATGGAAATGAACATACCTAATTCTCAGTATGTATTTTTGTTTCAAAATGTTACTTCTTTTCTGATAGTTATATTACTTTATCCCCTGGAATGGCATTGCAGTTTCTACTTTATCCACTGGCTATTTTGCCATGAAATATACTGCCTCTCCCTTCTATGCATTATTAAGGGAATCATAGTAAATGAGCTAGATTCTATTTTCTCTCTCCAAAGGTAAATATTTCATGAGTCTCATATAATCTAGTGAGGTTCAACGAGAGTACTATTTAATTGCATGTGGGAATGTGAGCAACTAAGATAATAAAGCAATTTAAGTTTGGAAAGTGTGACATCATCGTTGATTCAGAAGGTTTGTTCTAACTCACAGAAAAAGGAGAGTTTAAGTAAGGTTATGGATTTATAGTAGAGTGGCCTTAGAGTCAGATTTTCTGGGTTAAAATTCTGGATCCATCATTTCCTTTTATTTTTTGGTGACAGCAGAATAGCTATTCTTTCTAGGTTTTGGCTTTCTCATCTGAAAGAATGGAGCCAATAATCAACCCAATAATCAGCCCAACAATCAATAGGGCTGTTGAGAAGATTAAAAGTGATAATATATATGCAGCTTTGGAATAGTGCCTGATATATAGTAGATGAAGGTTAATTACACAGCCAAATAAAATTTATAAATGTATTGAAAAATCTTAAGATGAGTTCCAAATATGATGCACTGTATTCATTAATAAGCATCAAAGAATTGTATGAAATGCACATTCTTATGTTGCCTTGTTCCCTTGTGTGCATGTTTGACAGTTGTCTCCCCATTTAAAATATTTAGAAAGATTTTATAGTTCCCCTTTATTTTATCAATGATATTTTAAATACTATTTATAAATGGAGAGACTTTTTTTTTTTATTTTGTAGAGTTATTTGGATAGCCTACTTATGATCATTTATGCTATTTTCTGATTTTTTTTCAAGTTCTTTAGTTGCTGCATCTGGAGGCATGGGTAGCAAGAAACTAAGACGAGTGGGTTTATCACAGGACCTGTGTGAGCGACTGAGCAAACATCAGATTACAACCTGTCAGGTAAAATTTATTTCACTTTTCTTAGTGAAAAAATTTAAGTACATATTAATTTTAAGTATATCTTAATAACTCTTAATCTTTAAATAGCTAATCATTGAAATTTGAAAACTTAGGCTTATTTAAAAAAAGTAGATAAATGGTGGTGTCTCTCCATAGGCTGATTTTAAATAATAAGCCACACAGGTTGTATTTCCAAATATGATTTTATTAACCAAAATCAATATTTTTGCATTTTGTGGGAGGATAATAGCCCAAGGTGCAAGGTAAAATACATCTGTGCCATTTATTTGGGAATCTAGAGAAGCTTTATTTGAAAGCTTTATTTTATTAAAGGAAATTTAGTAGTTACATGAGAAATATGATAATTTCTCTATATGGAACCACAAAAGGCCTTGAATAGCCAAAGCAATCTTGACAGAAAAAAAAGGAATGAGGTATCATGCTCTCGGACTGCAAAGTATACAAGGGTAGACTAATGACGATAGTGTGATATTAGAACAAAATAGACACACAGACCAATGGAATAGAACTGAGTGTGCAGAAATAAACCCATATTTATATGGACAATTAATATATGACAAAGAAGCCAAGAATATACAATGGGGAAGGCATCTCTTTAAGAAATTGTGCTGGCTGTTAAAAGAAATAGAAGACACAAAGAAATGGAAAGACATCCCCTGCTCATGGATTGGAAGAATAAACATTATTAAAATGGCCATCCTTCCAAAAGCAATATACAGATTCAATGCTATTCCAATAAAAATTTCAATGTTATTCTTCAAAGAAATAGAACAATTATTGATGAAATTCATATGGAACCACCAAAAACCCCGAATAGCCAAAGCTCCTAAAAAAAAAAAAAAGAAGGGAATGGAGGCATCACACTCCCAGACTTCAAACTATACTACAAAGCCATAATCATCACAGACCAATGGAATCGAATAGAAAATCCAGAAATAAACCCACAGATCTATGGTCAACTAATCTTTGACAAAGGAGCAAAGAATATGCATTGGATCAAAGAAAGTTTGTTCAATAAATGGTGCTGGGAAAACTGAGTTTCTACATGCAAAAGAATGAAGCTTGACTACTACCTAACACCATGCAGAAAAACCAACTCAAAATGGATTAAAGAACTAGACATAAGACCTGAAACCATAAAATACATAGAAGGAAATATAGGTGAAACACTACATGATATGCACATCAAAGACATCTTTACAGACACATCACCCAAAGCAGTGATAGTGAAGGCAAAGGTAAACAGCTGGGACTACATTAAATTAAAGAGCTTCTGCACAGCAAAAGAGACAATAACAAAAACAAGCAGAAACCCCACCGACTGGGAGAACATTTTTGCACACAACACTAATGATAAAGTACTGATCACAAAAATCTACAAAGAGCTGATGAGACTCAACAAAAACAAAGAAAATAATCCAGTCAAAAAATGGCAGAAGAACTAAAAAGAAACTTCTCTGAAGAGGAAATGCAAATGGCCAACAGGCATATGAAAAAATGTTCAACATCACTTGTAATCAGGGAAATGCAAATCAAAACTACCATGAGATACCATCTTACACTAGTGAGAATGGCACATATTAAAAAAACTAGCAACAACAAATGTTGGCGAAGTTGTGGAGAAAAAGGAACTCTCCTGTACTGTTGGTGGGAGTGCAAACTGGTCCAACCACTATGGAGAGCTGTGGGAGATTTCTGGACCGACTAAACATAGAGCTTCCATATGATCCAGCAATTCCACTCCTAGGTATTTACCCAAAGGACACAGAAACATCAATTCCAAAGATCACCTGCACCCCTATGTTTATAGCAGCACTATTTACAATAGCTAAGCTTTGGAAACAACCCAAATGCCCAAAAATAGATGAGTGGATCAAGAAGATGTGGTACATATACACCATGGAATATTACTCAGCATTCAAAAAAGATAAACACATGCAATTTGCAGCAACATGGATGGTGCTGGAAGGGATCATGCTCAGCGAAATAAGCTAGAAAGAAAAAGAAAAAAACCGGATGGTCTCACTCATAGCAGGAATCTAGAAAACTTAAATAAGGGACCAGGAAAAAGAATAACTATAAGAAATTATCAAAATCAACAAACAACTATGAACCAGAGACACTCTATGGGGGGTGGGAGGTGGGGAAAGGAGGGATTGGGGTCAAAATAAAGGGGGTTGTAATTGTATGGGGAATATAAAAATAAAATTTAAATTAAAACTAGATCACTCTCCCCACACACAAAAATTATCTCAAAATGGATTAAAGATTTGGTTGTAAGGCTAGAAACCATAGAAGAAACATATTTAAAACTCTCCATGACACTGGCTTCTACTATGTCTTTGGGAACTCAACTCCAATGGCAAGGAAAAACAAAAGCAAAAGTAAAGAAATGGTACTACTATATCAAACGAAAAAGCTTCTACACAGTATAAGAAACTATCATTAAAACAAAAAGACACCCTACTGAATTGGAGAAAATATTTGCATACCATGTTGCTACCAAGGGGTTAATTTCCAAAATCTACAAAGATATAACTCAAAAAAAGAAAACAAAATATTCTACCAAAAAATGAGCAGAAGAGCTAAATAGATACTTCTTCAAAGAAGACATATAGATGGCTAACAGGCACATGAAAGTGTTCATTATCACTTATCAGGGAAATGTAAATCAAAACCCACAATTAGATACCACCTCACTCCTGTGATTATGGCCCATATCATAAAAATGAGAAAAAAACAGGGCCTCTCTGGTGGCGCAGGGGTTAAAGACAGTGCTATCAAGTACTTGCCAGCCACTGCAGCATGAATTCGATCCCTGGCTAGCTAGGGAGCAACCCATATGGCGCAGCAGACCTCTCCTGTCTAGCCTACTACTCCCCTCAGCAGTGTATTTTGTACATCTGCCTGGTCTGCTCCCCTCTCTGTCTCTGGTGAATTCTCTCACTCCCCCACACCTCTGGCTTATACCCCAGTTCTTGTATGCATAAATAAATAAATCTTTTAAAAAATGAGAAAAAAACAAATGTGGACAACGGTGTAGAGAAAAAGGAACCCTAGTACACCGTTGGTAGGAATGTGGACTGTGTGGAAAACTGTATGGAGTTTCCTCAAAATATAAAAATAAAGCAGTTCTTTATGACCCAGCAGTTCTACTGGTAGGTATTTACCCTGAGAATCCAAAAACACTCTTGAAGGCATATATGCACTCCTATGTTCATTGCAGCCTATTTACAATAGTCAAGTTATGGAAACTAAAATGCCCAACAACAGAGGAGTGTATTAAGATACGATATATATCTATATCTATATCTATATCTATATCTATATATATATATATATGCAAAGGAATACTAGTCAACTATAAAAAGATATGAAATTTTGACATTATGACAACATGGATAGGACTGGAGGGGATTATGCTACATGAAGTAAGTTAGAAGGATAATGACAAATACTGGATGATTTCACTCATTTGTGGGATATAGAGAAACAAAACAAAGGAATTGGCACAAAAATAGACCAGAACACACATAATACAGCTGATAAAGGGCTGTCACAAACATCTACAAAGAGCTCACATGACTCAGCAAAAACAAAGTAAACAATCCAGTTAAAAAGTGGGCTGAATTGCTAAAAAAGACACTTCTCCAAAGAGTAAATACAAATGGTTAACAGGTAATTACAGTATCACTTGTAATCAGGGAAATGCAAATCAAAACCCTAATGAGAGATCACTTTACACCAGTGAGAATGGCACACATTAAAAAAACAGGAAACAACAGACTTTCTTGAGGATGTAGAGAAAAAGGAGCTCTCCTAGACTGCTGGTGGGAATGCAAAGTGGTCTAACCACAATGGAAAGCTTTCTGGAGGTTCCTCAAACTACTAAAAATGAAACTTTCATAATACCCAGCAATTCCACTTCTAGGTATCTACCTAAAGGGCACAAAAAACATTAATTCAAAAAGATACCTGCACCCCTATGTTTATTGCAGCAGTATTTACAATAGGTAAGATAATGAAACAACCCAAATGCCCAAAAATAGATGACTGGACCAAGATGATGTGGTGTATATATACACAATGGAATACTATTCAGCAATCAAAAAAGAGAAACTCATGCCATTTGTAGCAACTTGGATGGAGCTTGAAGGGATCATGCTCAGTGAAATAAGCCAGAAGAAAAAAGAAAAATATTGGGTGGTTTCACTTATAGGAGGAATATAGGGCAACCAAATAAGGGGCCAGGGGAAAAATAACAATAATAATACAAAAAAAATTAGCAGGGAGCCATAAATCAGACATTCTGTGAGAGAGGGGAAGGAAAAGGGATCAAAACAGGGGAGAGAAGAGCACAGGGGACTACAGTGACGGTGCACGGTGGTGGGAATTGGTGGTGGAAGTTTTACGGGGAACACACAGTGATGTAAAAAATACAAACCAAAAGAAAACAAATGCAAAAAAATAAACTAAAACAAATCCTAGAAATACGCAGAATTGAGGATACTAGCAGAGTGGGAACAGAGGGTTGCAACAAAGTAGGGAGGGAGCCTAGTGGTCTGTAGTAAAGGATTATGGGTGCTTTGGTGGTGGATGTGGTTTAGTGACATACATCTGAGGAAGTGTGAACTTACTCCTCTAAATCATATACAGTGTTATAAACAAATGTTATCTCAGTAAAAAAAAGAAAAAGGACAAATTAATCCCCTCAAATTGTTAATTTCTTTTGAAACGCAAATTAATAGGATCATTTTCTTATAGAAGGAGCAAGAGAAATGCAAAGAGCAGATGTTGCGTTTTTAAGCACAATAGTAAAGCAAATTCCTCTTAAGAGATTAAATAATATTTAAGATTTTATCTTAGGGTTGAATCCTTAATAAAACAGGCTTTCAGAGTATGCTACAATTAAAAAAATTACTTGTGTATTAACAGTGTCTTTGGTTCTTAGACATTCCTTAATCCTCATGTTCATACTTTAAAATGCCCTTTAATGTGTGAAATTTAACAGTTTATTCCATAGTTAGTTTTATTCTCTCTCAACTATCAGTTACTTCCTTTGAATGATCTCATAGTTTAGGAAGAAATTCATTGTACCCTGAAACTTGTTTTGTCTTTTGGTATATTAATTATCTAAGTATTTTGAGTAATGGCAAGATAAAAGCTTATCATCATATCTTTTAGTTCATGCATATTTAGGGGGAAATACTACATGGAACATATGAGTTTTTGATACATTTCACTTTTATGTATACATGGAAAGTATCAATTTTCCTTTCAGTTCCAATCTTCGTTGCACATATATACCTAAAATACTCTCTTTATTCCTCTTCAGAACTTTTTATGTCTTTCCCCACTGGAGCTTATGAAGATGACTGGCCTTAGCTATCAAGGTGTCCATGAACTTCTGTGTATGGTTAGCAGGGCCTGTGCCCCACAGATGCAAACGGTATGTGTACATATATTTTATTATGAGGTGATTGTAATTTTTATTCTGAAGTGATTTCCTCATTTAAAATATGTTTTGGGGTATGACTAATGCAAAAATAGAGTATGAGCGTCTCAAAAATATTGATTCAGACCAAGTTAGTCCTTTAATTGAGAATATATGTGAAAAATTTACGTTGCTTATAAACTCATGGGAGGCAGTTCCTAATTATGGGAGTCAGGCAGCAACAGAAAGATTTTTTTTGTAGCTGATAGTAATTTTTCAAAAGGTCAGCTTTCTCCTGTTTGTTTGGGTAGTGTTTGTGGACCTCATGGGTAAATTATAATGTGCTCTTCCTGTTAGAATGTCCCTGTCCCTACAATACTTTTACCACCATCACTTACTCTGCATCATAAAATACACATATTGGGCTTATCCTTGCTTACTGATTTAGTAAAAAATACTTAAAAACTTATCCTCAATCTTGAAAAAGTGGAGTCTTTTATAACAAACCCTTGTTAAATATTAAGCTGTATTGTTATTTCATACTTTCTGCCTCATGACTTTATCACAAAGTAGATTTAGTCCGTGGTAGGAAAGATCTTGTTTTCCCAGAGTAAGAGTTGTCCCATGTTTGTTTAATGCTTTGCAAATGTATTTATTTGGATTACAAATTACTGATCTTACTATCTCATATTGAATTATTTTTACCTTTTCTAGTTTGCGTCTGAATATAGCCTTAAAAAAATCTGTGGTGATCATGGTTTAACTGATTTAAGTATTCAAAAGGTGAGATTAGGCAAGAGTGGGAACATTTATGACTCATAAATATGAATATGCGATCTTCCTATATCCTCACAGAGGCAGAAGAGCCTTGGATTTAACATATAGATTTATTAAGTTGTAATCTTTAAGTGGGTAGAAACTGTGGCTATTTGGTTTACCTCTGTATTCTTAGTAGTATATGGAAGGCATGCCATAGGGCTCAGGTAATATTTATTGAATGAATGAATGCATATTATTTAAATAATGAATGATTAATGTTTTGTGGGTTGATCTCTTTTTATTTGGGCAACTTAATAAAATGGTAATTTGTAATGTTGGAGATTGCAAAGAGGCAAGTGTTCTTGTATGTTGCCAGTGGGCACGTGATTATACCAATGGCATCTGCAACGACCCTTTTTCCCAAATAAGGAAATATTCACAGGTTCTAAGGATTTGATGTGAATACCTTTTGGGGGGTCTTTTTCTCAGTCTGCCACACCTACCTTCAGGCTGTTCTTCACAAACCAAATGCAGTTTGAGGATAACTTGATCCTTTCCCTCTGTTATTCTCAGCACGGACTTCACTTAGGTATTTTGTGATGTGACCCCTGCTTATTTCTGTAGCCGCATGACTTGCCGCACCAAGACCACACTCCCATCTTTCAACCATTTGAAGAAACTTCATTTTTTTGGTGTTCATTACTTTCCATTTCCTCTCTTTCTTCTTGACCTTTCTTTGTTTATTCTCTTTAGCAGGAACATGTACATTTCCTCTGTCCAATAGCTATTTCAGATTTTGACTCAGATATCCAACTCTTCCAGGAAGCCTACCTGGATTACAAAAATCCAGATCAGGTGCACTGTCTGTATGGCTTCACTTTTTCTATCACAATATCTCTTATTAGTTGTATTCTAATTAGTTGCCCAATTCTAATCCTAATTTCATAGTCCCCCTTTAACGATCAGTAATGTGAAGGCAGGGACTCTTTCTATTAATTATATCCCCATAATTTAGCAAAGTCCCTGGAACAGAGTAAACAAATAAATGAAAGAGGGAAAAGAGGGAACTGGGGTTCCAAGCAACTGGGGTTCCAAGCAGCTGAAATTTTGGAGTTGGTGTATATTTTTGACTAGATATGGAGGTTGAAAAGAATTTAATCTGTCTTTGTCTTGTTTAGGCTTATGAGATGAAGTCACGAAGGTCTGCTGCTCTCTCACCAGCATTCTTATCTACAACACTTTCTGCTTTAGATGAAGCCCTGCATGGTGGTGTGGCGTGTGGGTCTCTCACAGAGGTAAAGGAGAAACTTCCAAATTTTTTCCTCTTCGGCCTGTTACTTTCAGAGCCAGGGAAAAAGTTTAGTTAAAAACATATTATTTCATCAGTATTAGTTTGAATTAATTTATAAGTACCTGAAGGGTATGGTTCTTCACAGTACTTAGTAGATTAGCTCTACAGAAAGATATTAAAGAAAATCCTTGCCGACCAACGGAAGTCTATTTAGGTTGCTGTTTCATTGAAATAGCTCAGAGAGTGAAGAATATTGTGAAATATTATGAAATAATTTGGGGTAATTTTAAGATGACAACCACTTAGTGTAATAGAAGGGAAAATTTGAAGTTAACACATGGGCATATTATGGTATTAAACTGAAGTAAGCCATTTTTACTTCCTGATGTAGATAAAATTTGGCCCTAGGACGTAATAAGTTCTTGTATTATTTTTATATCGTTGCCCAACAAATTACCTCAAAACTAAGTGACTTAAAACAACAACAAACATTTATTATTTCTGTTTCTTTGGGAGTGGCTTATCTCAGTGATATTGACAAGAGATGTATCAATAGTATTTGGAGGTGGAGTGGGGCTGGGGGACCTATTTCTGAGGGGCCCATCAGAATACTGTAAAATTGGCACTGATTATTGGCAGGAGGCCACAGTTCCTCCCAATCTCCACATGCAATCTCAGGATATGATGACTGACTTCCCCCAGGGTGAGCAATCCCAAAGAAGGCTAGTGGAAGTGGAAACGTGTTTGGTGACTTAACTTTAGAGGTTGTATGTCATTATTTCTGCCAATTCTTTTCATTAGAAGTGAGTCATTAAGTTCAGCCCACATTTAAGGAAAGGATTGGCTCTACCCTTTGAAAAAAGTGTCAGGAATTTGAGGACATCTCAAAATGATTACAATTCTGTGTCTTGAAAATTGCATTGCTGTAACTTATTTCTTGTCTTCTAAGAATGATTTTAAAAATGTATGTATAGGGGCCTCCCCGGTGGTGCAGCGGTTGAGCGCTGGGTTGCGAAGCTGCCCGCGGCCTCTGCGGCTCCGGTTCGATCCCTGGCTGCTCCCCGGCCACCGGAGGAGGGTCCCACATGGCGCGCAGACCTCTCCTGCCGCCCGCTGCTCCCCTCAGCAGTGTACTTCATCAGTCTGTCTGCTCTGCTCTCCCCTCTGGCTCTGGTGAATTCTCTCACCCTCCCGCGCTTCTGACTGTACCCAGTGCATGTATAAACAAAACAAAACAAACAAACAAACAAACAAATAAATAAATAAATAAAACATGCCTCAAAAAAAAAAAAAAAATGTGTGTATAGTATGCCCAGCAGATGCCTATTATCAATAAATGGTGACTGAGTGAATGAATGATAAACCTAGAATCTGCTATTGCAGCATATTGCCACCAGGTGGTGCCAGAATCATATTTTACATACTATTTTTGGACTTTTGCACAAATAGATTTTTAACAAGTGGTTCATAGTTGTAAATGTATTTATTTACATAGCAAAAATTTTCACCAAAGAAAGCATACAGGTAGTCAACAGACTCATGAAAAGATGTTCTGCACTGCTTATCATTAGGGACATGCAAACTAAAACCGCAATGAAGTATCACCTCACACCTGTTAGAATGACTTTTATCAAAAAGGTAGGATATGATACATGTTGATGAGGATGTGGAGAAAAGGGAACCCTCACACACTGTTGGTGGGAATGTAAATTGATAAAACCACTATGGAAAACAGGACGGAGGTTCCTTAAAAAATTAAAAATGGAACTACCATTATCATCTGGTAAATTTGTCTGAAAATACAAAACACATATTTGAAAGGATATATGCACCCCTATTTACATTGTAGCATTACTCATAATAGCCGATATTTATAAACAATCTCAGTGCCCATCAACATATGAATGGATCAAGTAGTTGTGATGTATATGTATGCAGTAGAATATTACCCAGCTGTTAAAAGATGAAGTCTTGCCTTTTGTACAAAACGGCAGGACCTTGTGGGGATTATGCTAAGTGAAATAAGTCAGATATAGAACGACAAATACTGTATCTGTCTTGTACAATTTTGCTCTTATATGGAAGATAGAGAATAACAGCAAATGAGCAGTCAAAATAAAACAACAAACCCTTAGATTCCCGGCTATGTATGCATTGTAGATTGGTGGTTAAGGTGAGGGTGGTATAAATGGAACAGGTTGGAAGGAGTCAATTGGCTGGAAACTAGCCCTTAGAAGACATGGTGTGGTCTATACAGATGTCAAGTTGGGATGGTGTGAAGTTATACATCTGAAACATATACAGTGTTATAAACTAATGTTGCCTTAATAAAAAAAAATAAACAGTAAAAAATTGAAATTTGGGAAGAGTAACCAGCAACTAGTTTTTGTTTTTTAAGCTCAGAGTAATTTTAGAATTTAGAATAATACTAGACTTTTAGAATAATTTGTAGTAGTTTTTCACTAAGCTTTTATCAATTCTTTTTCTTTCTGAATCTAAGCAGTAGTGGTAGTTACAGGCCATTTAGGTGTTTTGTTGTGATCTACTTGACTGGTATAAATACTTGTTCATTCATGGCAACTTTTCTACTTTCTATTTCATCTATAGTCTCTCAATCTCCTTGGGATTTTTCAGTTGAGTATAGGGAATATTTCTCTTCATCTTTTATTAAAAAGCAAAATTTGTCAGCTCTCCTGCCCACCCGTAACTACGCAGGTGCCTCTCTTTTTCTTTCATTTTTCATTTCATTTTACAATTTTAAAATGTAAAAAAGACTCCAGGAAACCAAAACCCCCCAAAAATGTTAGTATATATTTGATGTATATCAGATTAACTTGCTTGTTTGAGTTTTGAGTCTATGACTCAATAGAAGAACCATAATAATACCAATATCATTGAAACTGTAGGCTTCTCCCTTATCCTGTATTTCACCTTCTGTTAGGAAGTAACCTTCATCCCGAATTTCTATCATTCTTATACTTTTCACCCTACAGTTTCCTAACTGTAGTTTTCCTTTACAACCTTAATGCATACTCAAGAGATATAACAGCATTTTACTTAGTTTTGACCTACAAAACTGTGAGATAATAGATAGGTATTGTTTTCAGCTGCTAAGATTCTGGTCCTTTGTTACACAGTAACAGAGAACTAATACCGGTATCATTAGAAGTGTCTGATTAGTTGCATTGCACAATTTTACTTTCTAGTTAAAAGATCAAACCTAGAATCCTGGATTTCAGGAAGAAGTTAGATCTGAAGGAGGTAACATGTAAGGCTACTAGTTGAATAAACTTAGACTAAATCTGGAGATGCCTGAGGGAGTAAGAATAAGTCTGGAAACATTCTGCTGTCATTTTTATAGCTGCTCCTTCTTGATTATAACTTCATAATTCTCTAACTTTTTATGGTCAGTGCAGATTTATGTGAATTTCATTGAATCTGTATATATTTGGTTACAGCTCCAAGATTTAAAGTAGACTAGAGATGCACTTCTCATGCCCACAGCAGAAGCAGCAATGAAGAAATCTAAGAGAAACCAATTCCACTGAATCCTTAGTGGGAGTGACCTGCAGGGCTCTGTCCTGGTCCTTGAGAACACCAGTTTCCTTACTTGTATATAACTAAGCAGATAATTCTGAGTCTGTTCTACCTGAATATCAGTAGTAAAGATATGTTTGAAGTTTAAAATGAAAGCTTAGAGTACATGCACATCAAATCATGAGGTGGGCTTCTCCTCTGAGATAATATAGGTCAGATCAGTGTTTCTCAACAGTGTTTTCATTATTGTCCTCTAAAGAGCTTTTTCAGACATTTGTACTCCAGCTGAACCTTACCCATGAGATTTTTATGCCTTGGCTATTCCGTGTATCTGTTAATGTATATGTATATCTGTGCTTTATAAATAATGAAACTCTCACCTCAAAATCAAGGTTTATCATTGGAAACAGTATTAGTCAAGTTGACAATGCATGGTGAAGATACTGATGAGACTGGGTAAAATTATGGTTGTATTTAAAGGGATCATCAAAAAAACTATTTCCATGTTGTAAGCTAGAGATTACAAGACTTGAGAAGTGGTTCAAATTCATGTCAACAAGAAGCAATATGATACCTGCCTATTTGTTTTGAGTACTGGGAGAGTAAACCTGTGCAGCACTGCCAGAACTTCCTAACATTTGAGAGGGGTGGCTGTACCCTATCCTTGCTCGGAGTAATGACTGTGCAGCGCACTTCTACATTATTAGTCTTCCAGGACTCATTTTTGTGCTTGGTCATGAGTTGACGAGGCAAGCAGGCCTTCTTGAGTGGGGTAGCTTTTGTTTTGGAAAGGACTGCTACTATCCTACAGAAGTAGAGTCTACATGCCAGAGGCCAATATTTGGCATCCTAATTTTTTCTCAGAGTAATTAAATACTACAGGTCATGTTCTTTCTCCTGGGCAGCATTAGCTGTGGCCTACCAGGTCACAGGAAGTAATAAGGCAGGTTGTAAAGGCAAATACCTACAAGGGCCAGACATGAAACAAAAATGAGCCAAGTGTAGTATCAGACATAAGTGCTTTATTGGCCAACTCTGGCTGTTTTGCATTGCTTACAGCAGCAACAAATATCTATTTTTCTTGTTCATGGGTCTGCAGGGCTGTCAAGGTGGGTCTTATCTCCTACAGGCTAGTCAGGATCATGTCTGCTCCCTGTTTAACATTGGTAGGAAAACTCGGAGAGATTTCTAATTGGCCTTCCTGCTGACATGATATGTTTGTCCTGCTCAGTGTTTTGAAAGGTGAATTAACCAGGCCTCAGTCTTAACACAGTAGTTTAGCAGATGCCTTTGATTGGATCATTGTTCCCAATTCTTCACTCACTTCCCGACTTAGAAATAAACATCTTTCTCCATAAAGGTTTTGTAGAGTCTTTTATATGGCACATCTTCTCTGGCCATATAAAGTGGGTAATTATGTTGCTTGATACTGTTTGATTATTATTTTTTTAACTGTGCCACTTGGAG